GGACTCCATGCTTTCACTGCCAAGGGTGAGGGTTCAATCCCTGGTCAGGGAACTAAGATCCTGCAGCACAACCAAAGCAGAAAATAAAAAACGCTGTCCATTCTAAACTACTCCTCCCATTAGGAAGGGGGTCAGTCCCTCCCCTTGAATCTGACCTGACTAAAGTGACTTGCTTGGCAGAGTGCAGCAGAAATGACCTTCTGTGACTTCTGATGCAAGGTCAGAAGAAGCTGGAACAATGTCTTCAAGCCTTGAGTCACATCCAAATACTCTGAGGTCTTCACACATGAGCGGCCTCATGGAGAGACCCTGTGGCTCCAGACATGGTGAACAGAGATGAGTCTTTTCTGATAGGCCCTCTAGAAATTCCTGACCTGCAAGATTATGAAAGATAATGAAGTGGTGGTTCATGTAGGGCATGATTTTGGGGTTAGTTTGTTAGGTAGCAATAGATAATAGGAACTAAACCATTCCCTCTATTGAAAAATATTTAAGCTGTGTCCATTTTTTGCCCACAAAATTATCCTATGTATGTACTTTTTTTGTGTTAAATACATAAAAATTTCTCAGGATAGATTCTCTCATATAAAATTGCTGGATCAAAGGGCTGTCTTCTCTTTCCATTCCCCTGGCCTGTGCTTTGATAGGTGTTGGCAAGTTTCCCTCTAGAAAAGAGCGTATTAAAGTGGCATTTTCCTTCAACTTCACAAATATCTTTGAGGTCTCACTTCATCATCCTGTGTTTCATTTATTTACATCTAAATGGGAGAAAAACCTGCCTTGCTTACAGGGTTTCAATCAAGAGGTCAAAAGGGAAATTTGAATAACATGACTGAGTGACTTCACTTTCACTTTTCACTTTTATGCATTGGAGAAGGAAATGGCAACCCACTCCAGTGTTCTTGCCTGGAGAATCCCAGGGATGGGGTCACACAGAGTCGGACACGACTGAAGTGGCTTAGCAGTAGCATAAACGAAAATGTCAACTACCATGGTATGGGGATGAGACTCGAGTGACCTCATCTTTGTCCTTTTCCCAAGATCAGTTCAGTTCAGTCGCTCAGTCATGTCTGACTCTCTGTGAGCCCATGGACTGCAGCGTGCCAGGCTTCCCTCTCCATCACCAGTTCCTGGAACTTGCTCAAACTCACGTTCAGCGAGTCAGTGATGCCATCCAACCATCTCATCCTCTGTTGTCCCCTTCTCCTCCTGCCTTCAATCTTTCCCAGCATCAGGATCTTTTCTAATGAGTCAGTTCTTTGCATCTGGTGGCCAAAGCATTGGAGCTTCAGATTCAGCATCAGTCCTTCCAATGAATATTCAGGGCTTATTTCCTTTAGGGTTGACTGGTTTGATCTCCTTGCAGTCCAAAGGACTCTCAAGAGTCTTCTCCACCACCAAGATAGCCTATGCAGTCCTGTCTTCTCATTTCTGTCTTTCATGCACACATTGTATGAATACATAGTGTGTGCTCAGTCACGTCTACTGTTTACAACCCCGTGGACTGTAGCCCGCCAGGGTCCTCTGTCAATGAGATTTCCCAGGCAAGAATACTAGAGGCTGCTATTTCCTTCTCCATATGAATACATATGTGTGCTTTATACATACATGCATATATACACATATATGTGATATGAGTGTTTATCAATTTGAATGATTTTATGGGAACACTTGTCAATACTTGAATCAAATAAATATATTGTTAAAAATTACAGTAGAGAGAGTTCCCTGGTGGTCTAGTGGCTAGGAGTTGGTGCTTTCACCATTGTGACTTGAGTTCAGTCCCTGGTTGGGCAACTGAGATCCTGCAAACTGTGAGGTGAGGGCCCCCCCCCAAAAAAAAAATTCCATTAGCAAAGCTGCAGTTGTATTTGTCATGGCATCTAGTGCATCTGGGAATAAGCTAATCATCAGTTGGAAATAGGAAGAAATTTGACTTGTGATATAGAGTATAAAAGTGGGTCCATTATAAGAAATTTGTACTTCTGGAGGTGAGGGACCACTAGGTAGTATTTGCCCATACAGAAAAGAGCACTAGAGTCTGAAGCAGAATTCAGCATACTATATTCCACACTTTTCACTGAATTTTGAGCAATCAGTGCATTGTTCAAATGTATATACTTTTGTGCTAGTGTTCTGCATTGAAAATACCCCAGGAACACTGCAGTTACTATTCCATTGCCCTTGTCTCTCCCCCACCCTGCAGGGCCGGCTGGTGACCACTGGTTCTCTGCTGTCTTCTCTTAGCTCCAGTTCTTCAGTTCAAGAATAGTCCAGTCATTGTGTTGGATATCTACCCTTCTCTCTCCTCATTTGCCTCATTTGCCCTCACAGCAGCTGATTAAAGATTCAGCCCTTGTCTAAATCATTTCTGTGAGTACCACAACCTGCACTGCATCCCTGTAGCACTGTGAACCACCAGTTGGTAAATTATATTTTAAGAAATTTAGCATAATGTTTAAAAGAAAGTAGCATGATTATGGGGCTTCCCTGGTGGCTCAGCAGTAAAGAATCCACCTTCAGGAGCCTCGGGTTTGATCCCTGGGTTGAGAAGATCCCTTGGAGAAGGAAATTGCAACCCACTCCAGTATTCTTGCATGGAGAATCCCATGGAGAGAGGAGCCAGGTGGGCTATAGTCCACCGGGTCACAAAGAGTTGGTTGCAACTTAGTGACTAAACAGCAACAACAATAACAAAGCATGATTATGAGTTTAGGAAAATCTGCAGTATAAGCACATTTGTGAGAGAAGATGCTTATATTTGGCCTCTGAAGGAAAATATTTGGTGAAGAATTATCATCACAAAACTCAACAGGATAAACTTCATTTCTGATATTTTTGTAATCAGCTTGGCCTGAAAAGGAGAAAGTGTGTTTTAGGTATACTAATTAAGCGAACAAAAAACCCCTTAACTTAGATGCAAAACTCACTGAAAAAAAAAAAGAAAAAGAAAGTAATTATTAATAATTCTAACCATCTGTGAATATTTTGGGAGCGTTTCCTTTGGTCAACAGTATGATACACTGTTTCATTCTCAGTTTTATCATTTCTCCAAAGAGATACACATTTGCTACAAGAATTTTAACTCTTTAAAATATTTAATATATTTATTTGGTTGCAGTGGGTGTTAGCTGTGGCATGTAGGATATGGTAAGTATGGAATCTCAACTGCTAGACCACCAGGAAAGTTTTAACTCTTGACTTTGATATAATTTTCAGTTCAGTTCAGTCGCTCAGTTGTGTCTGACTCTTTGCGACCCTATGAACTGCAGCACGCCAAGCCTCCCTGTCCACCACCAACTCCTGGAGTCCACCCAGACCCATGTCCATTGTGTTGATGATGCCATTTTAGACTTTAGAAAACTGCAGGAGTGCTATAGAGTTCTGATGTGCCCTTCATCCAGTTTCACCTTGTGTTACCATCTTACATAACCTCATCATGTACAACAATCAAAGCTGGGAAATTACTTTGGCACACTACTGTTATCTAAACCATAATGCTTATTTTTTTCCTATAGTTTTCCTTTTTTGGTCCCAAGATCCAATCCAGGCTCTCACATTGCATCTACTTGTCAAGTCTCTCTCATCCCCTAAATGTAATAATTCCTCAGTCTTCCTTCTCATTTATGACTTTGACTTTTTTTTGTTTTTTGACTTTGACACTTTTGAAGACTACTGGTGAGCAGTTTTGTTGGATGTCTGTCAATTTGAGTTTGTTTCATGTTTTCTCATAATGAGAATGTGGTTTTGCATTTCTGGCAAGAATATCACAAAAGTGATACTGTGTCCTTCTTGAGCTATCATTAGGAGTTTCATGGTGATGATGTTGACCTTGATCACTTGGTTAAGGGGATGTCTTCCAGGTTTCTCCACTGTAATGTTTACAGTCACCCTCACCTCCCCCCATTAATAAATATCTTTGAGAGATCCTTTGATACTATGCAAATTTCTGTATCTCCTCAAAGTTTGACCCACTAATTTTAGCATCCTTAGATTTTCCCCTGCTTTTTAATTATTGCTGTGATATCCTTAATGATTTTTTCCCTTGGTCTTTCTACATTTATTTGTTGAAATTCTTTAGTAAAGTGGAGTTTTTTTCTCCCCTATTTATTTATTCATATCAGTGTGAACTCAGGTATTTATTTTATTCTACAGGTTACAGTCAAATAATATGATTATTTTGTTGCTGAAATCTACATGATATAAATGGCAGAACAGCTTTCCAGTTGCACATCTGTGTCGTGAATTATTGATCCAGTTCTTCAATGCCTGACGTTTGAGTGGTTATTTGATACTATTTATGATGCCTGATATTGGAGGAGGACCCGGCAACCCACTCCAGTATTCTTGCCTGGAGAATCCCCATGGACAGAGGAGCCTGGTGGGCTACAATCCATGGGGTTGCAAAGAGTCGGACACGACTGAATAGATTTAGCATGCATGATGTCTGATATACCTAAGCCTTTGAGTTTTTATGTTTTCATAAATTAGGTTTCTAACAGCGGAATTTTGAATGTTGGAAAAGTTGTGGTAACTCAACACGTCAACACGGAAATCGCAATCCACAGACCGAACCCAGATTACGGTGCTGTGAGCTGAGAGAGGCAGCAGATCCTGGAGCTCAGTGAGGCCCCTGCCGGCAGGGTCACGGAGCACAGTTGTCAATAACGACACGTAACAATAAAGTTATTGATGTTGAGGCAGGGACTTCCGGTAGGGGCAAGTCTATTTCCGTTACGGCCTAGAGCCTTCGTCCTCTCGGTCTACATCCCAACCGGAAATACTTGTACCCCGTCGAAAGCCACGTCGGTCCTGGACTCAGTCCCGCTCACACAGGGGAGGGAATCGCTTCCGGAGTCAGGGTGTTCTGGCTCGCCCCGCCCCGCCGCCGGTGCCGCGCTGGAAGCCTCAGCGCTCCCGGAAGTGGCCCTGGGCCTCTCTCTGTCTCTCTCGGGGTCCCCACCTCCCCGCTGCTGCTGCGGGCCGCGGGGGAGGCGGCGATGGCGGAGGCGGCTCTGCTGCTGTCGCTGCCAGAGGCGGCGGCGGAGCGCGACGCTCGGGAGAAGCTGGCTCTGTGGGATGGGAGAGCGGACACGACGGCTCCGCTGACTGACCGGCAGACGGACTCGGTGCTGGCGCTGAAGGCGGCTGCCGAGGCCCTGCCCGTGCCGGCCGAGGTGAGGCGACGGCGGGAGCCGGGCTGGGTCAGCTCCGTGTCCGTGTCCGCCGACGCCCGCCCTGCAGACCCCCGCCCCGGGTCTCTGCCCTCCTTCCCGAGCGCGGGGACGGCTCCGGAGGGCGAGGCTGCTCCCTTTCCCGGGCTGTCAGGCCTCTCGCTGCCCGGGACCGCCGGCGCTCCCCCTGCGGCGCGGGCCGGTTGCCCGGGAGCTTTGCCCCGGGTGTCTCGCCCCGGGTGTCCCTGGGGTCACTGAGGCCCGGTCCTGCCGCCCACACTCTCCCGGAAGGAGAGCATGGCGAACCCGAAGTGCTTCGCTTTCAGGACAGCCTCCTGTTGGCGTTGGTTTGCCACCTTAATGAATAACCCGGCTTCATTTTTCCCTAGGGGCGCCTGGGGAAGACCAGAGTTAGCCCCCGGTGACAGTTTTCATTCATCGCACGTTGATCTGTTGAGCTCTCGAATCAAGTGCCGGTTGTGTTTATTTATAAAAATGTTTTTGTTTGGAAGCTAGGTCAGTACATTATTAGATAAGGCTGGTTTTCGGTTTTAGTGTCAACGTTTCTAATTATAACTACCATTTGGGGATGCTGTGCATTTTACTGCCTGTGTGATTCAGTTCAATTAATTATTATATCAAGAAGTATGTTTCATGAGTTGTCAGATGTTTGACAAACTTTTTCTGGTTTGGGGTCCGGGTTTAGAAGGTCATTTTATTTGCACCCATAGTTACTTTTGATGTTGAAAGCCTTGTTTTCACACGTTGGTGTCCAAAGGCAGGTGGAGTTTAGTGATTTAAGCTTTTAGAGGGTAAGAACTTCGGTTCGAAAGTTCTCACTTTACACTGCCTCATGCTTTGCAGTAAAATACAAGTGTTCTTTCTTGGGTTTCTCTGTCCACCTGTATAAGTCTGTGCTGAAAGTGGATTTGAAATAAATGAAGAAGTAGGTAGAAATTTGCTTTGGTGTTGCCATCAAAACCTTTTATGCTCGGGGAATAGAAGTTGTTTGCTCTGTAAATATTTCAGTCTGTTTATAGTTGGATCTGGCCTGTTACCAAAGCAGTATGCTTGGACATCACAGTACCTTTGGCAAACTGTGTTCCACAAGAAAAGTGACCCAATATGTTTCTGTTGCCTTGGGTCACAAACTATTATTCTTCCCATTGAGCATGAGGAAAAGGGGTTGGAGAGAAGTAAATGGAATCTCTTCATTTTCATCCTGTTATGTGATATTCTTGCAATATAAGGCCTACTGTTAGCCCCATGCAGTCATTTAACATATATTATGTGCCTAACTGAGGGCCAGGAATTGAGGATGGAAAGATAAGAAGGACAAGATCCCTGCCTCATGGAGCTGACATAATTATGGTGATTATGAATATGTAAAAAAAGAGCTAAGAAGGTAAGTTCAAATGGTGGTCCAGGATATAGAGAAAATGAAACAGGATGGTATGACACCAAGGAATGAGGTATGCCCTTTCAGATAAGATGGAAGGCCTTTCTAAGAAATTAACTAAGTAGAGAACTCACGTTGGAAAACAAGAAGCCAGCATTGTAAAGACAAGAAAAGTAATCTAGCTGGAGGAAAAGGCAATGTAAAGTCCTGGGTAGGTAGAGTGTGACAAGATCAGAGGTTCAGTGAGGGTCTTCTGGTATATGCAGTCTTAGTGTTGGATTCCTGTGAGAATCAGATACCAGCCTGTCATTTACCCATCCTGGAACCCGTTAGAGGGATTTCTCATTGCCCTTCTGCTTTCAACAGCCCTCTTTCCCCTTTACGTGTCTGATGGGGAGACTTGTGTGTGCATGTGTGTGCTCAGTCTCATCTGGCTCTTTGGGACCCCATGACTGTAGCCCTCCAGGTTCCTCTGTCCATGGAATTTTCCAGGCACGAATTCCGGGGTGGGTTGCCATTTCCTCCTCCAGGGGATCTTCCCTGACCCAGGGATTGAACCTGGTGTCTCCTGAATTGGCAGGTAGATTCCTTACCACTGAACAACCAGGGAAGACAGAAACTGAATTTTTTAACCCTGTTGTCACTCTTTTAACATTGGCAGTGAGAAAGAATGCCTGTTTTTATTTTGTCCAACCCAGGTATCTGTAAAGGATTTTCTGTAGCATTTTCCAATTTTCAGGAGATAAATTGTTTCCTGAATAGCAGGAACTGGGCAAGTTAGTTGAATAGCAAGAGACCAGCTAACTTTCAATAAATATCATAAAGCTGTTAATAACTTTCTTTTTTATGAAAGTGAACTAGTCTTTTCTTGGAAAGGAGTTATACCTTTTAAGTTGGTGTTAAATAAGAAAATTTGTGGTAGACTGGTTTCTTGTAGCTAGGGCATATTTTTTAGTCATGAGATCAGTTTTCTTTCTGCTGAGTTTAGTCATTCTGGATAAAATGCTGAGATGATTTACCCTGAAAGTTACCTGTAATTGACTGTTAGAGCTGTTTTCCTAAAGGCTTTGTGACTTTAGATTGATCCTTCCCTGAAACTGTTTTCTTCTTTATACAATGGGGATGATATGTGCCTCTCCGGGTATGTGAGAATTAAATGATGTGTGTGCAAACAGCAAGCTGCCTGTCAGTGTTGTATTATGTATGTGCTTCTCTCCCCAGATGGTTCGCACTGTAAAAGTACAGACTAGAGTCTTACCATCTTGAGCTGATGGAGGTGTCACTCAGACCAGGGGTCAGAAAAGAAGGAGTTAGGTGCCTTGAGGAAGGTTCTGAGTCTCCATCTGTACCTCTTCAATGATTTCCTCCAAGCAGAGTCGATAATGTCAGGTTTCGTTTAGGGAATAAATTCATTACATTGATTACAAAAGTGATTTTCTCCAACCCAAAACTGCGCAAGAAAAGTTTGGAGGGAAAGGCATATTTGCTTATTTTTTCCTGGACCTGCTCAGCTGGTCAGGCAAGGCTTGATAGTTTGTAATTAGTATTTAATATGTTAGTGTCCCCGTTTATATACAGTAGCTCTCCGGAACTGCCAACCAGGACCAGTAGCCCAGTAGCCCAGTCTGGGCTCTTCCCTCTCTGATGGTTGATGTCCTCCCCATCCGGACACCGGGACAGTGCGTGTGAACCAGAGGTGTTCAGTCATCTCTCCAGGAGTGAAGGAGCCGTCAGGACAGGACAGTTGGTGACACCAACACATGCTTCTTAATTTCCCGTTCTGTTCCAGGTGCTTTGAGGAACGAAGACAGCTGGGCAAATGTACCTAATGAGGACATCTTTTTATAACTTCTTTTTTAAAAACATATTTATTATTTATTTGACTGCACCAGGTCTTAGTTGTGGTACGTGGGATCTAATTCCTTGACCAGGGGTTGAATCCCGGGCCCCTCCGTTGGGAGTGAGGAGTCTTATCCAAGGGACCACCAGCGAATTCTCTCATAACCTCTTAGAAAGAACTTGTTTTGTGATTCTAAAAAATTGTTTCTTAAAAGTGGTTGCATTGCGACTTCTAGCTTGTTTGGTTTGAGAGAAAATGGTTTTGTATTAGAAAGAGGCAACAGGACAGGAAGCCGCCTTCTGCTTTTAATATTTAAAAGTGCTTGTGGTTGGAAAGTGGTCATTTGTGCATGAAGTGATTAAGTAGAATGCTCCTTCATAATTCAGATTATCTCATTTACTCAAAACGTCTAGATTATATTTGGAGTAACTGTGTAGTACCTTCTCAAGTAGATAGAGTTTTCATATGATTTTATTTTTTAAAGTATATTAGAGGATACGTTTTTGTTCAGAGTGACAGAGCACATGTGTATGACAGCCCTGGATCCTTTTGACATGACAGTAATGAGGATGTGGCACACCCAAAAAAAAGGTGGTTTCAGTCAATCTTCAGTTTTGGCAAATTCATCATTTAAGAAATGAATTTAAGACTTAATTATCTAACAATACAAATTTTGACAGTCTACAGAAGAGATGGTATAGAGGTAACAGAATTTGAGAGTAAATATAGAAGGAAATACTAAGGGTATTAATTTCATTTTACATCATGGGAGTCAGTAGATAGGACCTTAAATTGATGAATTCAAACACAGTGTTGTTAATCTGTGTTTTCGAGTTATGGAATAACCACCAAAAATACTGAAAACTGAACTTTTTAACTCTTCTGAAGTTTTGGAATAAAAATGTGAATAATTTTTATAAAAGAAAGTTGATAAAAATTACAGATAATCTCTTTGGTTCCTTCTGCTTTTAAAAGTTCTTCGTTTTACCCTACAATTCCTTAGAAATATTTCTCAAATTATAAGCGTTGGTATTACCTCAGAGAAGAATTGAAAGGTCAGAGAAGAAGGGAAGAGGGCAACTTGATTTTCATGTAATCATTTTAAACTGCTGGACTTGTAAAATAATGCCCTTGTTACAATTTAATGACAAGAGTTGTGAATTTGAAGTAAGAAAATAAATTCCATCTTTTTCTTATACTCTGTTGAAAATGGTGCATATCAAGTAACAAAGGCAAGATGTATGTATTATACTGCTATTTGGGTTTTAAAAAAAGGTACACTTTCTTTGTATATGCATAAACTGTTTTAGAAAAGCTTCATGAGAAACTAGTTAACATTAGTAGCTCCTGGGGAGGGAACTGGGTGGCTGGGGAATGGGTCCATGGGAAGAAGATGTTTCATATCATTTTGGATTTTGTGTTTTCTTAACGTTCCTCCTCAACCCTCAGCTATTGGTGGGCCTGAAGCTGCCCTTCTTTTTCTAGGTTTTTAGCTGCTTGGTGACAGTGGGACCTCAGCTCTCTAGTGGAATGTAGTTTGTAGATTATTTGTATTTTTCCTATTATAAGAGTACAAGCCACACTCTGCCTAGCCTTTTTATTTCAGCCCAGCCTCCGTGTGCTTTCTTGCTTTCTGCTTTTTTTCCTCAAATCTCTGCCTGATCCACATCTCCCTTACCCCTTTACCTTCTTGTGTGTGTGTTCGTTGCTCAGTCGTGTCTGACTCTTTGCGACCCCATGGACTGTAGCCACCAGCTCCTCTGTCCATGGGATTCTCCAGGCAAGAATACTGGAGTGGACCGCCATTTCCTTCTCCAGGGGATCTTCCCAACCCAGGGATCGAACCCAGGTCTCCTGCATTGCAGGTAGATGTTTTACCAGTCTGAGCTTCTTAGATAGCTTATAAACTGCTGAGAGAATTTTGTGTTTGAATGTTGCATGATCTGTTCATAAATAACTGATAAAGGTCATTTACAGACTATTCTGTTTCCAAGAAGCAGTTCAGTTCTGATAAATAAATTTACTTACTCCGTAAAGGGAACCCTCTTGCACTGTTGATGGGAATTCAAATTGGTGCAACCACTATGGACAACAATATGGGGGTTTCTTTTTTTGGGGGGGGTTTCTTAAAAGACTAAAAATAGAACTACCATGTGATCCAGCAATCCCACTCCTGGGTATACATCAGGAGAAAACTCTTAATTTGAAAAGATACATGCGCTCCAGTATTCATAGCAGCACTACTTACAATAGCCAAGACACAGAAGCAACTTAAATGTCCATCAGCAGATGAATGAACTAAGGAGATTTGGCATTTATACAGTAGACTATTATGTAGCCATAAAAAGGAATGAAATAATGCCATTTGCAGCAGCATGGATGAATTAGAGATTATCACACTAAGTCAGGTGAGTCAGACAAAAACAAATATGGTATGACATGTGCAGTCTAAAACAATGACACAAATACTTATTTACAAAACACACAGATTCACAAGTGTGGAAAAAGACTTTTGGCTTCCAAAGGTGGGAGAGGGAGTGGTAACTGAGGAGCTTGGGGTTAGCCGGTGTTTCCGACTGCATATAGATGAGATTAGCAACAGGGCTCTCTGTATGGCGCAGAGAGCTGTGTTCAGCACCTTTAACAGCCTGTAGCGGGAAAGAATCTGAAGAAAAATGTGTGTTTGTATATGGCTCGGCCACTTTGCAGTACAGCAGGAGCTAGCGGAGCATTGGAAATCAACTGTACTTCAATACAAACTAATAAAATGAACTTACTCTTTTTCTACCAGTGAGTAGTGGTGGTAATAATGATAACATGATGATAGCAGTAGCTCTGATTTCTCGGCTGACTGATTGGCAGGCCTGTGCTCCGTGCGTGGAGCACTGTCTCCGGCGGCGCCTCCCCGAGGAGACAGCTGGTTGGAGGCTTGCGTGGCTGCCCAGGGCATGCGCAGCTGCACTTGGCTTCCTCTGTCCTCAGACCTCTGGTGTCAGCGGACAGTTCTGGTCACACTTGAAACTCAAGGTAGATTCTCACCAGATCTCAGAAACTTAATTCTTACTGCCCAACAGCCCTTTTATATGCAGAGATTCGGTCACCATCCAGCACGAGTTTATATGAAGAGGTGATGCCCTTAATACATATTTACATACATCCAAGACCCTCCTGGCTCTCGAGTCAGACTCATTTGTGGGGAGACTGGGGATCAGTCACCTTCCTGAACTTCTTTTTTCTGTGTGCAGCTTCCCAGTGATACAAGAAGTCTGTTTTCTCACAGTTTTGGTTTTTTGTTTTTTTGCAGTGTTCCCATACATATAATGTAATTTCTATTTTGGACGAATGAAAAGTGCTCAGTCGTGTCTGACTCTTTGCAAGGACTGTAGCCCGCCAGGCTCCTTTGTCCACAGAATTTGCCAGGCAAGAATGCTGGAGTAGGTTGCCATTTCGTTCTCCAGGGGATCTTCCCAACCCAGGGATCGAACTTGTGTCGCTTACATCTCTTACATTCAGTTCAGTTCAGTTGCTCAGTTGTGTCCGACTCTTTGTGACCCCGTGAACCGCAGCACCCCAGGCCTTCCTGTCCATCACCAACTCCTGGAGTCCACCCAAACCCATGTCCATCGAGTCGGTGATGCCATCCAACCATCTCATCCTCTATCATCCCCTTCTCCTGTCTTCTATCTTTCTCAGCATCAGGGTCTTTTCCAGTGAGTCAGCTCTTCGCATCAGGTGGCCAGAGTATTGGAGTTTCAGCTTCAGCATCAGTCCTTCCAATGAACACCCAGGACTGATCTCCTTTAGGATGGATTGGTTGGATCTCCTTTCAGTTCAAGGGACTCTCAAGAGTTTTCCCCAGCGCCACAGTTCAAAAGCATCAAATCTTTGGTGCTCAGCTTTCTCCACCGTCCAACTCACATCCATACATGATCACTGGAAAAACCATAACCTTGACTAGACGGACCTTTGTTGACAAAGTAATGTCTCTGCTTTTTAATATGCTGTCTAGGTTGGTCATAACTTTCCTTCCAAGGAGTAAGCGTCTTTTAATTTCATGGCTGCAATCACCATCTGCAGTGATTTTGGAGCCCAGAAAAATAAAGTCAGCCACTGTTTCCACTGTTTCTCCATCTATTTCCCATGAAGTGATGGGACCAGATGCCATGATCTTAGTTTTCTGAATGTTGAGCTTTAAACCAACTTTTTCACTCTCCTCTTTCACTTTCATTAAGAGGCTCTTTAGTTCTTCTTCGCTTTCTGCCATAAGGGTGGTGTCATCTGCATATCTGAGGTTATTATTTCTCCTGGCAATCTTGATTCCAGCTTGTGCTTCCTCCAGCCCAGCATTTCGCATGATGTACTCTGCATATAAGTTAAATAAGCAGGGTGACAATATACAGCCTTGATGTACTCCTTTTCCTATTTTGGACCAGTCTGTTGTTCCATGTCCAGTTCTGCATTAGGTGGATTTCTTGAGCACTGTGCCACTTGGGAAGTCCATCATTAACTTAGAAATACTTAGGTATTAAGTAAGTTGCTCGTTGTAACACAGCGCGTAGTGAGCAGGAGCAGGGAATTCCCTGGTGGTCCAGTTACTAGGACTCTGCTTTCACGGCTGAGGATGCAGGTTCGATCCCTGGTGGGGCACCTAGGATCCCGAAAGCTGCATGGCTGAAAAAGTAGGGAGCAGGAGCAGGGTTCAAAGCAGGCTGTGCTATAAAGTGCTTTATTTACGACGGCTGAGAGAAGAGCCCCACGTGAACCCAGGTACAAAATCCCCTACATTTAAAGGGTCATATTTCTAAATTAATGATGGTGCATTTTGCATCTCCCTTATTTTATTTTAGCTTTAAAAAGAAAATACTGCCTTCAGACGAAATTTCTGTATCTAGAAATATAGGAAGCAATTTCCTAAAACCTTGGATTAAGGTCTTTTATTGCTAGACTTTAGATGTCATGCCCTAAGGGTTGAAAACTGGGATTGAAAAGAAACAGTTGGGGCTTTTTTTACTTTCCCCAGCAATCACACCTCCCCCTCCGCCCCCTTTTAGGTCTAAAAACAGCCTGCCTGTGTGACTCTAGGCAAATGAACACCGGGACTGTCTTTGGTAATGGAGAACTAGACAGTATTCTGGGTCTGATGGCATCAAAATGAGGCTCTTAGGACTCTGATGTGACACTCTGAAATTCTTTCTCTTCTGTTGTAATTTCAAAATCTGTCAGCTGGAAGATGTGGGTGAAGTATGTCAGCTGTGTAGAAATAGTGGAAGGAGGTGCAGTTGTTGGTCATTGATTTTTGGGTACACTTTGTTTTCTGTTGGTTGGTGTTAAGGAGGTCAGTCTTTTGTGCTGATACCTGAGAGGGCCAGCTCCTTTCATTAGCACACAGGGTTTGCCTTTGACTGGTGCTAGTTCACCAGAGGTTCCAGTAGGAAAATGTGTGCAAATTAGTACAGATTCACCACCAGTTTTCAAAAGGTAAGTCTAAAACTTTACTAATGGGATATTGGTATCCTGTTTGCATTTTGAGACTAACGTTTAATATGTGTGTGTGCTCAGTTGTGTCTCACTCTTGGCGACTCCTTACAGACCCCAAGGACTGTAGCCTGCCAGGGTCCTCTGTCCATGGAATTTTCCAGGCAAGAATTCTGGAGTGGGTTGCCATTTCCTCCTGCAGAGGATCTTCCCAGCCCAGAGATCGAACACACATCTTTTGTGTCTCCTGTGTTGAGAGGCAGATTCTTTATGGCTGTGTCACCATAGAGAGAGCCTAACTATAAGTGTTAGTATTATATGGTACTTACTAACCTCAGATGATTTAATGGAAAACATTTCTCTTTCAGAACAACTGAGATGGACTACCAATCTTGAGTTAAGTTCAGAGAATTTTCAATTTATTTGAATCACTTTGTGACTCTTTTTTTTTTCAAGCTCCCGATTGAAGATTTATGCAGTTTAACCTCCCAGTCACTGCCCATTGCACAGACTTCAGTAGTGCCTGAATCTACAGAAGACATTCTCTTGAAGGGATTCACGTCCTTAGACATGGAAGAAGAAAGAATCGAAACTGCACAGCAGGTGAATAGCAGCTTTTTCTTCTAAGAATATTTATTGTTTCAAATGTCTCAAGAGAGGGCTAATAAAAAAAGGCCCTAGTTAAGACTTGACCTTTTAAAATTGTAGTTAAAATCTTTCTAGAATTTTTGTGTGTGTGTGGGAGAAGGATGTATTATATGCAGCAAGTAAGGAAAACACCAGGGATCTTGCCCAAAGCAGTATCTCTTTCTAGAACAGTCTTGATTTTGTGATTTTGTGTTAGTGGTGGCTATTTCTTAAGTGTCTTAAGTGAACCTGTTGCCCAGTTTTATTTGCGGTACAGATAAAAATATGATTTCCAAGTCTGAATGTTGATAGACTGTTACATTTATTAAGGTTTTGATATTTTATGCCTTTCTGACCTCCTCCCAGTGTGTGTCTGTGTTAATGTGTGCCCCCCCAGCATGCGAGTGTGCTCACATGGACATACACAGACCTGCCCCCACTTGTTGATAGGTAATTTCTTTCTTAAAAACCTCAGTATTCTCTTTAGACAAACACTTATGGTTATTTTTCAGTAATTTAGCATATGTAATCTATTGTTTTTTTGCTTGTTTTCACTTGTTCCCAGCTATAAATTTAAGTCAACTATAACTTGAGTTTGAAAAAAAATCAAAGCTGAGGCAGTTACCAAGTGAAACATGAAGCAGATGTGCTGAATTGCACACACACTTAGTCAGGAAGGGCAGTGCTGCAGAGTGATGAAAAGCTCTAGCTCTTGAGTTAGGCCAACCTGGATCTGAAAGTCACCTCCATTTCTTATGATCAGGGTTCAGTGAACGAAAGCCAAGGTACTTGGCGAGTGTAATATCTTGGGAGAATAAAGCATACCTTTGACTTCAGATCCCATGTGAGAACTATAGAAGATAATCTTGCACCATGTCTATGAATTTATTTGCAGTATTTGAGGAAAAAATCTGGATTAAATTTGCACTTGCCTATCTCTCTTTAACGGAGAAGGCAATGGCACCCCTCTCCAGTGTTCTTGCTTGGAGAATCCCAGGGACAGGGAAGCCTGGTGGACTGCCGTCTATGGGATTGCACAGAGTCGGACATGACTGAAGCGACTTAGCAGCAGCAGCAGCATCTCTCTTTAAATTAAAAAAATCTAATACATTGAGTTATAATTTACATATAATGAAAATGTACTCATTTTAAGTATACAACTTGATGATGGGCCCAGAATTCAAATCCAGGTTTAGTTGATGCAAAAGCTATGTTTTTAAACCACTCCTTTATCTTATTTCTGAGCTTATAGTCTCACAATTATTATTAGATAATGTTAATATTTGCCTGAAGCCCTATGTTACCAACTCATATTAGGCAAATTAGCAAGTAGGCAGGAGAAGGCAATGGCAACCCACTCTAGTTCTCTTGCTGGGAGAATCCCACGGACGGAGGAGCCTGGTGAGCTGCAGTCCATGGGGTCCCTAAGAGTCGGACACGACGGAGCGACTTCACTTTCACGCATTGGAGAAGGAAATGGCAACCCACTCCAGTGTTATTGCCTGGAGAATCCCAGGGACAGGGGAGCCTGGTGGGCTGCTGTCTATGGGGTCGCACGGAGTCGGACACGGCTGAAGCGACTTAGCAGCAGCAGCAGCAGCAAGTAGGCAAAAACCTCTTAGGAAGAAATATTTATTCCTGTTAATATATATTGTCTTGTTAATACTCTTATTATTTGACTCTGAATGTGGCCAGTGTTTTTAAGATACTTTGCTTTCGCTAGCATGTAGACACTGACCATGCAATTAAGTTATCATCTCCTGGCTTAAAACTTTTAATATCTGAGCCCCAAACAATATGACTTAGTGTCTGCCCTTCTGACTGCTGTTTAGCATGTAGCCACTCTTCACTTTGTTGTAGTTTTATTGACAACATAATATTCTATTTTTCCAGTTTTTCTCATGGTTTGCAAAGCTACAAACTCAGATGGATCAGGATGAAGGAACTAAATATAGGTATGTGCTCTCATTTGTTGGCTATCCTGATTTTTAGATCATCTGAAGCATTTTGTAATCTGTGTCTTTAAATAAAATTAAGGTACAAAGAAAACTTGATAGTCACATGTTCTTTAAGGATAGGTAGAGAAGATGTAGGTCATTACAACTGGTAGTGAAAGTTGTGTGATTAAAAGAAAAGTCAGTTAGCAGGTTAGGAGGGAGAGACTTTGATTTTTAGATAACTTTAAATGAAGTGGGAGTGTTGTCAGGAACCCTGCTGTCTTTTCTTTAGAGGGAGAGACCCAAGAGACTTGAGGGATGGCTGACTGGACTGGGCGTGTGCTGTGTTGTTTTGTTTGCGTATATTGACGACATGGAGGAAGTGACTGTATGATCTCTAGCTGATTTGGGGGCTCTGGGTTGAACATTTGCATTCATTTAACATTAAGTGACAACTGTTGCTAGGCATTGTATTAGGCTCTTTTATGTATGATTCCATTTAGTCTTCATAGCAGCATTATCCCCATTTTACAAATAAGTAAACTGGGACCTGGAAATATTGAATCCTTGCCTAATGTCACGGAGACTTGGGCAGAGCTGGGACTTGGACTCACATCTCCCAAGTTCAGAATTCTTCCCGTGACTTTGTCCCTCAAAGGCAGACTTGACCTGAGGGATGGACCTGCTTGATGACCTTGGTGGCCCTGGTGTCCCAGTCTTTGAGAGCTGAGCCCATGATTTATTGACCTACATGTGAAAAGCCAGTTTATGGCTCCAAGGCTGATTCCTTTCCTTGCTCATAGTTTCAGTCATTTTCCTCTTTAAGCATTGAAACAGTTTGTGACATAGTTTTTGCTACATTTCTGAATTAATAAATGTTTGTGACTAGGTCAGACTTTCCTTCTGAAATGCAAGCATTTGGGGGAAAAACAAGATTTTGCTGTTTATTGTCTATGCTTATTGGGGGAAAATACTATTGCCAATCCCCTTTTGGTTCTGTTTTCTAGACAGATGAGGGATTACTTGTCTGGGTTTCAGGAGCAGTGTGATGCTATATTGAATGATGTAAACAGTGCTCTTCAGCATCTGGAATCATTGCAGAAACAGTATCTTTTTGTGTCCAATAAGACAGGAGCCCTACATGAAGCCTGTGAACAGCTCCTGAAAGAGCAGGTAATTTGGAAGAAGAGAGAATGTCAGTGACTATATTTAATATTTTTAAATAAATGAATATAATTTAATTCTGATTTCCTTAATTTTGAACACTGCTCTGTAAGAGGCTTGCATTTGTAAGCATGCAAATGGTTACTTTGACAGCCTGCTTTTAAGCTTATGTGAGCAGGGGCCCTGGCAAGCTCTCATATGTTTTGAGCTGTTAGGTCTCAGTACAGTTTCAGAGTGGAGAGGATATTTCGTTTGCTCTGTCTGTTCTTTATTACTGACACTATTTTTGGCCACACTGGGTGGCTTACAGATCTTAGTTCCCTGACCAGGGAGTGAACCCCAGCCTTGGCAGTGAAAGCACCGAGTCCTAACCACTGGACCACCCAGGAATTCCCTGTTGACACTTTTCAAGCAGGGGGCAGTGATTGTAGTAATGGTGGGGTTTATAAAGGGATGAGCAGATCTAAATTGCACGTAAACCTGTGACTTAAAGATAGAATATTTAAGTTACTATATTTATCTCAGAGATGTCTCTGTGTGTATTTTGTATGATTTTTAAAAGGCAATGCTTTGTTATTTTGTAAAAAGAGCTTATATAATTTACTGTAAGGATCATTGCTTATTTTAGCCCATGATTGCAGAAATCTTTGGGCATTATTGTGAAACTGTATATCTAATGTAAACCTGTATGACTGATATAAACCTCTTCAATGTAATTTTGAGACTGGAGTTTTGATTCTTATATTCTTGTAATAATTGATTTTTCTCTTTTAAAAAACTGCAAGTCGGAACTTGTTGATCTGGCCGAAAACATTCAACAAAAACTTTCCTATTTTAATGAATTGGAAACTATTAACACAGTAAGCATTGGTTTTTTTTTTAATCTATTTCCCCCTCCTGAGTATAATCTTTAAACTTACAAATTGGCTTGAGTGGTATTTTTAATTTAACAGTTTGCTTGTTGTTACGGTATTCCTATTTGTGGCTGATAGACATACCATGACCAGTTCAGATTTTTTCCACATATGACTTAAATAATAGTTCTTTTTATATTGTATTCTTGTTATTAAAATCTCTGTTTTGGTTAACTCTTTAATAGTATCTTATTGGCAAGCTGTGATGTTTATAAGAAGAAATATTCCATTTTAAATGTTTCTGTGGTTGTGTTTCTATAATATTAATTAAAACATTTCTTAAACTAATCTCATGTTTAGTTTGAGGAAAACTATAGCCCTCTTAAAGCATTGTATCCCAAAGGGATCGTCACAATGAGGACTGCTGTGTAAATTATATTTTTCTTTGCTTCTGGCTCATAAATTAATTATAATAACTGTGTATATATCATGTTATTAAAATTATTAAAAGTAATCTTAATTATTAAAGTTCTTTGAGAGAGAAATAAAAATGGTAGCCAATTAACAATGGAATACATTGACAAACTATTTGTATATCAAGATTAGAAATAATTGATTTTACTTATATTTTATATATATTATATAGCTTTATATATTTTAATATATATTGTCTATTACATTAAACTTTAAATATCATGTTTATGTTACCTGTATTTATACTCATTATTACTTGTATATGTTTACTTAATATTTTACTTTTATAGTATGACTGCTAAACTTAATGTTTTAACTTTCAGAAAATCACCACTTTCTGAAATGTGAAAATTTATGTTTTAAAGTACTAGAAAATGAAAAATCTAGGTTCTTGATGTATTATTTTAATGTAACTGTACAATGGATAATGTTTGCTAATTCATGAAGAGCTCCATTAAAGCTCATTAGGAATAAACTGAATTCAATCCATATAATTTTAATTTGTCCTCTATTGTATTGTAACACATGGGCTGCATTTGAGGCTACTTTTTGACTCTTAAAATGTAAAGCTTTTTTTTTTCCCTTAAAGAAATTGAATTCTCCCACGTTGTCTGTGAATAGTGAAGGATTTATACCTATGCTGGCCAAGTTAGATGATTGTATAACATACATCTCAGCTCATGTAAGTCATGGTATTTCTGTATGTTTTTAAAAAATCTTAACATCTCTGTTACATCACTTCTTATACAATAATTATTTCTTCCTAAGGGAAAATACATATCTGTAATATACTTGAAGAAAAACTGAGGTAAATTCTTAGTCACTTTCAGTAGTGATGTAAAAAAGTATTGTACTTTAAGCTGCTGTGGAAACCCTTGAAGTAGAAAAAGGGTCTGGCTGACACATCTTTATCCCATCTAAAAGGACTAGTGATTTGTTTAGACTGGTGACTTCTGTTTTGCTAGCTACTTCCTTGGAAACAAAAATTATTACTTGGCAGGGGAAGTGAAGGGACAAGCCCTTTAGTGTAATCACCATCTCGTTCTGTCCACTGAGGATTTATAGCTGTATTTATTTCACCCAACTCCTATCCTTTTCCTAGCTGAGCCTCACATATTAGCCTTGAGGTCTGTGGGGTACTGAAAATATGTTTTGCTAAAAATGGCAAATATTTCCTGAGCCCCTGCTTTGTGTCAGGCAGAGAGAATTTGGCTCTGACCGAAACAGCCATAGTACTTGTCTTCAAGGAGCGTATGACCCACGTAAGACCTTTTGAGCTTTCTCTACAGCTTTACATAAAGGTTGGTTTTCATTAAAAGTTTGCTTTGTTAATGTTTGTTTCATCTTTATAAATCTTTCCCTTTCCTTTACAGCCGAATTTTAAAGATTATCCTGTATATTTACTGAAGTTTAAGCAGTGTCTTTCTAAAGCTTTGCATCTCATGAAGACATACACTGTGAACACACTACAGAACCTCACAAATCAGTTATTAAAAAGGGTGAGTTAACTGGTGAGGTGGGGTTTTTTTTTTTTGTTTGTTTGTTTATTTTCTATAACCTTAGTCTGACATAGAAGAACTATACAGAAAAGATCTTCATGACGCAGATAACCACAGTGGTGTGATCACTCACCTAGAGCCAGACATCCTGGAATGCAAAGTCAAATGGGCCTTAGGAAGCATTACTGTGAACAAAACTAGTGGAGGTGATAGAATTTCAGTTGAACTATTCCAAATCCTAAAAGATGATGCTGTGAAAGTGCTGTACTCAATATGCCAGCAAATTTGGAAAACTCAGCAATGGCCACAGGACTGGAGAAGGTCAGTTTTCATTCCAATCCCAAAGAAAGGCAACGCCAAAGAATGCTCATACTACCTCACGATTGCACTCATTGCACACACTAGCAAAGTAATGCTCAAAGTTCTGCAAGCCAGGCTTCAACAGTACATGAACCGTGAACTTCCACTTCCAGCTTTTCAAGCTGGTTTTAGAAAAGGCAGAGGAACCGGAGATCAAATTGCCAACATCCACTGGATCATCAAGAAAGCAAGAGAGTTCCAGGAAAACATCTGCTTCTGCTTTATTGACTACACCAAACCTTTGACTGTGGATCACAACAAACTGTGGAAAATTCTGAAAGAGATGGGAATACCAGCACACCTGACCTGCCTCCTGAGAAATCTGTATGCAGGTCAAGAAGCAACAGAACTGGACATGGAACAACAGACTGGTTCCAAATTGGGAAAGGAGTATGTCAAGTCTGTATACTGTTACCGTGTTTATTTAACTTATATGCAGAGTACATCATGCGAAATGCTGGCCTGGATGAAGCACAAGCTGGAATCAAGATTGCCGGGAGAAATATCAATAATCTCAGATGTGCAGATGACACCACCCTTATGGCAGAAAGCGAAGAACTAAAGAACCTCTTAATGAAAGTGAAAGAGGAGAGTGAAAAAGTTGGCTTAAAACTCAGCATTCAGAAAACTAAGATCACAGCATCTGGTCCCGTCACTTCATGGCAAATAGATAGGAAAACAATGGAAACAGTGACAGACTTTTTTTGGGGGGCTCCAAAATCACTGCAGATGGTGACTACAGCCATGAAATTAAAAGATACTTGCTCCTTGGAAGAAAAGTTATGATAAACCTAGACAGCATACTAAAAAGCAGAGACGTTACTTTGCCAGCAAAGGTCCGTCTAGTCAAAGTTATGGTTTTTACAGTGATCATGTATGGATATGAGAGTTGGACTATAAAGAAAGCTGAGCACTGAAGAATTGATGCTTTTGAACTGTTGTGTTGGAGAAAACTCTTGAGAGTCCCTTGGACTGCAAGGAGATCCAACCAGTCCATCCTAAAGGAGATCAGTCCTGGGTGTTCATTGGAAGGACTGATGCTGAAGCTGAAACTCCAATACTTTGGTCACCTGATGCGAAGAACCGACTCACTGGAAAAGACCCTGATCCTGGGAAAGATTGAAGGCAGGAAGAGAAGGGGACAGCGGAGGATGAAGTGGTTGGATGGCATCACTGACTCGATGAACATGAATTTGAGCATACTTCGGGAGTTGGTGAAGGACAGGGAAGCCTGGCATGCTGCGGTCCGTGGAGTCGCAAAGAGTCGTACACGACTGAGTGACTGAACTGAACTGACTGAGCTCCATTTTTTTAACCTTTTGTTAAAAAAGAATATATATTGCAATGTCATTTATAATAAGAAAAATGGCCATATATATTTGTCTGTCACAGTTTTATTTTCAAAGAATACATAAGAATGTGAGAAATAATTCAGTACTATATGATAAAAAAAAGATTCAGACTATTTCTCACTGAAACATTTTCTGTCTTTTTAAAGAAAATATTAGGAAATACATCAAAATGATAAAAGTGGTTCTGAGTGGTGGAATTATATATGATGGATGATTTGAGTATTTTTCTTTATAAATGATGGATTATTTAATTTTCTCTATTTAAGAAATGTATTATTATTGAATGCCTGCTAAATGCTTGGCATTATAATGGGAACGGTACAGTAGTGAAAGGAGATAACAAGGTCCCTGCCTTCATGGAGCTTATATTCAGGAGAAATAATCAGTAAAGAAAGAAATAAATTAGTCAATTAAAGATTATGGTAGATGCTAGGTGGAAAATTAGCTGAGTGTTAGGTTAGAAAATAAGAGTGGAGCTAGATAGGATGGTCATTGAACACATTTCTTTCCTAAAAAAAATAAAACCTTAAAGGTAATACATTTTGTTTTTTAAGCTTACTTTCTAAAAATATGGAATATCTTCTTGAGCTTTCCGTTCAGAGCTACTGATTTTTGTATTGCATTTTATCATTCACATTGCTCTTAGCTTACAGAACAGATTGTATAATTTTTCTATTTTGCAAAATTTTTAATTTTGAAACTAATACCTAATACGTACTGGTGCTTACTGTGTGTTAGTGCTTTGTGACTGAGCTCTGTAGAACGTTTGTGCATATGTTTTGTCACCATTTAATGGATGCCCTGTATTTCAGAGAGGTTAAATAATTTGACCAATGTTCTACAGTCAGTAAATGATTGTGAATCTGAATTTAGTCTTTTTTACCGCCAAAATTCTTGAAGCATAGGATAAATTTTAATTATAAAAAGGAGAGAGATGGCAGCTCCACACAATTATTTTATATGTAGCAATAACAGTATTTAGTCTTTTTCTCTGTAAGCTTTTGGTTGGTATATAGGCCAAGCAGGAGCCATATGACATGGTTTGTGTTATATTTTCTGAATAATTTTTTGTTTGCTAATTATCTGCCTTCTCTGCCCTCCGCCTTGTGTCTTTAGGATCCTTCATCTGTACCTAATGCAGACAATGCCTTTACACTATTTTATGTGAAATTTCGAGCTGCTGCCCCCAAAGTCAGAGTAAGTCTACTGACATAAAAAAGATACTGCTATGAAATTTATTTAGCCAGCCCTTTGGAAATGCTAATATATGTTAAGTCCTTTGCTTATACCAGGAAAATGAGCATGAATGAATGTTAGGCTTTGTCCTTCCACATTATAGCAGTATATGTTGAGGGGCTTTAAGCCCACAGAGCAGGAAACACCTAGCTCTTCTGTGATGCTCAGGGAAGGTTTCCAGATGAAGCTGATATTTGAGCTTAAAAAGCTTGAATGTAGAGAGCACTTGAGGGGATTGATAAGGATATTTTTTACAGAGAGAGCAACATGTACAGGGAAGGTAATAGAACCATAATATGTATTTGGGGAGAACCTCATGTAATTTGTTGATACTAGAACACAGACTTTAGTGGAGTGTGATGAGAAATAAGAATGATGGCAGAGACCATCTCACGAAGGATGTTTCATGTCATGCTAATTCAGGAAAAGCAGAGAACCAGTACAATATTTTAAACCAGTGTCATCCCAGATACAGCTGACTGGAGCTGGTATGTGTATCTTTTTTTATTGTTGCAAAGTTTCTAGAAAGAGTGATCTGCTTTTGTTGACTTTGACCCCACTCTCTTCCTTGTATCCATCTTGAAAGTAAGTGGAAAGGAGTTTTTGTTTTTCAAAGCAGGAACTTGGTCTTGTTTAGAGAAGATACAGCAGCTAGTTGATAGTTCAAGGTTTAGATTGTGCCAGGTTGGTTGCTTTCACTTGTTAATCAATTAACAGTGATAGAGTTTTGATTAGCAAAAATGGTGTAGGCAAGAGGGCTCAGTGGTGAGTGGTATTTTTTGGTCTGTTAGAAATTGACAAAGTAAGGTGTAGTAGTGTTTTTCAGGATTTGGTGAGACAGGTGATACTGCTAATGGACTGTATTAATAGTTAGTTTCTTCCTCAAAAACATTTTAGCAGAATGGAACAAAAGTCTCTAAAAATATTTATCTTTTCTGACCCAGTGCTGGGAGCCCCCAACTGGGACGTAGGTATTATCATTGTATCAGCTTTCCAAGGTCAGAAATGGAATCTCAGTGATGTGGGCTTGTTTTCCTGGGCTCAGACAGCTACTGGGAGTCAGCACTTAAACCCTCTAGTTTCACTTCATGACCTGGAGCTCTTAACCACTGGGCTGATTTTAGAAAACAACCTTGATGACTAGCAATAGAAGAATGTCTGACTTAGAGTACATCCACTCAGTAGGATATCAAATAGCCATGTAAAGTGATGTTTTAAATAGTATTTATAATGATGATTCACTGACTGTTTACTGAGTGCCAGGCAGTAAGGCTAAGGCTTTTCAAACATTTTCATCTGATAACGGAAGTTATTTAATAAAAGGAAAGTGTTTTAAAATATTATTTTTCAAAAGCAGATTGTAAAGCTGAATATATAGTATAATTCCAGTTTTGTTTAAAAAGGAAAGTAACTGTGTACATACCAACATTGAAAGAAAATATTCTAAAATACTGTAATTAAAAAAAAAAATTTTTGCATTTTAGGTGATTTTTATGTTTCAGCTTTATTGTATTCCTAGATTTTCTAACATGAGCTTCTGTTACTGTTACAATCGGAAAGTAATTAAAAGTATAACTAAAACAGATGAAGTTAGTGAGCTTTTCTTTATTCCACAGACTCTCATTGAACAGATAGAACAACGATCTGAAAAAATACCTGAGTGAGTACCCGCAGGTTCTTCAGTTTCCAAATTGCCTTCCTTGAAGTTCTACTTTCCCAAGTTTGCTGTGTCCCTGATGTTTTCTGAGCAATTACCTTGTGTGCTATACCAGCCTTTTCTTGTGGCACACAGCTCAATTTGGGGACCAAGGTTACAGACCTGACTTTGTGAGTTTACAAAGCATCTTTTTCCCATACAGCAGGATTTTCTTCTCATTGAGGTAGATGTAGGACCACTGCTCCTGGAAGATGAATCTTTCTTTAAAAGATAAAGGTTTTGTTAGATCATTGTGATTTGTTTGCTTTTTCTTTATATACATAAATATTTCTAGTTTTTAATGTGGGCAAGTGAGCAGCAACCATGTATAACCTTGGAGTCTTGGCACCCTGTTTTGGATTAAGATCAGATTTAATTTACATACCTGGAATCAGAAGTTTATGCTGCCGTCTCATTTGCTTTTCATCAGATACCAACAGCTGCTAACTGACATCCACCAGTGTTACCTTGATCAGCGGGAACTCCTTTTGGGCCCCAGTATTACTTGTACTGTAACAGAGTTGACCAGCCAGAATAACAGAGACCACTGTGCCTTGGTAAGTTTCTGCTTGTTTCGGTTTAATGTTAAACCTTCTCTTAAGCTGTTCTGACACCCTAGAAACTACACGTGGGTAAATAAGTTTTGGTTCCACCATCAACAAATTTACAGAATCTTTCAGTTATGACAAATCTCATTTAGTAATTAGCATTCATTTGGGCAAAATATTCTAATTTTGATCTATTTTTGAGCATGTGATGATTTACAAATAAGTATTGTTTTTTGAAAGATGAAGTTTCAGAGTTGGTGGATTTATGTAGAGAGTTTAATCTTAGCTTTTGCTGTAGGAGTGCTTTTTTATTTAGTGTGATTTTAATTCAGACTGTAGGAAAGTACATAAAGATTCTTTTTTTAAATACCCTCCTTTGAACTGGAAGAGTACTTTTCATTGTCACAAGTTTAGAAAACTTAAGAAAATAAAAGTCATCCATATCCCCATTATGCTGAAAACTGTTTTCTGTTATTTAGGAAGTGGTTTTATGAATATATACGCATAGTCTCTTTGTAAATAAAACATTTGCTTTATTTCATCAGTTCTGGCTGGAGTCGTTGTGTGCCTTTAATCACAGGTGCTGTGTGTTTGTTCCCCACAGATTCGCAGTGGCTGTGCCTTTATGGTTCACGTGTGCCAGGATGAACACCAGCTTTACAATGAATTTTTCACAAAACCAACATCAAAATTAGAGTATGTGGTACATGGACTCTGATTCTTGTTTTTAAGATTTAATTTGCTAATGGCTTATATTATATTATAGTAGTACTCTAAAATTAACTAAAGCGTGTTTTAATTTTTGTGGGTATATGAACAGACTATTGTTGGATGAGACAGTGGCTATTTACTTTGAAATAAATATGCAGCTTAAAGGCCAATATGCTTTCATATTTTTATAATTATGGAAACAGTAAGTTACAAGAGTAAGATGCCTATATAGGCAGCTATTTTGGTATATGGAGCCTTTTATCTCCACTAAATATAATAATTCTTTTCAGTTAAAAAAATTCTGTGATTCTGACTCGTGAGAGATACTTAAAAATGTAGATACTATTTTAAATCCTATTTCTTATTTTTCTCAAAGTGTCTTTCAAACCATTCTTAGTCACTTCTGGGTTCTTCATATTGGCGATTTTGACTCATGAGAATCCCAAGATTATGACTCTTATAATGGGGAAGAAACAAACACATCTTATGGTTTTGGTGAAAGTCTATATATAGAAGAGTACGGTTGACAATATAAAGAGTATAAACAGCCTCACTTTTTTCTTTTCAAATGTTTAAAATTGTCAAAATACTTGGTGCATGTCCAGAATACTTTTGAGTTTTGTTATCTAAATCTGTGTGTAGTCAAGAGTTTTGAACCAGTCTTTCCTGGGAAAAATGTCACCATTTGATTCTTAGTGGTGTAGGTTATTTTATAGTGTAGGAAAATTAAAAATAATTAAATTATTTTATAGTGTAGGTTATTTATGGTGTAGGAAAATTAAGCCTACTGAAATATTTTACTGTTTTTGAAAGGATAGACACAAGATTATTGCTAATGTAAGTAAAAATTATAATAAATTGACTTTCAGCTGGGGCCAGCTAATTTGTTAACTGTGAGGATTGCTTATTCTGAGCTTTTTTATTGATTCTAGCAAAACAGTTCAGAGAATTACTTTCAGCCTTTCAGTTCTCATTATTTAATGTTCCTGCATATTATAGTCCAGTAGGTTTTCATTATTTTTATTGACTGGAAGTAATTAAGGGTGACTTTTAAACTATTAGAAAATACTGAAAGGATTACTACTGGTAACCATGTTTCATTCTTTCATTTTAGCGAACTTTTGGAGAAATTGTGTGTGTCGTTGTATGATGTCTTCAGGCCATTGATCATTCATGTTATTCACTTAGAAACTCTATCGGAACTTTGTGGGATACTTAAAAATGAGGTGCTTGAAGATCATGTACAGAATAATGGTAAATGATAAGTAGAAATGATAATTTCAAAGATTATTTAAAAAAAAAATTTTATTTGGTTGCATTGGGTCTTCATTGTGGTGTGTGGGATCTAGTTCCCTGACCAGGGATCAAGCTCAGGCCGCCTGCATTGGGAGCACAGAGTCTTAGCCACTGGACCACCAGGAAAATGTCCCAAAGGTGTTTTTAAATTATATCTGTGACTCAATGAATTTGAAAAAGATTAGCCACTCCCCCCCATCTAAATTTAATATATTTAAAACTTGGGTTGATGCTTTGTCTCTTTTTGAACCAAGATGCACTTTATCCTGTGACTAAAATAATAATGGGGAAAGAATTTTAAAGTCTTTGTAAAATTAGTAATAAAATAATTGCAGTTACTGTTCTTTCTGGCATCTGAAATCCAGAGAGAAGCAATCATTAGTTTTGTTTGGGCATTTCTAGTACACTGTTGGGGCTTGCCAGGTGGCTTAGTGGTAAAGGATCCTCCTGCAGTGCCGCAAACCCTGCATCGGGAAGATCCCTGGAGAAGGAAATGGCAACCCACTCCAGTATTCCTGCCTGGAAAATTGCATGGACAGAGGAACCTGGCAGGCTATAGTCCACTCTGGGGTCACAAAAATTCGGACACGACTGAGCACACACGCCTGACTAGGGATTGAACCTGGACTCTTGGTAGTTGAGAGTGCGGAGTCCTAGCCACTGAGCCTCTGAGAAATTCCCTCATTTCATTTTTTACTCATTTTTCCTTGTAGGAATGTTAACAAGTCATTTAGTATCTGTGGACCTCAATTTATATGTAAAATGGGGATTAATTTAGTTAACAAGTTGCTTTAGTCATCTCTCAGGATTGGGATGAAGCTATATGAGGTACCTTTTAAAAATCGCAGAGCACTTTAAAACCAAGATTTTATTATTCATATTAATAATGGAAGTTATTTCAGAGAGTCTCAGGAAGAAGATATAAGGGCAAATTTATTTTCCAACCTTAAATCTGAAATTGGAAGACAGTTATTTCAAAATAGAATATAACCAGTCCCTGAAGCAAGACTGGTTTATCCTATTGTAGACAATTTTGTAATGTTTTTGCTTGTTTAAAGAAAGTATTTTCTAAATCTAAAGGAATGGGTGATTGCACTTTTGTTTTAAACCAGCTGAACAGCTGGGGGCATTTGCAGCTGGCGTGAAGCAGATGCTGGAAGACGTACAGGAGCGGCTTGTCTACCGGACCCACATCTACATTCAGACGGACATCTCGGGCTACAAACCAGCTCCTGGAGATCTGGCCTATCCTGATAAGTTAGTCATGATGGAGGTGGGTCTTCTTGTTGACTCTTTCACCCACCCTCACACGTTTGGATATTTTATACCAGTGAAGATAGGATATTTCTTTTTAATTCTCATTCAGGATGCAAAATCAAGGGAAACTTGCCATGAAATCTTAGGAAATAACATTTTTAAAAAACTGAACAGAAATGATTTGTTAGAGTGTTCTTTTTTTGTCCTTCAAGTTGTATTTTACAAACATTCTGTTCAGTTATCTCTTCTTTTCCATTATGCATTCTGTTTTTAAGTTGAATTTGTGCTTTCTTTTTTTTTTGTAAGTGGCATCAGATCCGTTGCTCAGTCGTGTCCGACTCTTTTGCGACTCCATGGACTGTAGCACACCAGGCTTCACTGTCTTGTCACCAACTCCCGGAGCTTGCCCAAACTCATGTCCATTGAGTCGGTGATGCCATCCAACCATCTCATCCTTTGTCATCCCTTTTTCCTCCTGCCTTCAATCTTTCCCAGCATCAGGGTCTTTTCCAAGGAGTCAGTTCTTCGAATCAGGTGGACAAAGATTGGAGCTTCAGCTTTAGCATCAGTCCTGCCAATGAATATTCAGAATTAATTTCCTTTAGGATGGACTGGTTGGATCTCCTTGCAGTCCAAGGGACTCACAAAAGTCTTCTCCAACACCATAGTTCAAAAACATCTTTGGTGCTCAGCTTTCTTTGTAGTCCAACTCTCACATCCATACATGACTACTGGAAAATCCATAACTTTGACTAGACAGACCTTTGTTGGCAAAGTAATGTCTCTGCTTTTTAATATGCTGTCTAGGTTTGTCGTAGCTTTTCTTTTAATTTCGTGGCTGCAGTCACCTCTGCAGTGATTTTGGAGCCCCACAAAATAGTCTGTCACTGTTTCCATTGTTTCCCCATCTATTTACCATGAAGTGATGGTACTGGATGCTGTGAACTTGGTTTTCTGAATGTTGAGTTTTAAGCCAACTTTTTACTCTCCTCTTTCACTTTCATCAAGAGGCTCTTTAATTCTTTGCTTTTTGCCATAAGCGTGGTGTCATCTGCATATCTGAGGTTATTGATATTTCTCCCAGCAATCTTGATTCCAGCTTGTGCTTCATCCAGGCCAGCATTTCGCATGATGTACACTGCATATAAGTTAAATAAGCAGGGTGACAGTATACAGCTTTGATGTATTCCTTTTCCTATTTGGAACCAGCCTGTTGTTCCATGTCTGAGTCTAACTGTTGCTTCTCGGCCTGCATACAGATCTCTCAGGAGGCAGGTCAGGTGTTCGGGTATTCCCTTCTCTTTAAGAGGTGTCCCCATTTGGCTCCTAGGCCCAGCCCGGCTGGTCAGGTCCCTGAACTCTTCACCAGTTTCCGGCAGCTCCTGCTCCACAGGGTCTGCGCACTGCTCCCAGGTGTCCTGCAGCAGTTTTGTACCAAACTTCCTGGCTTCTCAGCCTGGCCCTCCTGTGACAATGAGACTCTCTGCCGCTGCCAGCCAGGCCTGTTTCCAGACCCTCCTCGGGTCAGACCTCTATGTTGACTGTGGCCTTGAAGGTGACTCCAGGTTAGCTACCCCTCTAGATGCAGCGACGGAAGCTTCTGACCCTCCTAGAGGAGGAGGCGCCCATGTTCAGAGGAACACACAATCAAGCAAAGTAGGTAAAAGAAGGAAGGCAAGGAAGCAAGCTTGCTGGCTGAGACTCCCTCAGCCTGACCGTGCTTCTCACCTGTGCCTTTAGGTCTGGCCGTTGTTTGTAAGTGACATAGAAGAGGATTAGTAACATATGATCCACCAGAGTGGATGGTCACATAACCATGTGTGATGGTCTCTTATTAAAAACCCTGGAGGTTGTTTCCTCAAAACTACACAGTACTGGTCTCCAGTTTATGGTCTGAAGACTTAGGTACATCTAACTAATCTTTCAGTTACAAATATATTTGCATTTCCTTTGAGTGCTGGACAGAGTTTAAATAATGCCTAGGGTATTAGTGCTAAAACAGAATTAGAACCTGGAGCTTCTTATTTTTATTGATTTATTTTTTTGAATGACAAAGTCAAGTATACTGCAGCAGGTTACAGCAGTGGAGACAGGACATGGGAAGGGGCGGGCTGGGGGAGTTGTTGGTGTCACCAACTGTCCCAGGAAGTTAGTGACGGCACCCCCGGGCCTTGACCTGTGCTGAGTTCTCGGCACCCTGGAAAGTCAGCCAGTCAGCACACCTTGGACCTGCTGGTCACCTCCTCATGGGCCAGGCCCACAGTAAAGCTGGAGACACAACCCAGAGCTCTAGGCAGCATGTCCCTCCTGCCCATGGGGTCACCTGCACAGCTCAGAGCACGGAGGAGGGGACTGCGGAGATGACCTCTGCTGGGGCGCGTATCCTCAGGACGGCGTCTATCTGGTGAAGGACGAGCCTGTGCCTTCTTGGTGGGGACCTTTAGCAGTGCCAGATTCTTGGGCAGACTGGTGTTAATGGATCTGCTTCTAAGCCTGATGCAGGGACTTGTGCTCGCTTTCTCCTTCCTCCCTTTCTTTCCTTGTCTCCTTGTGAATATCAGTTTTTGTTTTCTAGATAGAGTACCTGTTTTAATAATTCTGTCTGATAGGATGTCAGGTGATTAAGTTTACTGTATACTCCCCCCACCCCGACCCTGGACTTCCCAGGTAGTGCTAGTGGTTAAGAACCCTCCTGCCAATGCAGGAGATGTAAGCGATGTATGTTCAATCCCTGGGTTGGGAAGACCCCCTGGAGGAGGGCATAGCAGTCTACTCCAGTATTCTTGCATGGAGAATCCCATGCACAGAGGGGACTGGTGGGCTATAGTCCGTAGGGTCACAAAGAACTTGACATGACTGAAGTGGCTTAGCACACACACAAACCCCCTCCCAGTTTAATTTAGTAGTACATTTGGTATGTTTATTCAGTCATCACATGGCCAGTGTCTTGAGTGTTTTCTTGTATAGACCTCTTGGTTTAAGGATACTGCTTCCAGTGAATCTACTTGCTTTTTTTCTTTTGGTGAGGGTCAGGGGTATAGAGTGGTCTGGCTGTTACATCTGTGTGTCATTTGGGGATTAGCTATACTTTCTGATTTGTGCATGCTAGCTATACTTTCTGATTTGTGCATGCAGAATGAAAGGACAGGCCTGATTGATTTGGAGCCTGTCTCCTAAATAGTTATCTGGCCATTTCTTTTTTTTGGCAGTAGCTGAATGTCTTTTAGGCCTTCATTTCTGTGTATTTCCGCCTGTATAACCAATGTAAATTGGTAGGATTTTCACTGCCCCCTTAGTAGTTAGTGATGTGTATATTTGATGATATTTTTTTAAGCAGTGGAGAAGAAGAGCCAGATAGTTTCCAGTCCATAAGATAATTTTTTAAAATCTGTTTAAAAAAAGACCAAAAAAAAAAAAAAAAAAAGACCAACCAGTAGCTGTTCTCACATAAAGAGAAAACCATGGTGTGAGTTAGCTGACTACTTGATATAAGCATTTCTGACATCCACAATGTATCCAGTCTTAAATCTGAGTATTTTGTTTCTAAATATAAAGTTGAAAATTAAGCTTCTAATCTGAGGCTTGTATATTTGATTTTCTAGCACATACCTTGTAATGGTTCTGAAATTAGTGGTTCAGGAAAGTCTGTGTTTGCCTTTATGAAAATAGAGATACTACCAGTTTAACTTTTCATTTCTATGTGCTGTTTTGGCATGGTTCTCTTAAGTAGTCCATTTATTCATTAATTAGGATATATATCTTTTACTTTATAGAAACACTGTGTTCGTGTTGCTAGACACAGCTAAAAACTACACTTTAATGTTCTGTCTGATTTCTTTATATAGCAAATTGCTCAGAGTTTAAAAGATGAACAGAAGAAGTTACCACCTTCAGAAGCTTCATTTTCAGATGTTCGGTTAGAAGAAGCAGAGCCTCCTAATAGTCTAACAAAATCTGGTATGTTATGCTGTCTTAACTTCCATTATTTAATTCATTCATTTAATAAATTTATATTGAGGACTTGCCGTGTCTCAGGCAGGAAAAACTGTTTATGCCTTTGAAGAGCCCACACTTTAGTGGGGGGAGATTGGCGTGCCACAGGCATTAAGCAAGATGTTCAAGGGTAACAGGATAAAGATATGGACAGGACTCTCTGGGACCATGGAAGGACCGTGGAAGAATTGTGAAGGGGGATGAGCTTTGTGTGCAGAAAGGCAGGTTCAGTGAGAGCTGTGGAATCTTAAAGCTGTCATGTGGATGAGTATGAGAGAGCCAGGTGAAATAAGGTTGTTTAAGACAGAGTAGCATGGAGGCCTGCAGACAGGAGTGGAACACCGTAGGTGCTTGGGGAGGTCACGTGGTTTGGTGTGTTCGGGCACCAGTTATTTGTAGGGAAGGAGCAGCTGAAATAGGCCAGAGTGTGATAGGTGTCAGGGGATAATCTCATGGACTTGGAAATTCTAGCTACTTGTACCATCAGTTTTGCATTTTTTAAATGTGCCTGGACTGGGGTGAAAAATTGACAGAAATATGTGGGATAGTTTGAACTAGGGTGTATGTTATGCAAGGAGCAAAATTGTCCAAGAGTCACCCTGGATAACTTGTGAGTTATCTCGTGGCCCCTGTGTTGGCAGGTGGATTCTTTAACACTGGACCACCAGGGAAGTCCAGGGTGGCGTTTTAACGTGTCACATTTATGATTCACTTAATAGTCCTCTTGGACTGCACTGCTCTAGAGCTATAAAGAGGAAGACTGGTTTAGAGATAGACTGAGGAGTCATTGATACTTTTTTTTTTTCTTTTTTTTTCATTGATATTTTGGAATTGTATAAGATCACCCAGGACAGAGAGTAGCAGAATAGCGAAAGTCTGGGGAGAGAATTGTAACAGGGGCTGACGTTAGGAGCAGATGGAGGGAGTGGACTGGTACCAGGTCGGCAGGGAAAGAACAGCCAGAGAGGTGGGCTGCAAGAAGAAGCAACAAGAGAGGGTGTGATAAGTCAGAGGAGGAGGGCTTGGCAGAGTGGTTTGAGTAAAGAGTTGAGAAATAAGAAATCTGAGGACATTGTGGCCAGAGAGTGGGATACCGAGTTTTAATAATTAAGAGGTAGAATAGTTCGGAGTAGTAAAATCTGTAGAAATTAATAAGAAAGTAATTCTGAAAGTTAAACTGTCTGGACTAGGGGTGCAGGAATGGAAGCGAAGGTCTTTGGAGTTGAAAAGGTCAGGGACAACCACGTGAGTCATCCATATGGCTCCTGATGTTATTTAGAATGGAGATGGAATTGGGGTTGGAAAGCAAGGCTCTGAGTCTTGGCAAGGGAAGCAAAAAAAAAGAGTAATCACTTTTCCTGGTCTTCTGGTATGTCAGAAGTATGTAGGAGATGCCTCTAAAGTGAGGCCTTTAAATGACGTGATGTTCATGTAGTAGGAGTAGTGAAAAAGTGAGTGTTAGTCACTCAGTTGTGTCCAGCTCTGTGACCCCACAGGCTGTAGCCCACCAGGCTCCTCTGTCCATGGGATTCCCCAGGCAAGAACACTGGAGTGGCCTGCCTTTCCCTTCTCCAGGGGATCTTCCCAACCCAGGGATCGAACCCTGGTTTAATGCAGGTCTCCTGCATTGCGGACAGATTCTTTACCATCTGAGCCACCAGGAAGCCCAGTAGGAGTAGATGTCAGGGCACATTGGCAGATTGGTGGAGGGTCTATCCTGTGAAGAGGCTGATTATCAGTATCTTCAAAAAGCGTAGCTCTTAATCTCCATGTGACTGCCTCACATGCAAGTGAGGGCAGTGTGAGGCTCACGGAGGAGGAGACAGCAGGCGCGGGGGACGCCCTGCAGCCGGTTTGCGCTGCTCCTCAGAAGAGGCAGCCAGCAGGCCCTGGACTTGCAGTGTAAGGAACTTTTCCCCATCCACCACTTCAACTATTAACTGTTCTCAGGAAAATGAAAAAAGGAACGAATAAATTGACTTCGGGCTTTAAGCTACTTAAACACATTTATTTCACTAAACTCTAACTTGGGAGTACTTTTTGGGCTCTTTCATTTTGAAGGAGGAATCCTGCAGATAGCATGATTCTCAGCAAAACTATGGATACTTAATCTCCTAAATATTCCATGATATACTTTTATCTAGTTCATTCTTTCTCCTTAAGAAATTTTATATAAAGTAGATATCCTAGTTTAAAGTAAGGCAGAGCTTTTTAAAATTTTACAAGTATCACATGCTTTTGAAAAAAAATTAAGCTTACAGAACGATAAAGAGAAAGCACCAACCCTTAATGTTGCCCTCAACCCTTTCCTTCATAAATCCACTCCACAAGCCTCCAGGTCTCCTTTTGAGCATATGAAGATCTGGCTGTTTTAAAATGTTTTTTATTTTTTTGGCTGCACCTCATGGCTTGCAGGATCCTTAGTTCCCCAACCAGGGTTCAAACCCAGGCCCCCTGCAGTGGAAGCACAGAGTCCTAAGCACTGGACCTCCAGGGAATTTCCTATAGCTCTTTTTTTTAAAAAAATGAATTTTGTTTTGCTTGGCTATACTTTTACTTTTTTATTATTTAAAAAAAATTCAAATACACAGAAACATGGAATGATACAATGAACACCTATGCCCACCACCTGGATTTAAGACTTAACATTTTATCATGTTGTATCTAATAGTTTTGCTAATTGTTTTAAAGTGAGTTATTGACATCATTGCAACTTTACTTTTGAGTATTTCAGCATCTCTCCCCCCACCCCCCAAAATGGGACATCTTTCATGTAACCATAAACCAGTATTGCACTGAAAAATTTGGTAATGTTTCCTGATGTGTTCTAATACGCAGTCTGCATTTCAGTCTGCCTTTCTTGTCTCAGAGTGTGGTCTTGGCTCCACTTTGATGGCTCATGTGAATTCTGGTCCCTCCACCCAGGTCCCTCCACCCGGGTGATTGTGCTTCTCTTACAGAAGTGTTTCTGTGCAGCCACATTCCTCTCATTCTCCTCTTCACACTTGCTGGCAGCTGCCTTTCCTGACCTGGGGAGGGTGGGGTGGGGGGCTGGACACATAACTCTGGGCACTTGGGCACAGGATACTCTGAGTGGGCCTGGAAATGATACAGTTCTGCATGTGGAAGGCTGTAAGGCAAACGAGCTTTGATTAATCTTCTGGTTTAAAGTGCTTTGTTTTCTTGTTACTCCCTTCCCACCCCAACTTGTGTCTACGTGACTACATTTGGATCTGTCTTCTTTTTATTGGGTGCATGGTATTCTGTAATGTGTGTATACTGCTCATGTAGTTCATAAAGATAATTGATTGCAGTGTGGAGAAGTCAACATGGGCTGAGTGTGGGAGGCTGGAATGTACAGATGTGGGTGTTCATGTGTGTTCTTACTCAGTGTGTTAAATCTCACCTGTCACTGATTTAGATTTCCTTTGGCATTCTCGATTAGAGACGAGTCTAGAGAAAATGTATGCCTCCAGCCTTTGATAGGTAACAGAAACTAACAGTTTATAGTTGCTGTGCATATAAGACAGACCTGTGAAATGTCTTCTTTTCCATTTCGGGTTTTAGGTTCATCTGAATCTCTCAATCCTAGACCGCAGACCACGATTTCTCCAGCAGATCTTCATGGAATGTGGTATCCTACAGTTCGACGAACTCTTGTCTGTCTCTCCAAATTGTACAGATGTATAGATGTATGTGTGTCAGTCAATCCTTACTGTAAATTGTTTGCTCTGTGACTTAAAATATTTTTTAATTTGAATTTTATTTTAAGATCTTGATGCAATATATTTTGCTTGTAGTAGATTCAAATAATAAGATTTTTAGATACAGAGATAACTTTAAGATCAATCTAACTTAGAGATTCTTTTTTTTTTTTTTTTTAAACACGGGCAGGATTTATTTTTTTTTATTTTTTTATTTTTTTTAGTAAATCATACATTTTATTTATTTTTTTTTTTCACAACCATAGTGTATCTTTTTTTTTTTTTTTTTACATGTATTCCCCATCCCGGTCCCCCCTCCCACCTCCCTCTCCACCCAATCCCTCTGGGTCTTCCCAGTGCACCAGGCCCGAGCACTTGTCTCATGCACCCAACCTGGGCTGGTGAACTGTTTCACCCTAGATAATATACGTGTTTCGATGCTGTTCTCTTGAAACATCCCACCCTCGCCTTCTCCCAGAGTCCACAAGTCTGTTCTATACGTAGGAGTCTCTTTTTCTGTTTTGCACATAGGGTTATCGTTACCATCTTTCTAAATTCCATATATATGTGTTAGTGTACTGTAATGGTCTTTATCTTTCTGGCTTACTTCGCTCTGTATAATGGGCTCCAGTTTCATCCATCTCATTAGAACTGATTCAAATGAATTCTTTTTAATGGCTGAGTAATATTCCATGGTGTAACTTAGAGATTCTTAACCCGAGTGTTTGGTAGGCCCTCAGAATCCTCTCATGGGTTTTGGGTGGTCTGTGAACACCTTGAAGTTGTGGGTAAAGTTTTGTCTGTATGTTTGTATTTGTCTTTTTGAGAAAAAGACCTATAACTTTTATTGTTTCTCATGGCTGCAGATACATTTAAAACTCTTTATTAGTTCATCTGTCTTTAGTCTATAGATGAAGAAAAAGATACAGAAAGGTTAATATGTCCAATGTCACATACATATATTTTGTATAATATACATTTATTACTGAATGCAACTAGTTTTGTACTCAGTTTAAATCAACCACTTTAACAGGTGTTTCTTGTTAACACAGATTACATGTGTTTCTAACCATGGACTAATTATTTGCTGAAATTAGCAGTACCCTTTTAGTTTTTCAGCCCCAGCTTATACTGCACATTTATTTTAGGTGGCATTTATTTTAAGCGTTTCAGTTTAATGATATATCAGTCACTGAATGATCAGTTGTCTACCTTTATTTACTGTTAATGTTAAAACCCAACAAAATAGTTTATAAAATCGGTGACTTTAATTCACTTTTCAAAAATTAATTTGATCATTACAATTTAAATAGCATATGAAGAGAGAAGTGATTAAATACAGAAAGAAAAGAAAGTGAAGTCACTCAGTTGTGTCCAACTCTTTGCGACCCCATGGACTGTAACCTACCAGGTTCCTTTGTCCATGGGATTTTTCAGGCAAGGGTACTGGAGTGGGTTGCCGTTTCCTTCTCCAGGGGATCTTCCCAATCCGGGGATTGAACCCGGGCCTCCCGTATTGCAGGCGGATCCTTTACTGTCTGAGCCATCAGGGAAGACTGCGACAATCATGTAACTAATTGTCCAGAAGCCACTGTCTTTAAGAGTGGGGTTCAGAAGGGAACGTGTGTATCCCCTCCCACTCTGGAGATCCTCAGGCCTGAGCAGGGTTGCGCAGCTGACTCATGGGTTCACTGGAGAGCTCACTACTTGGTGTCTATGTTAAACTGCATCACTCCTGGAGTTTGTGCTTGGAGATTCTGGGATTGAACCAGAAAGCGCCTTTTACTTGATTCTGGGATATTTAGGGGTGAGGCCAGGTCGCCTGTGCAGAGTTGGATATCTCAGCTGTTTTGCCCAGCTTCTGAGATCTCTCTCAGAGGGAGACTTGGATGTTGGCAGCCCTTCTTCCCCAGGTCCTCCCAGTAGGTGTATTGAATGATAGTGTTAGGTTGGGATTCAGAAACTTCCTACAGTGGAGCCAGGATCCCAAGGGAAGTACGCGGGGCCACATTCCACTGTGGAACCCACTGTCATCACAGACCCTGGTGAAGTCTCTTAGGTGTTTAGCAGGTATTTTAGGCAAACAGTAGGTAGGCCCATGAATGACACTGTGCCTGTTTTTGTTTTATGCCCTAGGCCTACCCATTACATTTTCACCTAGCTTACATTCAAATCTTATCCCTCTCCATCTGACCAGTCAAAGGTAAAGAAAGACAAATGAGCAGGAGGAAGAGAGGGTCTCAGTTGAAGCTGTCTTCCTAAGGCAGGCAGGGTGAGTGACCTAGCAAGTTCAGTTCAGTCGCTCAGTTGTGTCCGACTCTTTGCGACCCCATGGACTGCAGCACGCCAGGCCTCCCTGTCCATCACCAACTCCCAGAGTATATTCAAATTCATGTCTATTGAGTCAGTGATGCCATCCAGCCATCTCATCCTCTGTCGTCCCCTTCTCTTCCCGCCTTCAATCTTTCCCAGCATCAGGGTCTTTTCAAATGAGTCAGTTCTTCACATCAGATGGCCGAAGTATTGGAGTTTCAGTTTCATCGTCAATTCTTCCAATGAATATTCAGACTGATCTCCTTTAGGATGGACTGGTTGGATCTCCTTGCAGTCCAAGGGACTCTCAAGAGTCTTCTCCAACACCACAGTTCAAAAGCATCAATTCTTCGGTGCTCAGCTTTCTTTATAGTCCAACTCTCACATTCATATGTGACTACTGGAAAAAACATAGCTTTGACTTAACAACAAAGACGGAACTTTGTTGGCAAAGTAATGTCTCTGCTTTTCAATATGTTGTCTAGGTTTATCATAACTTTTATTCCAAGGAGCAAGTGTCTTTTAATTTCATGGCTGCAGTCACCATCTGCAGTGATTTTGGAGCCCAGAAAAATAAAGTCTGTCACCTTTTCCACTGTTTCCCGATCTATTTGCCATGAAGTGATGGGACCAGATGCCATGATCTTCGTTTTTTGAATGTTGAGTTTTAAGCCAACTTCTTCACTCTCCTCTTTCACTTTCATCAAGAGGCTATTGAGTTCTTCTTTGCTTTCTGCCATAAGGGTGGTGTCATCTGCATATCTGCAGTTATTGATATTTCTCCCAGCAATCTTGATTCCAGCTTGTGCTTCTTCCAGCCCCGCATTTCTCATAATGTACTCTGTATATAAGTTAAATAAACACGGTAACAGTATACAGCCTTGACGTACTCCTTTTCCTATTTGGAACCAGTCTATTGTTCCATGTCCAGTTCTAACTGTTGCTTCTTGACCTGCATACAGATTTCTCAAGAGGCAGGTCAGGTGGTCTGGTATTCCCATCTCTTTCAGAATTTTCCACAGTTTGTTGTGGTCCACACAGTCAAAGGCTTTGGCATAGTCAATAAAGCAGAAGTAGATGTTTTCCTGGAACTCTCTTGCTTTTTGGATGATCCCAATGGATGTTTGCAATTTGATCTCTGGTTCCTCTGCCTTTTCTAAAACCAGCTTGAACATCTGGAAGTTCACGGTTCACGTACTATTGAAGCCTGGCTTGGAGAATTTTGAGTATTACTTTACTAGCATGTGAGATGAGTGCAATTGCGTGGTAGTTTGAGCATTCTTTGGCATTGCGTTTCTTTGGGATTGGAATGAAAACTGACCTTTTTCAGTCTTGTGGCCACTGCTGAGATTTCCAAATTTGCTGGCGTATTGAGTACAGCACTTTCATAGCATCATCTTTTAAGATTTGAAATAGTTCAACTGGAATTCCATCACCTCAACTAGGTTTGTTCGTAGTGATGCTTCCTGAGGCCCATTGACTTCACATTCCAGGATGTCTGGCTCTAGGTGAGTGATCACACCATCGTGATTATCTGGGTCGTGAAGATTTTTTTTGTACAGTTCTTCTGTGTATTGCCACCTCTTCTTAATATCTTCTGCTTCTGTTAGGTCCATACCATTTCTGTCCTTTATTGAGCCCATCTTTGCATGAAATGTTCCCTTGGTATCTCTGATTTTCTTGAAGTGATCTCCAGTCTTCCCATTCTGTTGTTTTCCTCTATTTCTTTGCACTGATAGCTGAGGAAGGCTTTCTTATCTCTCCTAGCTATTCTTTGGAAATCTGCATTCAAATGGGAATATCTTGACCTAGCAAGAGACAGCTTTAATCTCTTCTCACTGTGCAGTAGCCTCATGAGAAACAGAGGAGAGGGTAGCAGTGCAAAAAGGGAATAAATCATTACGCCCGAGACCAGAGCCCAGGATGGTGGCCTATTAATAAATATTTTCCTCATACACATCCTTATCAGTTCCATTTCAGGTGAAGTAGAGGCAGAGAGGAAGCAGGGGAACTGACAGGAGTCTGTGCACATACCACACCTCTGGGAAGATACAGCAATGGCAGAATTAAATTAATCATATGTCACCTTTTTTTTGTAACCTGATTTTGTTTTTATGAATTATATTCTTGTACAAGAATTTTATCACTTCCTGTTTAGCATCCTTTGATTTCATGTACAGTGTTCCATAATTTAGATTTACTAGTATTTTGTCAGCCGCCTATCACTGAACATTTAAGTTATTTCCAGATTTTTTCTTTTTTTTTTTTGCTGCTTTAAATAATATTATGAAAAGAGCCATGCGTATGAATCTTAGAATACAGTACTGATATTACTTGGGATACATTTTTAGAAGTGGATTTACTGAGGCTTTGTTTTAAAGTTGGTTTTGTATGTTTAAAAAATAGCCTATATCATGAGATCGTACTGGAGTGAGAGCGCCACAAGGTCAGATCACATCTGCTTTGCGCACCTACCACTGTGCTTCCAGGACCAGCACAGAGCCTGGCATGAAATAGGTGCTCAGGAAATATTGTTGACAGGTAACATGAGAGTTTCAAGAGGTGCAAATTAGGAAATTGTGCTGGTCTAGAAAGCTTAGTGGGAATAGGAAAGTCTGGGAGGAGTATTGGTTCAGTTCAGTTGCTCAGTCGTGTCTGACTCTTTGCGATTGGTAGTAATAAATTAATTCATCAGATGAGGGCAAGCGAACTGTACTCACAGCCTACAAATTTCCTTTTTGCTATGTTTGAAGTGCTACAGGGGATGTTTCTCTTTTGTTTCACCAGAGGGCAGTGTTCCAAGGACTATCACAGGAAGCCTTGTCGGCCTGCATTCAGTCCCTGCTTGGAGCATCAGAGTCCATCAGCAAAAACAAGGTTTGATGAAGTGTTAGATGAAATCTGATCATCTATAGTACTATTGTGGAATGCAGCGTTTATTTACAGGCACAGAAATTTAAAGCCATTTTGACTACTGTCAAAATTTATTTTTTTAATGTGATTTAATTTTGAGGCCCTTTGAGAGAAGCTAGTACTTCATTTTAGTGCTAAAGACTACGTTATATAAGAGAGTGCCAGTTTTGCTGAAGTACCAAAGGTGGTACTTAGGTTATAAATTCTGTGGGATAAAGGTTTCTTGTTCTAGCGTTAGTATCAAGAAGGTACTAGACTGCTCTTTCCCTGGAATACCGAAACTGTTTTCCGAAACGTAGCAATCTGTCATCATCCCTACAGTGACATTCCAAATAGTTGAATGGCCTCACTTGGAGGAATCAGTCAGTCAGTTTGGAAGATAAGAGTTGTGGCCCATAGATTACATGACTAGAAGGAGTTGACATGATTTTGTAACTTACAGTTTTTATTCAAGAAGAAGGGATCTGGGGCTGATGGCTGTTGGCATGTGCTTTTCCCACAGCCCCTGAGATTTTTATTTTCCAGAAAGTATGGTTCAGAATGCTGCTCTAACTCTCCACCTAAAATACCTGTTGCTTCCCAACAGGGAGGAAGTTGTGGGACTGTTTCCAGCCAAAATTTCATATCTCGTGGGAGTTTTCAGACCTTGTGAATCTTTCTAGACTTCTGGATTTATAAACTTGGTTTCTAACTTCAAGGTTTTAGATAAACTAAAATCAGAATCCTCCTCACGGGAGAATGTGGGATCCTAGACAAGGTGGAAAAAGCTCTGCCTTTGTTTGTGACCACTGTATGTTCCCATTCATGGGATTGAGAGTTGAAGGGGAATTCTGACACGGGAACTAGAAGAGAATGGAAAGTTAAGTTATAGACAGGCAGTTTGAAATTTAAAACATATTTCCAAGCCTGAGCTTTCATATTCATATTCATATTTTATGATAGAGGGAATTAGGAAACACGTCTAACACTAGACACATGTTTAAGTAAATTGTGGTATATTCCATACAGTGAAATATACAGATGTTAAGTTCTAGAAAAGGGAATGATAAAATTTAACGTAAATATGTTACGGCAAAAACAAGGCACAGGATACGAATCAGATGATAACTATGTAGTGAGTATATTCATGTAAAAAAGTAGTGATGAAAGGTTTTGGGTGACTGTAGATGATTTTTGTTTCTTCTCACGCTTGTCTTTATTTTCCACATTTTATACAGTGAGCATGTATTTCTTAGATTATCAGAGGGAAAAAATTGACCTAATTTAAAAAATTCATGTGCTTATATCCTCTTGTACCACTGTCCCCATTTTAAAGGGAAGAATGTAAGCCCTTTTTTTCATTATTTGGCCTTTCCCCCACACCACCTGTAAGGCCATCCTTGCATAAGGCCATCGTCTGACTGTGTTTCCTTCATATTATAAGGTGCTTAAATATATATGAGGAGACCTTCAATTTAGTAAGAATTAGCTGATTTATTTTCATAACTAAGTGTCCTTTTCATCTTTCAACTTTTGGAAAAGTGATCAATGCAAATGTCTTAATGTGTTGAGACTTTCTTAAGGCAAGAAATTTTCTTCCATACTTAAACTGAGCACCTAGTATATCAGTACACTAACATGATACTATTTGCTGAATCACAGTAGCTTCAGCAAAGTAAATCCAATCTATATGGTACTGTTTTCTCCTTCGGAGCTGTTAGTTCTTTGGAAAACAGAGCAGTTATTCAAAACGGGTAGCATTTCCTCGTTACCCAGTGCTCTGTGCTCCAGAGTGCAGAGTGAGTTTCCTCAGGTAATTCATGTGTGCACGTTGATCTGTGTCCGTTCAGGAGGGTGGGAAGGAGAGAGAGCAGCGGATTCAGCGGAGTCACTGTGACGGCCTCTTTAGAGCTGGCACAGCGCGCCACGCTTCACCGTGTGTGGCTCTGCTGTGCTTCACAGGTAGCTGGGGGTTTGCGTCTCTGTTTTTTACAGACTGAAGGTCTGTGGCCACCTGCATCACACATGTCGCTGGCACCATTTTCCCACAGCGTTTGCTCACTTGGTGTGTGTGCATCACGTTTTGGCAGTTCAGTGTTTCAGACTTTTTCATTATTATATTTGTTATAGTGATCGGTGATCAGGGATCTTTGATAGTACTGTTGACTTGCTGTAGGCTCAAATGATGGTTGTTTAAAAATACTTCATTGCTAAAGATGGTTAATATTTTTAGCAATAAGTATTTTAAAATTAAGGTATGTATTTTGTTTCTTTAGACATAATGCTCTTGGCCACATAATAGTATGGTGTAAATGTAACCAAAAAATTTGTGTGACTCGCTTTGTTGCGATAATCACTTTATTGCAGTGGTCTGGAACCAGACCTGCAGTGTCTCCAAGGTATGCCTGTATTAGTTACTGAAAGACATTATTCTTTTCCTAATGCAGAATAAGTTCATTAAAAATATTTTCAAAGTAAGTCTGTCTTGGATAGCAGCAAGAAGGAGCAAACATAGCCTTGCTTTTCTTAATATACAGACTCTTTTCTGAAATGAGAGCTGTGGTGATTCACTATTTTGGGAACTGGGTCAGAGCTTTGAGAGCTGAGCTTGAATCACAAAACTCTTGAGGATGTGTCCTGAGAGGGTAAAAGGAAATGCAGGAGTGTCTGCACTTCCTCTGTGGGGTGTAGGTAGTCCGTTCTCCATTGCTGGCAGGATAATCCAAAATGATCACCCCAAATCTTTTTACATTTGGAGGCTGCTTTTGTACTTTTTACATAAATACCAATATTTCCGATACTTTGAATATTGAAACCACTTTGACCAAACGGTGAAAGCTGTGTTACTGGGAGAAACCAGGAAGCTGTGAGAGATCAGAGTCATGCTCAGGCTTGGAGCTCAGCTTCCTGTGCTGTGTTGCTCTTGGGCCATATTATCTCTGCTCCTTCTGCACCAGGTTAGAATAGACTTGACTTCTAACTGTGCTGCTTTTACGACCTTTTGTCTGGTTTACTTTCTTGGGTTTGCTAAGTAGAGTAGATGATAAAAGCTTGAAGTAAGATTTTTCCAGATAGTTCCAACATGAAAATATGGTAGAGTTCATCACACAACAGAGGAGTATTGGTCCCATGTAGTTATGCTAAAGGCAAGTGACCTAGAGAGATTAATGTTGAGTTAACAGCAAACGTGTTATATTGTATTCCTATTTTTACTTAATCTGTGATAATATCCATTTTTCTGTCTTACAATTTAGACTCAGATTGATGGACAACTTTTCTTAATAAAGCACCTTTTGATTCTTCGTGAACAAATTGCTCCATTTCACACTGAATTCACCATTAAGGAAATTTCCCTGGACCTCAAGAAAACTAGAGGTACTTCATTGCCTTGGCTGGCACAGTTGGGTGTGTCTGACCCGTCCAAGTGTGGCAGCACAGGTTTATAGGTTTATTTTATGTTCATCTGCAATTTTTTATTTTGCATGCTGTGCTTGCTGAGCATATTGCTTGTTCATACTAAGCTGAGCTGACAGCATCCTAGTTACATCTAACTTGCTGTGTTTTCTTTATGGAGAGAGCTGTATTTGAGCGTTTCAACTTGCAATGGAGTATGACTTCTCTTAGATCTGCCACATATTACCGTAACCAGTTAAAAAATGAAAGATCACTGTAATAATACTTGAGTGTCAGCTAACTGGAATGATTTTAGACACTGAGTTGGGTTTGTCAGTTCATAGAAACTCAGGAAGCCAGCTGGGTAAAATCAGAAGAGTGAGTCAGGTTCTGTTCCTGGTCCATCATTTCCTGGTTCTTGTGGTTTTAATTATGTGTTTTAGCTTATGTACCCCACATAAAATGAGCAGAATCAACCCGTCATGATGCTTTCACCAGATTATCAAGATCATTAAGAATGAAAATGAATGAAAATATATATAAGTGTTTTTGTAAGCTTAAGGTGCTTAAATAAACTTAAGTTGTATTATTAAATCAGTTGGTTAAGTAATCACATTGATAGGGTCTTGAGTAATAGACATTGAATCATCTTGAGATAGGTGCTTCATCCATACTAATGATTTGTTTCTGACTGAGTTAGCAAGTGATGATTTCTGAAAGATTAGTTATTTCTTTAGATGCTGATCTTGAACAGTCAAAGGGTATACCGTCAATATCCATCTCCCTTACTTACAAATTTATCTAAACTTTATCTTTTCTTAGCCATTTCCAAGGGAATTAAGCTCTAATGCCTTAAGCCATCCATTTATGAAATGAATGGATTTCTCCCTTGTGCATTGGGAGAATTGCGAAAATTCATAGCCATTCAGATTACTTTTTGTATTCCATAGCTTAGAGGGTCTCCAAATATAGGATTTCCAAGAGGAACAAGTTACTTTCCTAATGACTGCTTATAAAATAGTGGACTTGATATAACATCACTTGGAATCAGAGTGAGTCATAGTAAAACAGCTTATTCTTTTTCATTTCCTAATGCACTTTCCTTTTTACTATAGAGAATACCTTTTGGTTCTGGTGGAATCTGGATAGTAAGCCTGTATATTATTCACCTGCTTTGTAATTTTTTTTTTTATAACAGCGGCCAGATTTCCTGACTTTTGCCTTTACAGAATGCATCATTTTTTTTTTTTTTTTAAGTTTATTCTCATCAGAGGCTTCCATCACCCAAACATTCTGGTTGGTTTCCTCCTTTCCTTTCAGTGTGACATGTGGGACTAGCACCCTAACCTTGAGGAGTGCCAGGCACTGATGGTCCTTATTTTAGTCAAAGGATGAGGTGAAGCAGGACTGATATATTTTTCTTTCATATTTTTTCTAATTCATAACCTGTTGCTGCTTCGTTCTACTATAGATCCACTGAGGTGTGAGAAAATGAAGTATTCTAAAATTTTGGCAAATTTTGGTTTAAAATATGTTTTCCCTACAACATAATGAAGGTTCTGTAATCATGCTGTATGATCACCTACAGTTTTTTCAGGTTTCTTACAGAAAGGACAGTGGAAATGAAGTCATTTACTAAAGAATACTGAATTCAGAGTACTGAATCTGATAGGGGATATTTTTTTTTTTTTTCAGTAAAATCAGTTCACAGTCGAGGCAGGGAGTACAGTGTGGTGTGTGTGTACTTTTAAATCCAGGCTAGAAGCACTTCATGCTGTGCTTTCTCCAGCCTGGCAAGGCAAAGCAAAGCAATGGTCTTTTCTGACTATCACTTAATAATACCTGCTATCTTTACTTTTAAGCCTCTAACCTCTCACGACTAACGTTATATCTTATTGCATTTGAACATCAATGAGACCTGTTAGTACTTCATACAGATTCTAGTTAGTCTGGAGGTTAAGGGGTAAACATGTCCTTTTGGTGTTTTTTTTTTTTTTCTTCTTTTTTTTCTGGCTGGCATATTAATTTATTCTCTCTGCTTCGAATGAATAAATTTCTATGCCAGCCAGATCTTAAACAAAAGAAGCTGGGTAAGTATGTGAATCTTTTTTCTTTTTAAGAAAATCTTATTTAGCATCATTAAAGCAAAGCTGTGAAATTGCAAGGTGTTAATTACCACTTATCCTTTTTCTTTTTTCCTAAAAATAAATAATTGCAGTTAATAGCCATTTTGCAATTCTGAGTTCTAGAAAATAATTATGTGTGTGTGAGTACTGTAGCCATCACAGGCACTAACCTCACCCACTCATGGAGGTGACTTGGAATTGAAAGCACCCTTGCTCTGTGGTGATAGAGAACGAGTGTATGTTCACACACCGAAATAGTTACATAACTTCTCTGTTAAAACTGTACATGTTCACTGGATGAGTAATTTTGTTTCACAGATGCAGCATTTAAAATCCTGAATCCTATGACTGTTCCAAGATTTTTTAGGCTGAATAGCAACAATGCCTTGATAGAGTTCTTGTTGGAGGTGAGAAGGAGTCTGTTTCTTGGTGGTGGGAGAGAAATGACATTCTTTACATGTCTGGTAATTTCTAGGCACACAAAAACAGAAGGAAATTGTCGTCTTCTTTTTAAGGGTACTCCCGAGATAAGAGAACATTACCTTGATTCTAAAAAAGATGTAGACCGCCACCTGAAGTCAGCCTGTGAGCAGTTTATTCAGCAGCAGACCAAGCTGTTCACAGAGCCACTGGAGGAGTTCCTGACAAAGGTATAGACCTTGCTGCATATTTGGTAAAGTAATTTTGACTTCTTCCCAGATTGCAATTTGAGTTACCTTGTGAACTCCTTGGCAGAAGGAAGTAGTAAACCAACGTCTTAACAATCCTAAGAAATCACCGTGTTTCCTCTTACGGAAGCTTTTTGGTTTGGACTTTTAGGTAGGCATGCAGAATTCTTCAGTTTTAAAACAAAGTGTGAGTATTGCAAAGCTAGTTATAGCAGGCTCTGGTTAGCTCTGTTCTCCACAGTGTAGATGTCTGCATGTGGTTTGGGACTCTCACTTAGATTAGGACCTTCATGGCAGTAGTCACAGACCTATGTGTGAGGGTTTCCCATTACCTAAATGAGTGATTTATTTTCCTCTTGTTTTACATGCTGTTCTACCTTTCATTTTGTATTGAGAATTGAAGATTCTGTATCATTGCATTGTTAATCACCAGATATATAGATTTATAATAATCTGTCTATCTCTCTGTCTCCCAGCTAAAATCCATCAACTGGCAAATGCCAGCAAAGAAAAAAACCCGATCATGGCAGTTATGACTTTTTTTTTTCAATCATTGTTTTTAAAAAACCTAAGTTTTGTTGCTAAGGACTTACCTCGTAAAGATGTTTAAAAAGTTTTGACATTAACTTTATTAATCTCATCCAGACTTGAATTTGAGGACATTTAAAAAAAAATAAAAACATGATAGTCTTTTTTCTCAAATTTGCTTACCTAAGTCTTAAATGGGGACACAGGGTGTATCTATGAAAAGACAAGAGGCAGCTCAGGAAATTGTTCATTGGTAATGTGTTGCTGGGTCCTGTGATAAAGACAGAAGATACTAGTTTTTAAAAATAAGAAATGATACCAAAAAAAGCAAATATAGAAATGGTAAACTATTTTTTTATGATTGGGGTATATTACTTGTTTGGTGGATTTTAGCCTCTTTGTCAAGAATTTGGAATGTGTGCGTTTTTTTTTTCCCTCACTACATAAATTTAAAAGGAGTGTGGTATAAATGTTTTCTACCAGCTTTTGATTTTTAAAAAATGATGCAAGTATTGATATTTTGTAAGTTACAAATAAGTCATCATAGTTTTTACTAAAACTGCCTTCATGGACAACTAGTTTGTAGATTGTAGTATATGTTTTGGGGAGGGCATCCACATTCATACTGGTGGGAAATGCTAGAGAGGAATATTTTACAGTAACAGAGCAGCAGCAAGAGTCTTCTGATGTAAGCAAGTTGGTTATAATGAAATCTTGGCTTAAAGGGTTTTTTCCTAGAAAAGCATGGTTTTCCTGGAAGTCAAAAAATGAAAATTTACTGATGGCAGTTGTCCAAGTTGACCTGAGTATAAGTTTGGTATATTTAATATGTGCTAAGTCGCTTCAATTGTGTCTGACTCTCTGCGACCCTGTGGACTATAGCCTCGCCAGGCTCCTCTGTCCGTGGGATTCTCCAGGCAAGAATACTGGGGTGGGTTGCCATTTCCTCCTCAAGGGGATCTTCCCGACCCAGGGATTGAACCCATATCTGTTACATCTCCTACATTGACAGGCAGGTTGTTTACCACTAGTGCCACCTGGGAATCTGGTTTAACTTTGTGTATTTTGGAAGATTCTGGACACTGAACATTCTTTAACGTTAGAGTCTGAATTATAGCATGGCTCTGCATGGACATGCTGCACACTGCAGCAGGGACCCCTGCGTAGTTGATCATATAGCTCCTGCGGTGGGACAGGGAGGCAAAGGTCTCCCTCACTCCCGCCACCAGCTCAGTCTGTGTTGCCCTTTCTCAGTTCATTCGCAGTTGTCTCGTTTTTTGTTTTACAACCCTGGTCCCTCACTGCTCCTCTGTTTAGTCGGACTCTTTAGTAGATATTTCAGCTTAGAGGACCCAGCATCCCTTTTACGTGATCTTATTCCAACTTGGAAAAGACTCTGATGCTGGTAAGATTGAGGACAGGAGGAGAAGGGGGTGAGAGAGGATGAGATGGTTGGATGGTATCATTGACTCAATGGACATAAGATTGAGCAAACTCCTGGAGGTTAGTGAAGGACTGGGAAGCCTGGTGAGCTGCAGTCCATGGGGTCGCAAAGAGTCAGATGCGTTCAGGCGGGACTGAACAACTGAAAAACAACAAATTCCAAATTTAGGTTTCTTCTCTTGTCCTCTTGGCATAGAGTGGGTCAAAGGCGAAGATAAGTACACACATAGGCAACTCAACATGCGCTGTACACACTAGAGTTCATACAGACACTTGCAATCATTTAAGACATTGTTTCTTAGAATTTGTGGACCAAACATTTTTCATGTTTCACGTTTCACCAAGTCAACATTACTAGTATTCTGAATAGCAGAGACAGAGTAAATGATTTTAAAACTTTAAAAGGATTTTCTTTGAAGGTAATTCTGCAGGTGCAGAATCTTATACCCCTTTTGTTATAATTGCCATTGTAAGGCAGTCAGTTCTTGTGCCTTGATAAAGGACTGCAACAAAAGCAGTATTCATCGAGGTAGAAAGGAAACAGTTTTTCATCTTTCATTTGGACGTATGCTTGTAGGTCTCGGCATTTACTGTTTGGATGTAAGCCTCATTAACAAAATGTCCTCAGCTTGTTTCTGAGTTTGGACTGAATAAAATATATACGGATTTGCCATAAAACAAACTATGAGAGTCTGTAGATAAAATATTTTTAGGTTGTCAGAAGACTTTATTTTTTTGTACCTGAAGACTCCAGGTGTGATTCCAATCCCCTTCACCTGTTGTAAATTGGCTTTATTGTTTATGTAGCTCTTTCCTTGAGCTCTCTTTGTTGAGATGCTTTGTTTTCATTAATTCTCCTTATATCCCCTGTACCTAGAGTAGTTAAATCATCTTCATTTCAGTCTGAGAAATTCAGCCTTAGCAGTATGACCCATTACACATGAGATGAACACTTCTACGACGTTTTTATCTGTCTGGTGTAAACATCCTTCCTGATTTTTTGGGGTCAAAGTTAATAAAATTTTATTTTATGGAATAATGAAATTTCTTTAGAATGATAAAGTTCTAGAAGAACTTTGCCTTGTTTCCTGCTCCTTGAAAAATAGCCTTTTCTCAGCATCATTTGAATGGTACTAGGGAGTGCAGTGGGCTTCCTTGGAGGTCAGTCGGTAGAGAACCTGCCTGCAGTGTAGGAGACTGCCTGCAATTCAGAAGACCCGGGTTTGATCCCTGGGTCGGAAAGATCCCCTGGAGAAGGAAATGGCAACCCACTCCAGTATTCTTGCCTGGGAAATCCCATGGACAGAGGATCCTAGTGGGCTACAGTCCATGGGGTCGCAAAGAGTCGGACAGGAGTGAGCGACTGATCACCCATGCAGGGAGTGTGAAACTGTTTTCCAAGTGTTGAGGGGTAGAGGTTCATACAAAAACATTTGGGTCAGATATTTTCCAAAACTAAAAAACTGTCCATACTCTTTTATTGTTCTCGAATTTCATCATATTGAATATTGCTTGAAGCAAACTCTTAAATAGGGCTTGGGATAGTCAGGAGGGCAGTAGAAAGAGCATAGCATTTCAAGGCAAGAAAAGTGAGCTGTGAACCACATTCTATACCTCCTGACTGAGATGGACGCATGCACTCAGCTTCCGAAGCCTTGTTTTCTGATCTCTACAGAAGAGCGCTGTCGTAGCCCTCCTTTTTACTTAAGGTTAATATGACTGGTGACTCAGATGATAAGAAATCTGCCTACAATGCTGGAGACCTGGGTTTAATCCCTGGCTCAGGAAGATCCCCTTGGGAAGGGAAAGGCAACCCACTCCATTATTCTTGCTTGGAGAATCTCCTGGACAGAGGAGCCTGGTGGGCTACAGCCCATGGGGTTGCAGAGTCAGACACGGCTGAGCAACTTTCACTATGCTCTATATAGTGATATATATATATATGTCAGGACCAGAAGATCAAAAATAGCAAAGTACTTTCTAAGTACTTGCAGAAATGTTAGTATGTGACAAATATGAAGTGAAGATTTTGCTTTTGCAAAAAAAAACCTGAATGAAAGTATTTTATAGGAAGTATAATTTCAAAGTTTATAGCTAAGCTAAAAAGTGTTTCCCATGGTGGGACCAGTTTATGCTAAAAACTCAGACTTATTTAGCAGTTTTCATTTCCTCTCAAGCAATTTGCTAAAGTATTGCAAGTTTACTCTTAATGTTCCCTCTGAAGTATTATTAATTTCCTCAGTAACACTGTAAATTTTTTTCTGACATAGTGTTGTAATAGAATTTGACCTATAAATTTAGTTTCTGTTCTTAAGGAGTTATAACCTACATGAAGATGTGTACAGCAGTGTCATTATGACACAGTGGGTCTGTCTTCATCCTGTGGGGTTTTATAGAAGATGGGGCTGATTGGGGAAACTGCTCCTTGAGGAAAATGCTCCTTGAGGTTTAACTTAACAAGTATTGGGTTGGCCAAAAAGTTCATTCGGATTTTTCCATAAGATGTTACTGGGAAAATCGAAACAAACTTTATGGCCTACCTAGTATATTATCTAGATGTAAATAGAGGTGAATATACAAGTATATATTTGCTTTTAATGTAAAAATAGTTCTGTGTAATATATGTCATTATGAAATTGGTTAAATTCTGGAACAGTCAGTGGACTAACAGGCAGGCATTACTATTAAAGTGTAACAGTTGGATACAGAAAAATGTTCAGGACTTAGATTTAAGTGGAAAAAAACAGTTTTCAGAGCACTGTGTTCCTGCTTTTGTAAATGTAGACACATTAGTATGTTTTTATTTACGTTGGGAAATATTGGGGATAATATATACTAAACATGAACATATTTTTCTTTTAGCATTGTCTAAGCCCTAGACAATGACTCACTTTTAAAAGCAGCATTTCATAGTAAAAATAAAGCTGTATAGAGGAATTGAGTGACAGTGGAAAGGGGTGCTTTTATACACATGACAGCATGAGCAAGGGCCTAGACGTAGTTTCAGGCGTGTGAGCTCGGTAGAAACAGAGGGCTGGAGAGGCCTGGGTTAACGTCATATCCTGTCTCTGCTCATTCTCTGCCTAAATATTTATGTGGCCTTCTCTGTGAGAAATCTAAAGAGCTGGTGTTGAAGTCTTTCTAATGAGACTATCTGCTGAGGCCAAGGTCATGGCCTGGACCTTTGGCACCTAGCAGTCCCTTCTAAAAAAGATGTTTTATGAATTTCTGTCTTTTACGCTCCCCAGCTCCACCTTAGCCCCACTGTAATTTGCCATCTTAAGAACATTCTTGTCCAAAATGTGTGGTTTTGCTTCTCTGGACTGATGCTGAGGAATGAAGAGAGAAGTGACTAGAGGGTGGGCATCCAGTTTCATGCCTCTAACACTGGTTAGTCAAGTGTGCTTTTTGATGCTATCTGAAAACCTTTTTTTTTTTTAAATAACATTCTCTCTGCCTATAATGAAGAAAAGGACCCTGTAGATATATAAAGGGGATTTTGTCGAGCTCCTGTGACAGTTTTCTGATAACGTAGGAAAATAATTTCAAGTTAACCTAACAGTCCACCTAAAGAGAGATCTGTTTGGTGTTGATGTTTCTCTCAGTCTTCATTCTTGTCTTCCTGAAATGTTTCAGGCAGAAGGCCTCAGGACATGGGTGTGGTTTTCTTTTTGCGAAACAGTGGTATGCCTTGAAATCACGAAAGAAGTTTTGCTAAGATATGTTATTGGTTGTAAAGGACTGTGGGAAATGATTCATTTCTCTTAGAGCTGTACATTTGGTTATTATCATTCTCATAGGTTCAAATGGTGTCACATCTTTTGAGAGCAGTTCTACTTAATTTGTCACGAGTGAAATGAAACTTTTTTCCTTTTGTCTCCTCTACTAGGTTTCAGCATTAAAAACAATGGCCAGTCAGGGAGGACCTAAGTATACGCTGTCTCAGCAGCCTTGGGCACAACCAGGTATCCACATTTTACTACTGGGCTTTCTCTTTAGGATGTCAGTTAATGTGCATTTATGTAGCCTTGCTCTGACAGCGTGGAGTTGGTTTCCTACTCCTGCTGTGGTTTAGGGTAATGCAGGATCCAGTTTGGAGTTGACAGGTCCTAACTGAGCCAACACTACTTGTATTTCAATAAGCATTCCAAGTCAAAGGAAGAATTAAAACACACACACACACACACATACATATATATACGCACACACCCAGTTAAAAATAAAATATGGCTTAGATGAAAATGCTTTGAGTACACTAGTTTTTGTATACCTGCTTTTCACTGTCTTAGAACTTGGATGAAAATACAGTGTTTGATAGTATGAAATTAATGGAGAGTATGCACTGTTTCCAAGTATTATATGAAGAAATATTGGACATTATTACATTTTATACAAGTTACATTCTCTTTAATGTTTTAGAGTGTTTGAAGAAAAGTTGTAAAAGTTGTTTGGGAGTTGGCAGGCAATGTCATTGATTGGCAGAAATGCTTGAGATGTTTCCTGTCTTAACTCTTTCCTAAATGTAAATTTTTTTGTGCTAGAAGGTTTTTCCCCTTCTTTGGCATTAGATATTAGACATTGAAAATCAAGACTAGTTTTGTGGGTTATTTTTAGTCCATTTTATGACAGTTTAAGCTGTCATTCAACCAGAGTAAATCACTTTGTTAGATTATGTATTTCTTGCCGTTCCTTGGCTCATGTTGGGATAGAGATCCTTTGAATGAGAAGAGCATGATGGCGAAGCAATCAGTGTTTTAATTATGGGTAAGCCGTGTGCAAGTTGGTAGGAAGCATTTTGCTTACAGTGAGAAAGCTGAAGGATGATTCCATCTTAGCAGCCATAAAAGATTGACTGTCTATAGGCATTTAAAGTGGAATTAGGTTTTTAACATGATTGGCTTTCCATAGTGAAAGAATGTATGTCTGTCAGTTACTTATTTCTTTTGGGAAAAAGAATTGAGGCCATTCTGAAATTTTCAGTTATTCTTTTTAGTGCCTCAGGTTAGTTTGAAGTTGAAGTAGAACAGAGAAGAGTAAGAGTAGCTCTGTATCTCTTAGGAAGATTTGCGAAGCATAGAGAATTGTCACTTGTATTTGAATGGAAGGCAGGATTTTATTCCAAAAATTTGTCATGGGAACTTTTATAGGTTTGCATTGATTTGTTTTATTTTGCAAATAAACTTTGTGACACGCTTTAGTCCTTTTGTTTACTGTGGTAGAGACAGTGAATGGTATACTGGATTTATTATTTTAAACCTTGTGTTGTATATGAGATTGAAATCTTCGCCATATTATGAAAGGACAGAACATCCTTCACATAGTACATTCTGTCAAGAGACAGAAAACCAGTCTTTTACAGACAATACTGGAAATTCTAACTGTAGTCAGCCTGGTGGCAACCACTTGTTCTGACCCCTCAGGGTCAGCAGCAGGCTTGTCAGTCTGTAACTCAGCACCAGTTCTAGAAGGAATTCTGATTGTTTTTGGATTAACCGGGCTTTTGGCTCAAGGTTTCAGTTACTTGCCGAGCTTATTTAGAAATAGGAGCTGATTTTATTTTGAATGTTAATGTAGATGAAACTCTTGGGTGCAATAAATTTTTCTTAAAATAGGTAGAAACCAACAAATGGGCATAGGCATAGTTAGTACAGCTAAGCTAGGGGCTTGATGCATAATTAATGTATTTCCTTTCTGCTCTGAAAAGATTCTCTCTTGCTCAGAATAGGGGCTGTCATTTTCTCAAGTGGAATCCTAGTAGAAGTCTCAGTGTTGAGTGTGTGGTGCTCTTAAGTAGCGCTACCGTTGGCATTAGTAAAGCAGGAGTAGATGAAAGGAAAAGGAAGCCGACAGAAGGACTAGATGAAATAGGGCGTACTGTTTTTGTCATTTAATCACTTTGTTTCTTTCTGTGTGAGGAGATGCTGGGGGAATGTTAGCAGTGACACTTCAGTTTACCTAGTTGTATCTTCTGCCCCCTTTGGCCACAGGGAGCTATGGCGTTGCTGTCTCTTGATCTGTAACAGGAGAAACCCACACTGAAACGTCAAGGATTTTCGAGCCTTTGGGGAGGGAGCACCAAGAACAGTCTAGAAACTTGTCTTGGACCCCTGAAGCCCAGGGTTAATGTGGTACATGCAGACTTGATCACATTCTTGGGGTCAATTCATGATGAACTCATGAGATTGAGCTATAATTAGGATGCCAGTTTGTTATTTCACTCTGGGAAATATACCTTCTTAAGAATTAGGGTACTTTATTTACTGAGCTGCACATATAACTGTAGTTATCCAGGCTTCTGAAAACTGACCAGTGATGCCTCAAATGTATTAGTGATGGGAGGACCAGAGCCTATGGAATTAACTGTCTTAAAGGAGTTTTCATCTGTTTTGAAAAATATGCAGTTCTTGGATTGTTTGTTCTTTCTTCTTGAGAGCACTGGCACTTTCTTGCCCTGCTCATCTGTAACCCTCCTCAACTAAAAAAAATTTAACGTGGTTTGAAAGTTGAAATGTGGAGAAGTATAAAATTAGAAGTAATTCTGTTCTCCACCTCCAAACTAGTTCTCTCGAAGGTAACCACTGTTCACAGCTGCTTCCCGAACATGTGTATTCCAGCATATATGGACTTGAAACATGTTATACAAATAAGATTATACTATATAAGATTATAATATAATTATAATTATAATAAAAAGATATAATATACTTATGCTTATATAATATATACTTATATATACTTTTATATATACTTATTATAATAAGATAATATACTATAAAAGATTATAATATAATAAGATTATACTTGAAAAACCTGGGTAACCACTTTTCAGGTAACAAGTTTTGGCTCCACACTCACCAAGTTTGCCTTTTGGTAAGTGTTGAGCTAAAAGACACAAACAGGGCAAAGATCAGGAGAAGGAAGGAGGTATTACTTGCGGCAAGAAAGAATACCAGGGATCTTTCCCAAAGCAGCATCTTCCCAGACAGCAAAATTGGGAAAGTTTTAAGCCAAGGGTACACGTATGCATGAAGGGGCTTGAGCAGAGAATTGAGTATTGAACTGGGGCAGTGGTCTACAGAATCTAAGCTTTAGTTGATTGAAGTCATGAGGGTCAACATCATCATTCCAGCCTCCACCTGGTTGTGGGCCTTACTGCCTGCAGAACTCAAAGATGTGTATCAGATTGTTCTCTGTATCTCTTGAGGACAAAGCTAGTGTTTTGTCACTGAACCATTGTTTTTTGACTGCTTTTCCTTTGTTCCTGCATTCCCTCACTTCCCTTAAGATCATCAATTACTGAGACCTGTTCAGGGACAAGCATTGTGGCTGGGCTTAGATCACAAAAAGGCTTAGGACAAAATGGCTTCCATTATGTCAAGAAAACCATGCTTGGTTCTCTTTCTCCAGGGACCTCCTACCCAATCTGCTTACAAAACATCCCCTCCCCGCCCCCTTTTTTAAAAACACTTAACTCTGTACCTTAGAGCCCTTTCTATGTCAGCGTATCCAGCTCTACCCATTCTATTTAATGGACACATATGTCACTAGAGCACAGTTTCTTTAATAATTCTATTAATATTTAAATTACTTTTAGTTTTTCCTTATACTCTTTAATAAACACACATATCTTGGTGGTATTTTGTGAGCATGTCCATAAATTTTTAGCAGTACAAACATTAAATACTAAAGAGTATGTGTATTTTCAGTTTTGCTAGACATTGCCCAGTATCTCTTCCAAGAAGTTGAACCAGTTTATACTGAACTCCCATCAACAGTGGATGAAGGGGGATTCCCTGTGGTCCAGTAGTTAAAATGGGCTTCCCAGGTGGCTCAGTGGTAAAGAACCCACCTACCAACGCAAGAGACACAGGTTTGATCCTGGGAAGATCAACCCACCCCCGTGTTCTTACCTAGAGAATCCCAAGGAGAGAGGCACCTGGTGGGCTACCGTCCATGGGGTCGCAGAGAGTTGGACATGACTTAGCAACTAGAACAACAACAGACAACCAGTAGTTAGGTCTCCACAGTCAGTGCCTCAGGGCATGGCCAGAAATAATAGTGCGCGAAGTGGCCTGTCTCCCCACTCCTCTGCCAAATGTGGATATGCACCATCTTAGTAATTGTAAGCAATCTGAACTATTCCAGTTGTTTTAATATGCATTTCTTTACTTATGAGGGAGATTGACCATCTTTGAAATGATAAATCAGTCTTTTCCTTTTTAGCTTTCTAGGTAATTTTCCCTCTTAAATACTTTATACAGATTGCTGCTATTCTTTTCCATTTGTACTGCTTTTGAGACACTGCATCTGGGCTACTAATTATTTCAGTTACAATTTTCTGGGATTCTACTCCTTTTCTGATAATATAGTATAAGAACATAACAAATGGATTTTTAGTTCCCATTAAAGATGTGTGGGCATTTTCTGAATGATCTCATAAGACAGAGAGCATCTCTTACTGTGAGTCAGTAAGAGTCACAGTGAATAAGTTCATTCATTATGAAGTAATTCTTTCTAGTGTTTCTCTGCAAATGACTTCTAATTTTACCTTACCTCTTATCTCCAAATTCCAAAGGCACCATACTACCGTCCCTATGAATGTCCTGAGCCATGCTGGGGGAATTCTTTTCTGTTTAGCCTTTGTGGTTAGAATTTTATGTATCTAAATACTTAATGAATGTTTATGGGCTTGTGATTAAACTTGATAAATAAAAGTGAAAAAAAAATTCTTTGAGGAAATAGTTGTCTTTTGCTGTTTTTCTCTCCTTTTATTCTCTGAATTAAAATGGAAGTACTTGTGTATTTACTTGTGATACTGAGGAGGCTGGTTTCTTTGCAGCAAAGGTTAGTGACCTTGTGGCAGGTACCTACAAGACGATAAAAGCAAAGCTGCCCCTGACATTGAGGAGTATGTCCTTGTACCTGTCCAACAAGGACACTGAGTTCATCCTGTTTAAACCAGTCAGGGTAAGTTTCATGATGATCTGTGTGAACATTGGCTGGTCTCTTCAAGTGTTCTTGCTTTGTCTAGCATTTTCCTCTTCCTGTAAATATTTGTAAATGTTTGAAAGACTTACAGAGCTTGCATCTGTCTGATTCTGCCCACCCTTCCCCGCCCAGCCCTCATTTTATCTTAATTTTTTATGGTTACCTATGGCCCAAAGGTAATTTCTGCCAAAAAGTAGAAATTAGTAAATGAGTAAATAAGTAATCAGACCTTTGTGTGAGATGCGGCCCCACCTAGAGAACAGCATCTCGGGAACTGTGCCCATTTCACTGGTGAGTAGTGGAAATAAATGGCTTGCAGCAACCCCCAGGGGATTAAACGCCAGAGCAGATTTAGTACTCACTGCTTCCAGCTCTGTGTTGAGCTCACATCTTTACCCAAGACATTGGTTGGTTTTTACAGTACAATTTATGTGCCTGGGAACTCTTATTCTCTGGAGGGGACAAGGCTGGCAAGAGTTTAGTTTTTTCCAGGAAATACTATATGATAAGTCTTATTAGTCAGGTTGTGCTGGCATGTGAAATATTAAGTGCCAGTTACATGTCTTTGGTAATCCCCTGGAAGATACGTCTCCTCCACTTGTTTTGGCAAATAGTAGTATTTAACTTCCTTGGTTCTTCATGTTTAAGGAGGCTGAATCTGTTTTCAGTGACTCATGTAATATGATTGCCTTTTCTTCTTTCTAAGAATAATATTCAGCAAGTCTTCCAGAAGTTCCACGTCTTGTTAAAGGAAGAGTTTAGCCCTGAAGATGTTCAAATCATTGCTTGTCCTTCTATGGAACAGGTAGGTAATCTGTGTTATTTTTATAACCTTTTAGTTATTTTACTTCAGTAGATAGTATCTTTTGAGTTACCATATTTTGTTGTAATTTTTAAAATTGTACATTATTCTGATTATCAAGATTTCAAGCCTTGAATTGCTTTCTCACGTTTGGTGATGGTGTTCAGATTTTCAGTTGCTGCTTTTTTGTTTTTTTGGCCACACTTTGTGGCACATGGGGTCTTAGTTCCCCAACCAGGTATCAGACCTGGCCCCTTGCCGTGGAAGCATGGAGTCTTAACCCCTGGACCGCCAGGGAAGTCCCCTCAGTTGCTTTTTAATGCTTTCTGTAGTTGAAAGTTGCTATGTTTAAGATAAACTCTTTGTGGAAGACTCAAATAGTGGTATTTAGGTTGCTGCATAGTTTTGTTTGCAGTATGTATGATAAGAGGCCCATGTTTCAAAGATGTTAGAAAGATACCCTCTTTTTCTCTTCTTCCTAAATTAAAAAAACTGAATAGAGCTCAGCCTGTGTTTACTGTCATTATTTATTCAGTTCTGTCAGCAAACTTTGATTGAGTAGGAGTAGACTGGCGCCACAGAGGATATTTTGTCTCTGGTTTTAAGAATCGCTGAGGAGTTTAGTATGTGGTAAGGACTAGAGAGGAGAGCAGTAAGGTTGCTGAGCGTCTGATTTGCGTTGAACCTGCAGGGGGAGACTGGAGGCGGTGAGTGTGGTCAGTCTTTGAGGAGTTTTACTGTGCGGAGAGAGAAGAGATGGGGTGGTAACTGGAGGAGAAGTGGGGCCATTTTTAAATTGAGGTATAATTCATATACCATAAAATTCATCTTTTTAATTCAGAGTTTTTGGTATATCCACTAAGTCCTGGAACCATCACCACTGTCTAATTTCAGAGCATCTTCATCCCACCCCAAAGAAAGCCCTGTCCTTTAGCAGATTCTTCACTCTCCCCTCGTCTACTAATCCACTTTTATCTCTATGATTTGCCGAGTCTGGATAGTGCATTAAATGCAATCATGCATTTCATGGCTTTTGAAGACTGGCTTCTTTCTTTTAGCATCATGTTTTCAAGGCTCATCTATGCTGGAGCTTGCATCAGAACTTCATTCTTAGGGCTGTTTGAGTTTCTTATTTTTCAAAGATAAGGTGTCTCTGTAGTTCTAGGGTCGCATACAGTCGGGATGCTTTTTTATAAGTCATTTGAAGTAGTTAGGGAGTGGCTCTAGTGGTTGCTGTGGAACATGGCCGACGAGGAGCAGGAGGAGCACGGGAAAGAGCGAGAAGGCGGGAGGGACCCGGGTTATGGGTCCTGGCTGAGTCAGGATCTCTGGACGGGGAGGACGAGGGGGAAGATGAGCTGGAAGGTGGTTGTGGGGTCGCAGTGTGAGCTGTGACAGTGGGATCGTGGGGCGGCTGCAGAGAGGGGTAACATGGAGCTGGCAGGGGCCCACGGCCTGCGGAGCTGACGAGCTGGTGAAAGAAGAGGGCATTAGAAGGAAGGAGCCGTGGAACTGAGAGGCCTCCACTCTGGAAGGTTAGCTGTAAGGGTGTTGAAATCACCAAGAATTCTCACAGGAGTAGTTTTAGAAAAAAATGATAGCGTTCTGAGACCTGCAAAAAGCACACGGCCAGGTTGCAGCCAAGGAGTGGTTGGTGGAGTGACGCGTGGCCTGGTCTGAAAACCAGAGCTGCGGAAGGTGGCGGGAGAGGGAAAGAGAATGGTCCGGGAATGGCAGTGAGGGGCAGGGGGACTCTGGTCCCACCTCCAGGCCCGGTGATCATGGGCAAGTGGAAGAGAAACAGCCACCACCTGCGAAGGCGGCGGAGGAGGTGTGTCCTGGTGCCGGCGGGCGCCGGGCTGCCGGTCAGAGGGCTGGCTGGGAGGTGGGGAGGAGCCCCGCGGGGTGACTCGGGGGCCTGGGCTGCCTCTGGTGGGCGACACGAGCGTGGGTAAAGGTGTGAGGGGAGGAGGCTCTGGCCAGAACACGCAGAGCTCCTGGGTTCCCACCTGACTCCTGCCCGTGAGGAATGTGCTTTAGTGTGTGTGTGTGTGTCTGTAACTTCCAAGTTTTGTCGTGGTCACCCACACTGTGTGCACCTCAGTTGCTATGATTTCCTTCTCTCTTCTGTTGATGAACCACTGAACTATTTTCATGAGGACGAACCAATGGGTTGCAACCAGTAGTTTGAAAAACACTAAGAGAATCCATCCTCCTCTCTGTTCCTTGATCCTCTTTCAGAACCGTTACATTTTCTAGATAATAATAACAACTAGTATTAGTGACTGCTGACGACCCTGTGTGCAAGACAGCAAAAGAGACACAGATGAAAAGAACAGACTTTTAGACTCTGTGGGAGAAGGAGAGGGTGGGATGATTTGAGAGAACGGCATTGAAACATACGTATTACCATATGTAAAATAGATGACAGTGCAAGTTCGATGCATGAAGCAGGACTCTCAGAGCCGGGGCTCTGGGACCACCCAGAGGGATAGGGTAGGGAGGGAGGTGGGAAGGGGATTCAGGATGAGGAGACACATGTGCACCCATGGGTGATTCATGTCAGTGAATGGCAAAAACCACCACAATATTGTGATTAGCCTCCAATTAAATAAATTAATTTTTTTTAAAGGAAAGGACAATTACAGTTGCCAATAGATCTCATTAATTGCAATGTGCATACTTAATAGTAAATAAAATGCAAAAAAAAAAACCAAACAAACCCAAAAAACCCTTGCCTTTAGAAGGACGCACTGCCAGGCTCAGTCAGCCACAGGTCTCTCCAGGGCCAGGGTGGCAGAGCTCAGGCTGCCTCCCTGCCGGTGACAGTGGCGACTTCTCTGGTTTCCCTGGGCCGGCTCTGTGTCATGCCCTCCTTTAAAGAGGGGGCAGGGGGCTCCCGAATCTGCCGGGCCTGTTCTTATGCAATGAAGAATCATTGAAAGAATTCCTAGCAGACAACTCTCTGCACAGCACACTCTGCATAGAGAAAGATGAAGTTGGTTATTTACAGGGGTTCCCAACTAGTGCCTGATGATCTGAGGTGGAAGTGATGTAATAATAATACAAATAAAGTGCACAATAAATATAATTCAAGTGAATCATCCCCAAACTGTCCCCATCCCCAGTCCATGGAAAAATTGTCTTCCACGAAATCGGTCCCTGGTGCCAAGAAGTCTGGGGACGTCTGAAAGCTATTTCTGTTTTTTGTCAGTGTTGGTGTCTAGTTATTTTCTGTCTTCCTCATCGGATTCTGAATGAGTTAAGGGTCCAGGTTCGGCAGTGCCTCCTTATACGACCCCACGATGCACGGTGCCCCTGGGGCTGCTCCGGGAGTCAGACCATCACGGGTCCAGGTTCTACTTTACAGCAGAGTTTATTGGTCTCTTAAAAATTTTAGACTTGCCCTGTTCTGGTTGTGAGAATCTGAACACCTTTTCTTGAGTTTGGTATTGCACAGCGGAACTAACACAGCCTTTCTCCTTGCTTTTCAGCTGAACCTCCTACTGTCAGTTTCTAAATAACTCGGCCCGTTGGGCTGTGCGTATAGATGGCCAGCTGGCAGGAACGGGCTGCTGGGTCCGGAGGCCTGCAGGACACCGGGGAATTGGACGAGGGACGTCCCAACCACACGGCCGCTGCTCAGGGCTGATCACAGAATGAAATGGAAGCAAAGTGTGCACTGATTTGTGTTTCCCTTTTAAAAACATCAACATGCCAAAGATAAGCGATATAGTCTATGAGTGCTGATAACTGCCTCACTTAAACGGTCACAAGCAGTGTAAGTTTTTAAGAGGAAAAACTTATGGAGGGCACACAGGGAAATGGTTCTTAAGAAACATGCAGTGAAAATAGGTTACAATAAATACCACAAAGAGCTTTACGGAAATACAGCTAATTAGAAAACTTCTAAGAGTAAGGTTTGTTAGAGCGAGAAGCACTGCAGTCCTTTTTAACACTGAGCATTCCACAGTGACTGTTTTTTTTTTACTTCCAGAAATGTTATTTCTACACTCTATTTGTAATGTTTCTCCTCTCACTTTGAAGTTTAGTTTGGAGTAGATTGGCTGCTTCTGAGAACACGTCCTGCTTTCCTGGGCATTCAGGGTATTCTCTTTCTGCATGTTTGATGTGAGGTAGTTTCAGGATACAGGGCCTCGTGTAAGGTCCCAGAATCTGTACTCTGTGAATGGCTTCGGTACAGAGCATTCGGAAGCAGGCGGGGGCTGCAGCCTCCTTGTGGTGGGCGCTTGCGTGTCTTTAATGAGAATCTCACGGTACAGTAGGCAGTGTTGGTGAGGGGGAGGTACCAATTAGGGGTCTTTAGGCTGGCACAGTGAGGAGGCAGGAAGCCCAGTGAATAGCAGGTCGCACGCATGATGCGAGGGTTACCAACTTTCTGCACATTGCCTTCCATTTCCGTAGTTCTTTGAAAAGCAAGCACTTTCATGTCCGGGACATTCACAGCGGCTGTGCCGCGAGCCGGCAGCCTACGACAGCAGAAAACAGTTTACTCACAAACTGGTGAAGACGGCCCATCCCTTGAAATGGACTGCCTGATATCAGGGATCATCAAATTAATTACGCACATCTCTTGAGTTTTCCTACAAATACCTGTTTCCTGATTGAATTGGTTTTGCCTCTGATGTTACAGTAAATGTCACCTGCTTTTTGGTTCACAATGAATTTTGAGTTACTCAGACACTAGTTTAGAGATAGAACGCTAACAAGGGCTCTGGAATGTAGCTAGCAGACCTCATTGTGTGAGACTAGTATTTTTCATTCACTTCAAGTAGACTCCTGCCGAGTGTGGATAGTTTACATACCCTGATGTCTGTCATTTTAAAAGGTCACTGGCTTTTCACCTCAGTGTAATTTGGTGATGGATGTTGCTTGATAGACCTTAATACTCTGTATATTTTGGGAAGGTAGAAGGTAAAGAGGGGCCATATTCATTCTTTGATAGGAAATGAATGAATTAGGAAGATTCTTTTCACTTCTACTATTTTAAATATGTGTTTAATGAAATATACTGTAAAATATCCAGTTTTGTATATTATATGTACATTTGATTTTTAAATAGCCTTTCCAAAGAAATGAGGGCATGATTATTGTACAGTACTGTGACTGATTTCATTTGATGTACAGAGCAGAGTATGTTCTTCAGGATAAAAATATTTGATGGCACTCATTCTTGTGCTTTGAAGCTTTTATTTCTGAAACACTCAAATACCTTACTGAGTAGGTAATAGTGATCCGCCCTGTTTGCTAAATGACTATTTGTTTAAATCTGTACAGTTTAAAGTGTTCACTTATACAAAGAGTGTACATACTTTCAAATAATTAATTTAAAATGCTTTATATTATTTGGCTAGAAATTGCTGTTTTTAATAAATGTGAATTTTTTCAGAAATAAAGATTTTTGCTTCCTACTTTGTCCTCATGAGTCTGTGTGTGGAACCTTTTAAAAGACTTTTTTTAACGAAAATTTTTCCTGTTGATTCACATGCGGTTGTGAGAAGTCATACAGACCGAGCCTGTGTACCTGGACCAGATCCTCCACCAGCTTGTCTGTCTGCTCCTCCTCAGCCCCTGGGGAAGGAGGCAGCTGCTGGGAACTTGGTAGAGGGTCATCTGTTACATAGTCATCCAGTAAATACACATTTGGGATTTTAAAAAACCTTTTTCCCAGTTATCAAAATATGTTCACTATCAGATGTTTCTACAGTGTTTGAATTTTAACATAAAATGTGAAAGTTGTAAATGAAACTTGAAAAGTAAACTGCTGTTAAATGTTTGCATATTGCTTCCAGATTTTTTCTATGTATATTCTAAATAATTTTTCATATCATATTGGGCTCTTTTACACTTTTTTAATCAGGTGAGTTTTACTTTTTTATTTTGGTTGTGCTGTGTGGCTTGCAGAATCTTAGTTCCCTGAATAAGGATTGCACCTGGGCCCTGGCAGTGAAAGTGCCTAACAGCTGAACCACCAGGGAATTCCAGTCAGGTAAGTTTTAATTATCAGTTATCAGTGGTGTTTGTTATTGTTCATTCACTAAGTCGTGTCCAACTCTTTGCAACCCCAGGAACTGCAGCACGCCAGGCTTCTCTGTCCACCATCTCCCGGAGCTTGCTCAAGCTCACGTCCATTGAGTTGGTGATGCCATCCAACCATCTCATCCTCTGTCGTCTCTTTCTCCTCCTGTCCTCAGTGTTTACAGGTAAGCATGGTCTCATCTCAGTGTTTACAGATAAGATCCCTGGGTCGGGAAGATCCCCTGGAGAAGGGAAAGGCTACCCACTCCAGTATTCTGGCCTGGAGAATCCCATGGACTGTATAGTCCGTGAGGTCAGGTCGCAAAGAATCAGACGTGACTGGCTGACTTTCACATTCATTTGCTGAACTATTTGAAAGTAAGTTGCAGGTATCATGACGTTTTACTGCTAAATAGTTAAGTATCCATCTCCACAAACAGTAGGCATTGCTGAACTATTTGAAAGTAAGTTGCAGGTATCATGACATTTTACTGCTAAATAGTTAAGTATCCATCTCCACAAACAGTAGGCACATTCTCCTACATAACTCTAATACCATTATCACACTTTAAAAAATCAGTAGTATCTACTATGTAGTCCATGTTTCACTTTGCTCAGTTGTTACCCGAAATGTTCCATAGCTTTTTCTTACCCAGAGGCTTACATGTTACTTGGTTGTCACGTCCCTTTAGTCTCTTTTAATGTAGAAATTCTTAAGGTTTCTGTTTGTTTTCATGGCACTGACATTGACTTTTTAAAAAAAATAAATATATCACAAGAGTTGGACAGGACTTAGTGACTAAACCACCACCAGGTTAGTTATAGAATGGACCAGAGTCCAGATGTCCCTGCGAAATTTCCTCATTGCTTAATTCAGAATACCCAACCATTGCAGAATACATTCTTCTCAAGTACGTGGGACATTTGCCAAGACAGACACGTGCTGGGGCATAAAACAACAAAACAGAAAACCCAAACACGATCTATAACAGTAGTTCTCAATCAGATGACCCCTGCCCCTGCCACCAGGAACACATTAGGCAACATCTAAAGACATTTTTGGTTGTCATGACTGGTGTGTATGTGTGCATAGGGGTAGAGGTTTTACTGGTTTCTATTAATAGCTGGAGAAGCAACTAGTATGGCCAAATATTTTATAATGCATAGGCCAGCCTCTTGCAACACATAGTTATCCAGTTCAAAATGTGGAGAGCGGTGGGGTTGCAGAACCTGTGATGTACACAGCAACCCCCAATCTCCAGCACTGGCTGTTCCCTCACCTGTTTTCATACCAGCAAATAGTGTCTTTTGCTAGTTTGGCTATTGTGTCTTCCGCACTGCAGGTTGTAAGCTGCTCTGTCGTGTTGACAGCTGTATATCTGGTGCCTGGAACAGAACCTACAGTAGGTGCTCAGTAAGTACCAGTTGAAAGAATCCCCGTGGACCCAAGTTACACAGCCTTCCCTTCCCCGTCCCATTCCTACCAAGTCCTGCCTGTCCTCTACCCCTCCTTCCCCCCCTCTATTTCCTCCTGTCCTCTATTTACAACGCCATTGCCCTGAGTCAAGACCCTCATTTTCAATATTCCTTGCTGCGAATATTGTATTTTTACTCCAAGAACCTAGGCTTACTAACGCTCTCCTTCCCCTTTGCGTACAACTCCTGACGGCACGCAGGCTGTTCAGACCCCTGCGCATCTATGTGTCACAGCCCCATCTCCTTACTGCTCATCCTCTGTATTTATCAGGGTCCTGGAGTATAAGCATCAGAAGGCATCAGGTCTAACTGGAGCAGGAAAGGGCTCTACTGGAAGGAAATGGGGGTGTGGGGGACAGAAGCGGGAGGCCCAGAGGAATGAGAAGAGGAAGCTTTACAGATGCAGAGGTTTTGTCTTCATTTCCAAAGCAGGAAGTGTTGGTCCACTGCCTTGGCAGTGTCCTGGCCTTGGCGTGACTGCACCTGCTTCCGTCTCGGCCAAGCTGACTGTGTGTGTGTGTGTGTCTGTGTGTGATTCTCCGTGCTTCATTAATGCTGGAGCAGGGAGAAGGAAGATCCTCTGTGTCAGTATCCATGGAGTGCCTCTCACCTCCAAATCCACCCACTTTGGGCCCTGCTTTGAGATTCTGGAGCTGGGCCCTGAGAACACTTGGCCACCGCCAGCAGGTGCAGAGGGAGGCTCTGTAGTGTGCTGATGCTGTCCCGCAAGGCGCAGGGGAAGAGGCTCTGTTTCTGGCGTCGGTCTTTCCTCCTACACCGCCCTGGCAATGGTGTGGGGCAGGGGTGGGGGGTCAGTGGCACTTGCTGTCTGGTGAGTTTTCCTGCTATCCAAGCAGCAAGTGTCTATGAACCAGTTTGTTCTTGCAGATGTAGTTGGCTAAGATACTGTAAAGAGGCGGGTCCCTCATCCAGTATGACTGGGGTCCTTATAAAAAGGGGAAATTAAGCAAACATTTACTTGGCCACGCTGGCTCTTTGTTGCAGCACTCAGGCCTTCTAGTTGTGGCTAGCAGGCTTATTAGTTAGTTGCTCCTTGGCATGTGGGATCTTAGTTCCCAGACCAGGGGTCGAATCCATACCCTGTGCGTTGCAAGGCCGATTCTTAACCAGTGCACCACCAGGGAAGTCCCTGGAAAGGGGAAATTTGATCCAGAGGCCCGCACACAGGGAGAATGCCTTAGGAAGACTGCCAGAGACAAAGGAACTCCTGGAAGCTGGGAGCTGGGCCTGGGCCACATTCTTTCCACACCCTTGATCTTGGACTTCCGACTTCCAGAACTGTTGTCTAAGCCACCCAGCGTATGGTGGTGGCTTTGTTACAGCAGCTCTAGCAGGCTAACACAGAGGGTGGGGGCTGGGTTTTTCTAGTTCCCGGTCACCTGGCTGCTTTCACTACATCCTTCATCTGTGAGGGGACTCACTTTTCCTTTTGAAGTAGTCCCTGGCTGCTGGGTTATTCTGTCTGGTCCATGATAACACACACGGACCAATAGCCGCAAGAGAAGTTGGAACTGCAAAAAAATCTCTGTGAAGTATTGCATCTAAGTAAGTGCTGGCAACAAGATATTTTAATGGCTAAAGATTTTTTAATATTTATTCATTTATTTGGCTGTTCTGGGTCTTAGTTGCAGCATGTGGGACCCAGTTCCCAGACCAGGGACTGAACCCAGGAACCCCAGTGTTGGGAGCTCGGAGTCCTAGCCGCTGGACCACCGAGGAAGTCCCTGAAGATTTTGAAGAAATATTTCTTTATCCATTTGGCTCTGCTGGGTCTTAGTTGTGGCCCACGGGATCTTTAGTAGTATCATGTGGGATCTTGTTCTCTGACCAGAGATAGAACCTGGGCACCATGCATTGGGAATGCCAAGTCTCAGCCACTGGACCACTAGGGAAGTCAGAATATTTTAAAACAGGGAGCTGACCAAAGTCAGTGCCTCTTCGAGGCCACCTGTTGACAATCTCTGCATTAATGGGGTGGGTCACGCTTTTAGGCTTCTTGGAAGGAGCAGGACCAGGAGGAGGCACTGGCTGATGATCCTATGCGCTCACAGCTGGGAAGCCCCACGCTGAGCACTTCCCCAGCACCATCTGTTCTCATCCTCTAGCTGCGAGCTGTGTTCTGTGGTTGCCCTCCTGTTACGGAGGAGGGAATGGAGTCCCGGGAGGCTCCCTGCCTCAGCCGAGGTCTCACAGCTGGCATATGGCGGTGCCAAGACCACCACCAGGGCCGTCGGCTTCCAGGGCACACGTGGGAGAAACGTCGGGGCTCTGAGATGTGGGCAGCCTTGGAGGATTTATTTGTTGCAGAGACTCGACCCCGGAACTTCTGTCTCCAGCACCTGGTAAGAGAAGGGGCCCCTGCCCACACCCAGCAAAGGTGTAAACCAACAAGCTCCCTAAATGTGGAGGTGGGCCCGTGACGCTTCGCTCCCCACAGCGGTCACTGGCAGCACTCGTGGCTCACCACCTGGTAACTGTAGTTCTAGCTGATGATGCTACGTGCCAGTAAGATGTGTGTCAGAGGGGAAGTGACCCATAGGGCCCGCTGCTACCAGCCCGACCACCCTGGACCCATCCCAGGTGCACGGTTGTTGGGGTTTGGAGTGAGGATGGGACTTTGGTGAGGATTTGGCAGCAGGAGAGCCCAGCTGCAAAAGTAGGGTTTGTGTGTCTGTTCACAGCAGGGATTGGCTAGTTGCTAGGCTGAGCCAGGAAGAAGGGGTTTCCCACACTCTTGTGGTTCAGGCTGCAGTTGGGGTCATTCTGGAAAGTCTGCACTGTTTCAGGGATATAGAAAATGCATGCTGTCCAGGACCACCCAGCTCCTGAACCCCCCTTTTCTAGGAACTACCCCTCCCCATGCTCCCATCAACTAGGAGCTATGGTTACAAGACGTAACCCCGCCCCCCCACCACACTGGCTTGAACCAAGAGTGACCTAATCAAGCCAGGCCAATCGGAGACCACTGGAGTCTGAGAAAGATCAGGAGACAAAGCCACACGAACTGAGATGACTAGAAAACGCGTCTTTGGAATAAGATGAGTGTCGGTGAGCTGACAATGACAGTCCTGGCTCCGGAGGCCTCCCCGACACCAGTCCTTTCTGGACCGGAGGTCCACTGCACCTTCCACCCAGATCACATGTTTCCCATTCTGCTTTAGCTACTCAAGTTGGTGACTGTTACCGGGGACCAAAAGGGGCCCAGAGATTGAAGAGGCTTTGATTGTGGGTCCTTTTGGGCTTCTGGTTGGCCCCAGTTGGGGGACTGGCTGTAGGCTGGTGCTGCTTTACTGAGTGAGTGTCCCTCTGCCTTGGCAGGGGCGGAAGAGGGGTGTTTGTGAGGCTACTGTTTCTCGACCCATTTTACAGGTGAGGAAACTGAGGCAGGAAACTACATGCCCAAGGTCACACAGTCAACAGTGGGTGGAGCTAGGCTTTGAGATAGTCTGTGTCCTGAGTCAACCCAAGGACTAGAAAGAACTTCTGCATTCAAATAACCAGTAGAAGCAAGCAGGACAGGTGTTGACATGTATTCTCTGAAACATTTGCTTCTGATACCCTCAGGGCACATGCTTAAGTCTTTTCTGTGCCCAGCCACAGATGCTGTCAGCCCCGTCTCTGCCCGCCACCCCCCAGAACTCTGCCCCTCCAAACCAAGGAGCTGTGATAGGTACCAAATTACAAACCAGCTGTCATGGGATATAGCCTAGGGCTTTGGGGGTTTCCTTGGGGCTTCTGACAACTCCACCTCCCCCAGACATTCAGCACCTGCCAAAGCCCCTCTGGGACAAGTGGGTGACGGCTTGAGCTTGGTGGGGGCGACCTCCTGCTCAGACCTGTGTCGGCTTGTTGGCAAGAGCTTGACGCAACGTATGAAGCTTTCCAAGTCGGGGATGGTCAGTAGCCTCAGGATCCCACTCATTTTCCCCAGAAGGACATGGATCTTCCGAGCCGTGGGACTGACTTCCATCTCCAGGATCGGTTTCTTTTTCATTTCGCTCAGCACCTCCAGGGTAATGTACTGGGGGAATTCACAGAAGGCTGGGTGAGGATTAATGTTGCCCGGACACTACGTGCCCCCCATGGCAGGACTGGGACCCTGTGGGCAGAGTCTTCCTGAGCCCTTCCAGGACCGAGTCTCTCCAGGGCAAACCTGAGCGCCCAGTGCTGCCAACAGTGACCTTTCTGCTGCTTCCCCAAGACACTTGGCCCATGCCTCCGGACACACGGGCTACGGTGATTGGGCTGAGACCACATGCCAACCTGACCCCAAACCAAAGGCTGTGTCCTCCTGGGGGCATCTGGCTGCTCCCCACGGGCTCCCTAGCACAGCAGGAGACTGAGCCCTGCCACTGCCAGGGGGGCCGGTGTCTGCCTGTGAGCCCCCCTCCATCTGGGGCTCCCCTGGGGCCTGTCCAGGCCTTCCTGGGATGAGGATGTCAGTCTCCTCAGCTCTGAATCTCAGGGTGTTCGGATGTTGGCTGATTGCCTCTTTTTTGTTTACACTTATTTTTAATGGGAAGATAGTCGCTTTACAGTGTTGTGTTGGTTTCTGCCATGCAACGTGAATCGGCCGTCAGTGTCCCCTCCCTCTAGAACTTCCCACCCCTCTAAGAAATGATTGCCTTTGTACATGGTCACACGCCAGTCAGTGAAGCTAGCTAGCCTCCTTTCCCGAGGGGCTGGGCTGGGGCAGAACATAGCCCGGACGCTGGGGCGGGGACCGCCCCCAGCCCGCGGGCACCACCTCCAGCCCCCGGGGCCTAGGAGCAGGCGGCTCCCCGCCTAGCAGACGAGGTGGGGAGTTGGACCGAACCTTGAACTTGGTGCCCAGGTTCAAGCAAACGTGCTTCTCGCGGTGGGTGAAGTGGAAGATGATCTTGTCCTGGCTCTTGATTTGTACCTCGACGTACCGGTTGATTTTCAAGGAGATGGGCTGGACGGGGGGCGCGTGCACGTGCAGGCTGAGATCCCACCAGTTCCAGGCCTTCTGGTATTCGTCTCTGGCGAAGTAGTAGCCCAGGTTTTGGCTCAGGCTCAACCTAGACCAAGAAGGCATCAGGCAGCCGTGGCACTGGGACCGGGGTAGGAGCGGGTGGGGGCACGGCCTCCCCCTCTCCTGCCCACCCCCGCCCCCGAACCCAGGCTGGGCGCCGCCCTTCAGCCCCGGCCTGTCCAGTTCGGTCTCCTGTGCCCCTGGCCCCTCACACCCAGCCGCTCCTTGCAGGGACTGAAGTCTAGGTCATGTGTGCTTTTGCCCTCCTCAAGGCTTAGCCATGCTGCTCGCCCTCCCTGGGGAGAGTGTTCCTTCCAGCCTGTGTGGTACAGTGGGTCCTAAGTCTCGGCTTAAATGTCACCTCCTCCGAGAAGGCCTTCTTGACCAGCCCCTCTGGGTCCCAGTATGACAATTCAGCCTCAGTTAGGTTCCTTCACACGATTTACTAATGCACATTAATTCTCATTATTTGCTGTAATTAGATTCCATAAAGTTGCCTCAAGCACAGAGCAAACAGTAAACCATTGCTCCCCAGGAAAAGAGGTGTGTGTATATACATGATGGGGGCTTCCCAGGTGGCTTGGTGGTAAAGAACCTGCCTGCCAATGCAGGAGACGCAGCAGACGCGGGTTCGATCCCTGGGTCGGGAAGGTCCCCTGGAGGAGGAAATGGCAACCCATGCCAGTATTCTTGCCTGGAGAATCCCACGGACAGAGGAGTCTGGCAGGCTACAGTTCATGAGGTCATAAAAGAGTCAGACGTGACTGGCCAAGCACCGCAGCAGCACAGACATGTGGATACGCTCACATCCTAGAAACACCGCATCCTGCTTCCCACCGGCCCCAGGGCTGGACTTCCCAGCACCACCTGCCCTTCCCCTCCCGGCTCCATCCTCTGTTTCCCGTGTTAAGAGCGGCATCAAGAAAGCAGGAGCAGCTGGGAACATGAGCAGCAGGCAACTAAATTCTGCCCCGCGCAAGTTTGTGACTCGATGTGCCGTATACACAGGCTTCCTTTCCCTGGGAGCAGCGGCTCGACGTTTGCTAGTTCATGTCCTGGAGACTTGACAGAGCTGAACTATCTTGAATGAGAATTGGCCATCCTTGCTTCTCATCCGTCCTTCCCACTAGTATGGAAACCTAATTGGAAGTCCGGAGCGCAGGGCCCCCATCCGTGTGGCTCCTGGGCGGATGCTGCCCCGAACGGCCCCTGGTGCCCATGTGGCCGCCGTGGGCGAGTGTGGACTGGTGGGTTCCTCTCTCTCCCAGTCCAGGCCCTGCTCTCCTGCGAGCGTCCTCTCCTGGCATTTCAAGACCATCATGTATCCTCCTGCCCCGGCTTCTGCTTTTCACATCCCGCCAGGTCTGTCCTGAGAACCGGTGCAGAAGGTTTTCTTGGGAACAGAACACAGAAGGGGACAGAATCTGAGCCCTGGGCTAGTCAGGAGAAGGCAGGCTTTGGGGGAGCCTAGATCCCTCAGATCACCTGCCAGGCGTTGTCCGAGCTGTCCAGGGACTTTACATTCGGCTCAGGGAGAGGCCGGCTCAGACCTGCTCAGGGCAGCCTCGGTCACCTGCAATAAGCAGGACTTCTGGTCACTCCCCAACACTAGGTCTTCCTGTTGCTTCCCACTGCCCATTGAACCAAGTGCAAACTATTAAGTCCCTTCACCGCTGAGCCCAGCCTGTCAACCACACCCCTCTTCACCTAGAGGAGAAACTGTGATGCGTGTAATGAATTAAAAAAAAAAAACCTAGACTTTTGTAAAGCAATTATCCTCCAATTAAAAGAAACAAGAAAAGACAAAACAACCTGGACTCTTGAGTCAGACTTTCTAGGTTCCTAGCCTGACTTGGTCACTTGCAAGCTGTGTGACTTTGGGCCAGTTACTTAAACTCTCTGTGCCTCAGCTTCAGTGGTAAAATGCAGATGATAACAGTATGTTGCTCATAGAGTATTTGTGAGGATTAAGCACTTGGGGTCACACAGAGTCGGACACGATTGAAGCGACTTAGCAGCAGCAGCAGCAGCAGCAAGCACCTGTACCAAGAAGGCACATCTCCAGGCCCCACCCCAGACGGACAGAATTGGGAATCTTGAGGTAGGGGGCAGGGAACAGACCTTCCCCAGCTCTTAGCACCACCCTTCCCCTTGGGCTTGGGTGTGTTGCCGTAAGATGTGGTTTCTCTTGCAAACTTTATTTGATAATTGAAAATAATGCTTTAGTTCAAGCCAAGTCAAAAATTCCATAAAACCTCTTTCCTGTGACTTTACGTATGACCAGGGGCAAACAACTCATCATTTTTTCTGTACCTAAGTTTCCTTATCAAGAAAATAAAAGCAGATTTTCCTCATGGTCTCTTCTGTCCCCCAAATTTAAGGACATTTAGGAGAAGAGCCCCTACTGTGTGTAGCAGATACTGTTGAGATTGATAGTTTCTTGCCCCCATTTCTTGATGCTTCTTGTATGCAGTACTTTCTTCCCAATTTCAGACATCAAATTCTTTCTTTTAAAAACACTTTTCTTGTTGACATACAGTAGATTTAAAATACTTGTGTTACACCAAGGAAACCATAATTGAAAGAGGCACGCGTACCCCAATGTTCATCACAGCACTGTTTACAATAGACAGGACATGGAAGCAACCTAGATGTCCATCGGCAGACAAATGGATAAGAAAGCTGTGGTACATACACAGGATAGAATGTTACTCAGCCATTAAAAAGAATACATTTGAGTCAGTTCTAATGAGGTGGATGAAACTGGAGCCTATTATACAGAGTAAAGTAAGTCAGAAAGAAAAACAATAATACAGTATATTAATGCATATATATGGAATTTAGAAAGATGGTATCAATGACCCTATATGCGAGACAGCAAAAGAGACACAGATGTATAGAACAGTCTTTTGGACTCTGTGGGAGAGGGCGAGGGTGGGATGATTGGAGAGAACAGAATTGAAACATGTATATTACCATATGTGAAACAGATCGCCAGTCCAGGTTGGATGCATGAGACAAGTGCTCAGGGCTGATGCACTGGGATGACCCTGAGGGGTGGGATGGGGAGGGAGGTGGGAGGGGGGCTCAGGATGGGGAACACGTGTACACCCATGGCTGATTCATGTCAATATATGGCAAAAACCACTACAATACTGTAAAGTAATTAGCTTCCAATTAAAATAAATAAGTTAAAAAAATAGTGTGTTAGTTTCAGGTATATAGCAAAGTGACTCAAGTTTTATATACAGATTCTTTTCCATTATAGGTTATTATGAGATATTAAATATAGTTCCTTGTGCTATACAGTACATCCTTGTTTATTTTATGTATAGCAGTGTGTATCTGTTAATACAATATTCTTAATCTGTCCCTCCTTCCACCCTTTCCCCTGTGGTAACTATAAATTTGTTCTTTTTTTCTGTGAGTCTATTTCTGTTTTGTAAATAAATTCATTTGTACTATTTTTTTAGAATCCATATATAAGTGATATATGATATTTGTCTTTCTCTGACTTACTTCACTTAGTATGATAACCTCTAGGCCCATCCATGTCGATGCAAATGGAATTATTTCATTCTCTTCTGTGGTTGAGTAATATCCCACTGTGTGTGTGTATATATATATATATATATATACATATACACACACACTACATCTTCTTTATCCATTCATCTGTTGATGGACTTCTTTTCAGATTAGAGTTTTCACCTTTTCTGGATATCTGACCAGGAGTGGGACTGCTGAATCATATGGCAGCTCTAGTTTTAGTTTTTTTAGGGAATCTCCATACTGTTTTCCATAGTGGCTGCACCAATTTATATCCCCACCAACAATGTCGGAGGGTTCCCTTTTCTCCATACCCTCTCCAGCATTTATTTGTAGACTTTTTAATGATGGCTATTCTGACTGATGTGAGGTACTATCTCATTGTACTTTTGATTTGCATTTCTCTAATAATAAGTGATGTTGAGCATCTTTTCATGTGCCTGTTATCCTTCTGTATATCTTCTTTGAAATATCTATTTAAGTCTTCTGCCCATTTTTTTTTTTTTTGGTTAGGTTGTTTGGTTTTTTATATTAAGTTACATGAGCTGTTTGTATATTTGGGAAACTAAGCTCTTGTTGGTTGCAAATATTTCCTCCGAGTCCTTGGGTTTTCTTTTCATTTTGCTTATGATTTCCTTTGCTGTGTAAAAGCTTTCAAGTTTGATTAGGCCCCATTTGTTAATATTTGCTTTAATTTCTTTTGACTTGGGAGACTGATCTAAGTCTCCCAATATTTAGACCGATCTAAATATTGTGATGATTTATGTCAGAGAAGGTATTGCCTATGTTCTCTCCCAGGAATTTTGTGGTGTCATGTCTTATATTGAGGTCTTTAAGCCATTTCAAATTTATTTTTGTATATGGTGTGATGGTGTGTTCTCACTTTGTTGATTTATATGAGGCTGTCCAGCTTTTCCAACACCACTTGCTGAATAGACTCTCTTTTCTCCATTGTATAGTCTTGCCTCCCTTGTTGACGATTAATTGATTGTAGGTGTGGGGGTTTATTTCTGGACTCTCTGTTTAGTCCCAATGATCCATATATCTGCTTTTGTGCTAGGACCACACCGTTTTAATTACTGTAGCTTTGTAATATTATAGATATCAATTTCTGTACCCTCCAGGAAGAGCAGATACACCTGAGAACAAAGTAGTCAACTAGCAAATGGTGTTGAAAACCTCATAACAGGGAAACTATTCCTAAAAACCAAGGCCTGGAGGGTGAAAATATTTCTTTGGAATTAAAATTTGGCCTTAACTATCAAGAAGTATAAAGTTGGTTCAAGAGAATATGCATTCTCCACTTTCTGACCACTAGAACAGAAGGCAAGGGAGAAATCCTGAAAAGACAGAGTTCTTACACCAAAGAGATGGAGAAAAATTCCAAAGTGACTGAATTACCTTGAATGGGTAAGATGAGGTTCCCTGCCATTACCAGAAACGGGAACATAACAGCCAATGAAATTTTTAGAAGTTATGTTTTTAAAATACAATACATGTACCTCCAGCGCACTCATCATACCTTTCTCTCTGCGGCACCTGGAACAGAGTGGGCACTGGGTCTTTCTAAGGCCATTCTTGTGAAGTTCGATTCTTAAGTGAGAGGAGACGAAACCCAAAGCTTACTCCAGCTTTTGAGTCTGTGATTGCTATGTCCTGGAGGGGAAGCAATGGTGCAAAAAGGCTGGGGCACCACCTGAGGTCAGGGACCTGTCTTACAGGCTCATCACGACACCCAGCTCCCCATGTGTGGGTTGGACGGATGAATTCTAAGTGAATGAGCGAGAAAAAGAGAGGCTTACCCAGAAAGAGGACAGCTATGCAGACTGGGAATCAAAACCTTAATCACAGAGCTTCTCTGCAGGGAGGGGTGTTTGGGACTCATGCCCCAGGCTTACCAGATGTCTCCATTTTCATCATGGAAGGTGGCATGGCCAGAGTTGTTGATAAGGGCCCGGATGCAGGTTTTTGCACTGTCTTCCAGAATGATGTAAGTGAACTTGCTCTCTTTTATACTGAGGATGAGCATAGCCAGGTGTCCTGATGGGTAACTGGGAGATGGTTAAGGCACAAGTATTCCCTTGGGGTTCCCTGCAGAAGGCAGAGAGCCCTGCAGAGCGAGGCAGGCCCCAGTAAAACCCATGCCCCGGCCCCAAATCACAGACTTTTCTGGCATCGTATGTGTCCCTTGTTCCAGTGGATACTATATCTGGCCTGATCCATCAGGAAAGAGAATTTGGAAGATAATCTCATCGGGGTAGAGAATTATTTTTCCATCACCTTGAAGTACCTAGGGAGAAGAGAGAAGGCTGTGTTGTCACCAGAAGGCTTGACATCAGTCTACTTACTCTCTGATTCCTGCATGCCACCCACCCCTCACTCCCCCACCCATCACCACCACCAACTTGCTGGGGATTCCAGAAGGGAATCTTTGCAGGGGCTTGGTTTACATGTCTTGGTGTTGAGGAAGCTGAAATGGACCACTCTGTGTTTGTGTGTGCAGATTTTAAACTATCATTTCAATCTAATGATTATCAGTTATATTAATTTCATAGGGCTACCATAGCAAAGTACCGGGCAATTTTAAATTGTAGAAAGTTATTCTTTCACAGCCGTGGAGGTCAGAAGTCTAAAATCAAGGGGTCAGAAGGGTCAGCTCTTTCTAGAGGCTCAGAGGAAAAATCTGTTCCATGCTTTCTCCTAGCTTTGGTGATGGCCTGCGGTCCTTCCTCTTCCTTGGTTTGTATATGCAGGGTTCCGACGTCCGGCTCCATCTTCCCTGAGACTTGGTGTCTTCACTGTCCTTCACAAGGACACCAGTCTTACTGGGTTAGGGGCCCACCCTACTCCAGGATGACCTCATCTGAACTAATTACCAATTTTCCAAACAATGTCATAATCTGAGTCAGTGGGGTTTAGGATTTAAATGTGTCTACTTTGGAGGGAGGCTCAGTTTCACTGATAACATTAGTATATTCAGGTATTGTATCTCTGTTTGAATGAGTTTTAGTGAGTTATATTTTTCTAGGAAATTGTTTATGTAAATTTTCAAATTTATTGTCATAAAATTTTATGATATAATATTTTCAAAAACCCTCTACTGTCTCTAAGTTGGGCTTCCCAGGAGGCTCAGTGGTAAAGAATCCGCCTGCCAGTGCAGGAGATGTAGAAGACATGGGTTTGATCCTTGGGTCGAGAAGATACCCTGGAGGAGGAATTGGCAACCCACTCCAGTGTTCTCGCCTGGAGAATCCATCATGGACAGAGGAGCCTAACGGGCTATAGTCCACGGGATTGCAAAGAGTCGGACACGACTGAGCATGCACACATGCACGTCTCTTAGTCATGTCTTTATCCTCATTCTTTATAGTATATATATGTTTTCTTTTTTCTGGATCATTTGCCTGGAGATTTGCTAATTTTACTTATTTTTTTCAAAGACCCAGCCTTTTGGTTTGCTCATTCTAATATTTTTTTATTTTCCAGTGTATCAATTTTTGTTCCCAGCATTATTTTCTCCATATGGCTGCTTTCTGTGGGTTTTCTATGTTAGACTGTGTATTTTTCTTCTAATTCCTTGAACTGAACATTGAGCTCATTGATTTCCATCTTGCTGCTTCTTCACGACCCTCTTCCTCCTCCTCTTCTTTAAGATAGGCATTTAAAGCTATAACATTTCTCTCAAAATTTTAGCTCTTCCCTCCAAGTGTAGATACTCACCTTTCATTTCATTCTGAGTATTTTAAAATTTCCAGTATGCCTTCCTCTTTGACACACAGGTTATTTACAGGTGTGTTTTTGAGTTTGCAAATGTACGAGTTGCTTTTGGCTATGTTGTTAATATTACCAATTAAAATCCACAGCGTTGGGACTTCCCAAGTGGTCCAGCGGTTAAGAACCGGCCTTCCAATGCAGGTGATGGTGGTCCCGTGGTTAAGAACCCACCTTCCAATGCAGGGAAGGCAGGTTCAATCCCTGGTCGGGGAACTAGGATTCCACGTCACCCAGGGCAATTAGGCCTGCACAATGCAACTAAGACCCAACAAAGGCAAAAATTTATATAGAAATACTGAAAACAATCCGCAGGGGTGAGAGAGCAGAGTACAGATGATATCACCTCCATCTTTGGCTGTGCTGGGTCTCACTTGTGGCGTGTTGGATCCAGTTCCCTGACCAGGGATTGAACCCTGGCCCCCTGCCTTGGCAGTGAGGAGGAGTCTTAGCTCCAGGACCACCAGGGAAGTCCTGGTATCAGCTCTTTAGTGCTTGCAAAGTGTTCTGTGGTTAAATGTGTCAGCACTTACTGTAGCTACTTCACTTGTGCCTGAGAAGGATGTGTGTCCTCCAGCGGCCTTGAGTCCCCGTCAGACATTAAAATGCAAGCCTTTTCTCCTGCTTCCCACACGCCGCTCACTCTCACTATCTGCATTTTCCAGGTTCTGTTTCTGGTGTTACCCCCTTCCTTTCTTATGCACTCTTCGTGTGTATGTGTGCCCAGTCCTGTCCTACTCTTTGCTACCCCATGGACTGTAGCCAGCCAGGCTCCCCTGCTCATGAGATTTTCCAGGCAAGAATACTGGAGTGGATTGCCATTTCCTTCTCCAATATACTCTTATATACTCTAGATTTAAATCCTGTACATATAAACTTCTGCATTTACACACTATACATTTAAAAGGACATTTTTTTTTTTTACATTTTATTTAAATTTCCCAGGTGTTTGTAGCAGGATGCCTTTTCCCGTCATGTTTTATCCTGCATTACTCTAACTAGGTGTTAGATCTGTGGTTTTCAAGCTCTTACTTTTAATGACTGAAGAATCCTTCACTCAAGAGAGCTCACTGCAGAGTGCCCAAATCTGAGACAATGAAAGAAGAAGGTGCATCTAGTTGGCGAGGAGCTGCTGTGGACTCCGCAGGGCGTGGCCTTCAATGCCCAGGAACCGCTCCACCAGGGGATGAAGATCCTGTGACTGACTCTGTCCCTACAGCAGCGTTTGCGCTCAGCACGGGACTTCCACAACACATTGACCTCAGAGGAGGCGCTATTATTTTCCCCGTTTAAGAGAGGCGTTCCACTAGGGGGCACTAGTGGCAAAGAATCCGCCTGCCAATGCAGGAGACTCAGGAGATGCAGGTTTGATCCCTAGGATGGGGAAGATCCCCTGGAATAAGAAATGGAACCAGCTCCAGTAAACTTGCCAGGAAAGTCCCATGAACAGAGAAGCCTGGCGGGCTACAGTCCATGGGGTTGCAAAGAGTCAGACATGACCGAGCGACCTACACAAGGCTATCCAATGAAAGGGGAGCCAGACTCCCACAGTCTGTCCCTGCCACCCCCAGCCAGCTGGCTCATCCTTGGAAACGCACCGCCTCCAGCCATTAAGCTACCAGCCACCTCGCTCATTTACTCTACAAACCACTGCCCCCTCTCTTTTTTTACCCTAAAGAAAGCACTTTATAAGGTCATCTATGGTTGGTTTCTTCCTGAGAACAGGTAAGAAGCTTCTAGATTTTGCTCACGGGGGAGGATTTTCTATTTTAGGTCTTATTTTCAAAAGCTACCTGAAGCCAGAATTTCTTAATACACTTTCTTTTCATCAAATTCACTTGTCATGGAATGACATTTTCCTAAAAACAAGAAGCCACGGGCAAAGAAAAATCCCTGACACAGAGATAGAGTCGTTCCATTTTCCTTCACTGGGAAATATATCACACAAAGCCCAAAGGATGAATCTAATAATTCTGGCCTGAGCAACTGAGAAAAAGCTGTATTATCACTTAGTAAATTGGGGCACACTTGAGACTACTAGAAACTAACATTTATGTAATATCATGCAGGTTTTAAAGCACCTCTGCATATAATGTGGACTTAGCTTTTTCCAACAATTTTGTGGGATAAGTATGGTCTTATTATCTTCACTTTACAGTTCAAGAAAGTGAGACCCAGAAAAACATACATGATGGTCTTAAGCACAGAGGTTGTTATTAGTCAGGGCTACTCAAAAAACATGCCCAGTCAGCCAGCTTCTCACCACCTCCCGTCACCAGCCTAGTAGAGATACGCGTTGTCTCTCACCTGCGTTAATACCTGGCTTCCAGCTGAACTTTCTGCCCTTACTCTTGCCCCCTTAAGCCTGTTCTCCATAGAGCAGCCAGAAAGATACTTCTAGAGCTTAAGCCAGATGATGTTGCCCCTGCTCTAGCCCCTCCAGTGGCTCCGTGGCTTCCTTTGGATAAAACCGTGACCCCCAAGGCTCTACCTGACCTGGACACCGAGCTCATTCCCCATGCCTTTCTCACTTGCTCACCGCCGTCCTCGAGGCTCAGGGGCTCAGGGCCTTTGCGTGTGTTAGCTCTGCCTAGGACACTCCTCCTCCAAACCTCTAGGGGCTCGCTCCCTCTTTCCATGCCTGCCTAGGCTCAAATGGCGCGTCTGCGATTGCACTAAAAGCATGACAGTTACTCCTTTCTCAGCCCAGCAGCTCTAGAGCCCCTCATCCTGCTTTCCTTCCTGCGGCACCTAATAATACCTACCTTGGCACTGAGCAGAATTTTGTGCGTTGACTGCTCAGTTGCTCAGTCGTGTCCGACTCTTTGCCACCCCATGGACCACAGCACACCAGGCCTCCCTGTCCATCACCAACTGCTGGAGTTTACCCAAACTCATGTCCATTGAGTCGGAGATGCCATCCAACCATCTCATCCTCCGTCGTGTGGACTGTGTGCTCAACTAAAACGTAAGTTCCATGGCTCCCAAGGTTTGTTTGTTCACCCTTGTAGCTCCAGCACCTAGAAGAGGGCCTGGGGCATTGTGTGTTCTCAGAATATATTTACAGAAAGCAGAGAGTCTATCACATCTTCCTATTTCCCTTCAGTGCCTTTTTTTTGAACTCTGGACCTTATTAGCTCATGTGACTAACTGAGACTAGGTTTCACTTATGGCTTTATAGTGTCCATCTTTATAAATATACCATGTGATTGGCTTTTACAGATAGGCTTTATTTTTTTAGAGCAGGTCACAGCAAAATTGAGTAGAAAATGGAGATTTCTCATAAACTCTCTGCACCCGCACACACGTGCAGCCTTCCCCCACTATCAACATCCCACACCACAGTGTACATTTATACAAAGAATTTATACTGCACATCACCATTACCCAGAGTCCATAGTTTACCCTGGGGTTCACTCCTGGTATTCTACATTCTGCGGGTTTATACAAATATATAATGACATATGGTCTTCCCTGGTGGCTCCGCTGTAAAGAATCCACCTGCAACTCAGGAGACACAGGTTCGATCCCCGGGTCGGGAAGATCCCCTGAAGAGGGAAATGGCAACCGACTCCAGTATTCTTGCCTGGAGAATTCCATGGACAGAGCAGCCTGGTGGGCTACAGTCCATGGGGCCTCAAAGGGTCAGACATGGCTTAGTGACTAAACAGCGATAATAATGACATATATCTACTGTTACAATACAATACAGAATGTATGCATGGCCCTAAAAACCATCTCATCCTCTGTCGTCCCCTTCTCTTCCTGCCTTCAATCTTTCCCAGCATCAGGGTGTTTTCAAATGAGTCATTTCTTCCCATCAGGTGGCCAAAGTATTGGAGTTTCAGCTTCTGCATCAGTTCTTCCAATTAATATTCAGGACTGATTTCCTTTAGGATTGATTTTTTGGATCTCCTTGCAGTCCAAGGGACTCTCAAGAGTCTTCTCCAACACCACAGTTCAAAAGCATCAATTCTTCGGCTTTCTTTATAGTCCAACTCTCACATCCATACATGACTACTGGAAAAACCATAGCTTTGACTAGATGGACCTTTGTCAGTAATGTCTCTGCTTTTTAATATGCTGTCTAGGTAGGTCATAGCTTTTCTTCCAAGGAGCAAGCATCTTTTAATTTCATAGCTGCAGTCACCATCTGTGCAGATTTTGGAGCCCAAGAAAATAAAGTCTGTCACTATTTCCACTGTTTCCCCATCTATTTGCCATGAAGTGATGGGACCAGATGCCATGATCTTAGTTTTCTGAATGTCGAGCTTTAAGCCAACTTTCTCACTCTCCTCTTTCACTTTCATCAAGAGGTTCTTCAGTTCCTTTTCACTTTCTGCCTTAAGGATGGTGTCATCTGCATATCTGAGGTTATTGATGTTTCCCCCAGCAATCTTGATTCTAGCTTGTGCTTCATCCAGCCCGGCATTTCACATTATGTACTCTGCATATAAGTTAAATGAGCAGGGTGACAATATACATCCTTGACATACTCCTTTCCCAATTTGGAACCAGTTCCATGTCTGATGCTAACTGTTGCTGCCTGACCTGCATACAGATTTCTCAGGAGGCAGGTAAGGTATTCTGGTATTCCCATCTCTTTCAGAATTTTCCACAGTTTGTTGTGATCCACACCGTCAAAGTCTGTGGCATAGTCAATAAAGCAGGAGTAGATGTTTTTCTGGAACTCTTTTGCTTTTTTGATGATCCAATGGATGTTGGCATATTTGATCTCTGGTTCCTCTGCCTTTTCTAAATCCAGTAAATCCCCACCCACACCGCCAAACAAACAACAAAACCCTGGACAAAATGCAAACGCCAGGGCATTGCCACAATTACCTTAATCTTGCTGTTGATCCAGTCCATATCTAGTTCTAACATCTTCGTACGGCGAGCAACACGACGATGTTTCTCTGGCTCCATCTCCTCCTCCTCGTCTTGTAGTGGTATATTACATAAGTGAAACGTGAAAGTGCTCTCTGCAGTCCTTTGGGTATATAAGGCTTCGGTAGAAAAGAGAAAGAAAACTTAGATCTATTTCTCTCGAGGAACCCAAAGAGAGTTTGAGGATTTGGGATATCGGCCATATTTCCCCAAGCTCTCTTATTTTTTCCCATTCATTCTTTCATTTCACACACAATTATTAAGGGCCTGTGAGGTGCCAGCTCAGTGTCAAATGCCCGACACCACGGTGAACACCACCCAGTCCAGACTTGGGGATGTGAGGGGTGACATACCAGCCGCGTGCCAGTAACAAGTGAGGCTGCTGAGTCTGGTAATTTAAAAAACAGGCTAAAGTGGGAGTCATAAAAAAAAGGAAATATACCTTAAACATGCTATTTTAACTTAAAACACAAATGAATACTAACACTGTTTTAAAAGTTTATCTTTAATTGGAGGACATTGCTTTCCAATGTTGTTAGTTTCTGCTGCACAACAAAGTGGATCGGCTCTGTGTATACACGTGTTCCCTCCCTGCTGAGCCTCCCGCGGCATCCCAGCGCTCTAGGTCATCACAGAGCGCTGAGCTGAGCTTGCTGTGCTGTGTTGGCAGGTTCCCACTAGCGAGCTGTTTTCTACATGGTAGCTAACACACCATTTTTAAGTGCAGGACTCAGTGGTCACGTTTGCTCAAAGCCCATTCATAATTTATTATCCAAAACTTTCAATTTTGGCAATTTCTACATAGTCTGAGTGCAGGATTGTAGACTTGGGGGAAAAAAAAACTTCTGTATATCCCCCAGCCTTTTGTGTATGTTTGGTGCACACCTAGTTCTAAGCAGTATTTGTAAAACTACTTTCTTATTGCTGCTGCTGCTAAGTCGCTTCAGTTGTGTCCGACTCTGTGCAACCCCATAGATGGCAGCCCACCAGCCTCCCCCGTCCCTGGGATTCTGGAGTGGGTTGCCATTTCCTTCTCCAATGCATGAAAGGGAAAAGTGAAAGCGAAGCCGCTTAGTAGTGTCTGACTTGCAGCGATCCCAGGGACTGCAGCCTACCAGGCTCCTCTGTCCATGGGATTTTCCAGGCAAGGGTACTGGAGTGGGTTGCCATTGCCTTCTCCAACGTTCTTATTGAGTCTTCTCAAAAGCATTCCACTTAGTTTTCACAGCAGCAGCAAGTTTCTTTTTCATCTTCATTTGGGTCCATTTTTATAACTATTGAATTTTGGAGTAAGCTAGCAAGGACTCTTCCCTGGGGGTTGATTACCAGGGGGCGCCACAGTGGGAGGCGCGCCGTTGGTATCAGCCAGGATGCTCTTCCCCGCAAGGGGGCCACTCCCTCCGCAACTAGATTTGGGGGAGGTCAGTTGAGAGAGCTTGGTTGTCCCACCTCTGGGGCCAGCACAGCGTTGGAGGAGGTGTCGGAGAGGACGTGACAGCTTGTTGACCCGGGAGCTGGACGGGGCGTGGAAGTCTCCCCGCCCCCTTCCTGGTCCTTGGCATGTACGTTCTGCCCACGGTCCCCACACTGGGAACCCTTTGCAAGGATGCAGCCTCTCAGGCACTATGCTGTTGAGCCCACCTGGACGGATACATGTCTGAAGCCAGGTAAGTCCTCCATTTAAATGTTAAGATTCTGGCCGGTGGAGGTGGAAATCGACAAGTCTTGTGCCGCCGGAGACATGCTTATGTCGGGTCTAAGTTCTCTTGCTTTTTAAACCCGCTGCCTACAGCGTGGGGTGGACTGCCTCTCGGGTCTTCTCTTGCCCTCTGCTGCTGCTAAGTCACTCAGTTCTGTCCAACTCTTTGTGACCCCATGGGCTGCGGAACTGTCCTTCACTGTCTCCTGGAGTTTACTCAGACTCGTGTCCATGGAGTTGGTGGTGCTATCTTATAGGGGCTGATTTAGAATTTCACCCCAGGAACTCTGAGGTTGCCAACACAGAGGGCAAGGTGCCATCGGAGCTCACAGGGACCCTATCCAGGCCTGGAGGTTGTGCACAGAGTGGAAATTATCTCTAGTTTGCCAGGTGGAGTTCCTAGTATAAGGGCTGCGTGGTTGAAGGCTAGCATGAGACCAGCTTAGTATTAACGGGTGACTCTGGAGAGATAGGCAGGGCTAGGTCACTCCTTTATTCAGTCACTCAGGAAATATCCATTGAGTTCACATATGCCACAAGCTGTCCTAGGTACCAGGGCTGGCACCATGCCTGCTGCTCGTTCTAGTAGGGGAGATGGACGCTACACAAGTGAACAGGTGAAAACTTCACCTGCTGGTGGCTAGGAGTGCCCTGAAGAATGATTGTGCGTGTGTGTGCACACTGCTTTGTAAAGGGTAGCCAAAGCAACAGTTTCTGAGAAGGTGACTTTTAAGCAGAGTCCTAAATAAAGTGAGGGAGCAAGTCACAAGGATATTGGCGTGCAGAGTACTCTAGCCAGAGGACCGCACGTCCAAAGGCCCTGTGGCAGGGAGGCCTGCTCATGTGGTGAATAACAGAAAGGCCAGTGTGCCTGGCATGGACAAGAGCGAGGGCCTTTGAAGCCATGTGGGGAAAATGTGTAGTTTTCCTGGAGGTAGTGGAGGGCCAGGGAAGTGTTTTAAAAAGGCTTTGCTGGAAAGAATGTGAAGAAAGGACTGAGAAAGGACAGGATGGGCCAGGGACTCTGGGGCAATGAAGGTGTCTGAGGTGGTGTCGGTGATGTCGGAGAGGTGGGGGGGGGGGACCTGGGGAGAGGAGAACACAGCTGTGTGCCCCTGAGGAATGGAAGGGGGCCGCTCCTTAGACCTCACAGAGGAGCTTGTCCTCAGGGAGGTGAGGAGAGAGAGGTGGGCGGGGGCAGAGTCGATGAAAGCGCTTTGTGAGCGGTTTGGACGCAGGCCTCAGTCTCCCTCGGAGGAGCCCTCCTCCAGTGCTTCCGTCCAGAGTGGAGGCGATTTGTCCAGGGGGGAGGCAGATGTGAGCCCAGCTGCTCTTCCTGAGGGTCAGTCAGAGAGGAACAGAGAGCCTTCCTGAAGTGGTCATGGTAACAGGGGACATGGATATGCTCATTCTTTTCCCCTGTCAGAAGGCGAGAATCACGGATTTCCTGGTTTGTGCTGTATAACCAGCTCTGTCTTTAATAGGGGGAGGTGTCAGGCTGCCTGTCTGAGCCTCAGTTTCCTTAAAGTGGGGTGGGCTGGCTGCAGAGACCTGTCAGGTTCCTCTGAAGCGATGCTGCTTGGAGGCCGCTGTCCGGAGACGGGCCACAGGCCTGTGTCCTTCACGTGGGGAGCTTTGGGGTCTGATGGCTCATGGCATGAGCTGTGTAGTGGCTCCCACTTCTTTTCACTCACAGGAGAGGCTATCTAATTTCAAAATGCAGGTATCCTTGTTTTAAAATTACTCAAGATTTCAGGGACTTCCCTGGTGGTCCAGTGGTTAAGACGCTGCACTCCCAGTTGCAGGGTGCATGGGTTTGATCCCTGGTCGGGGAACTAGAACCCTACATGTTAGGCAACCAAAATAAATTAATGAAGGATTTCAAGACAGTGGCAGCCGAGCATTAAAAGCAAGCACAGGGCCCTGAGTGTGGGGGGCTTGTGTCCCTGCACAGCTCACATGCCTGCGAAGCCATCCTTGGCTTGGAAATCGGAGGGTTCAGAGGCAAGGGGCTGCCTGCAGCAGTCATTCTATAGGAGTTAGGTCAGGGGCATATACTTACCGGCATGGGGATGGGAACACTTCCTGAGAGGGAATCCGGGGCTTTGTCCTGGCTCAGCAAGAAAAAGCATGTGATGGATGAGGTGTGTCAGCTGAGGCTGTCGTTGCCAATTCTAGGTCAGTGGGATCTGGTCATCTGGAAGATGTTCCAGCTGGCGGTTTGGAGTTCTGAATTAAGTAGCCGGGTAGCTTAGGCTCTTGGCTCAGACTTTTTGATGAGAACACCCCCCAAAGCTGGCAAAGTCCATGACTGGCAAGTCTTAGCAGCTGGACCTCCAATGCCTTTCAGTTCAGTTCAGTGGCTCAGTTGTGTCCGACTCTTTGTGACCCCATGGACCGCAGCATGCCAGGCCTCCCTGTCCATCACCAACTCCTGGAGTTTACTCAAACTCATGTCCGTTGAGTCACTGATGCCATCCAACCATCTCACCCTCTGTCGTCCCCTTCTCCTCCCACCTTCAATCTTTCCCAGCATCAGGGTGTTTTCAAATGAGTCAGTTCTTCTCATCAGGTGGCCAAAGTATTGGAGTTTCAGCTTCAGCGTCAGTCCTTCCAGTGAATGTTCAGGACTGATTTCCTTTAGGATGCCTTTAGTATCTGGTAAAGGGGCTATTTCTTTCTTAAACTTTGTATTAATGACTTCTTAGACCCTCCCCCAATACAGGGTAGATGCCTTCTTGTGTGGTCCCATAGTATCCCCTTCCCACCAAAGCATTAACTATTTTATATGCAGATTCCCTGCTTTCCTGTTTATCTTCACCTCCTGCCCTCCCTCCCACCCTCATCACAATCAAAGGATAAGCCCCTTGAAGCCCCAGACCATGTTTCGAGTTTCTCGCTTGCTCAGTATTTTAATCCCTGGCATGTGAGACTTTACTGGCCCAATACATGCTCAAGTGAGGGAACAAGCATTTCTGCCTCCTTGAGGGACACAGGGGAAGGTGGGAGACAGTGAGATGCACCCAGGAGAACCAGGTAATGGGATGGAAAATGGGGAGAGGAGTTCTTACTTTCCCGTTTCCTCATAATCCAGAGGATCGTCTTCTTGTAGTTTTCAAAATTTTTCTTCAACCTGAAAGGAAGGTGAATCGGCTTTAAAAGCTGAGACCGAATCGTGTTTACATGTCATGCTACGCGGCAGACAGAGCTGGGGCCGGCTCCATCGTTTCATAGGCGGAGACTTGGCTGGATGGTTCTGCCTCTGCAACAAGCTTTCTTCCAGTCTGTACTCAGGAATAAAGGGCCAGCACCTGGTGTTGTGTATCCCTCCTGGCCTTTAATAGGCCTTCAACCTGGGCACCTGGGCTGACCCCAGATCTTTCAAAATGAATTCAGTGGGGTTCCTCTTGGGAATGAAGCCAGGGTCGGGAGACCAAAGCTGACACTATGAGTTCAGCTCGTGCAGGTTGTTTTTTCTGTGGTTTGTGCTCTTGTGCACATTCAGTAAAGCCTGTTCAGAAAGAGCTCAGAGAAACGGTTATCATTTGTGAGCTGGACACAGCCACCTGAAACTCCTTTGCACTGAGTAGGAAAATTTCAAATAAACTCACTCAAAAATGACTCACCAGGAAAGCCACATTAAGGCACAGCTCTTCAAAATGATCAAGCCTTCTACACCTCCTCTCATGTCGATATACAAAGCGAGTCATCCTGGCATTTCAATGGCTGGGACTGTTTTCCTGCCAAATAAGGGTGGTCTCCGGAGACAGCAGCCTTTCCTGGTTCTCAGATCAGAGACCTTTTGAAAGGGAATCTGCCAGAAGGAGGGAGCTTCCAAGGCTTAATTGGATCTGAGCAGAGGGCCTTTGACACGGCAGATTTTAACTTCTCGCTTCAGAATCCTCGAAGAGAGCATAATAATTTAACCCCAAGCAACCTCAGGAAGCAAATACCATCTGCTGGAAAGGGCTGGGCTGTTTTGCCTGGTGGAAAGGAGGTTTAGTGTCTGTACTTTAGAAGCTGTTTGCAAGTTGAGAATGAGCTCTTCATGGCCCATTTGTGCCAAGGGTTCTTTGCTTTATTTGCAAGCACTGTGAATGGAATTGAAGCAGTTACCTCACCTACCATCACCTGTGAAAGAACAAGGAGGAAGAGGGTGGGGTGAAGCCTGTCCAGCTGACAGCAGGATGCCAGGTGCATGCAGGAGTTAAATTCCAGTGAGGGGATCCCTGCAGAGGCACCCAGTGCCCTTTGGGGAAGGTTCTTTCCTTGGTTCTTTGCTCAGCTTTGCAAGCTAATGGAATCCCTACTAGCCTTGCTAGTAAGTGTACACACTACCGTATAGACCAGCATACAGTAGGTGCATTCATTGGGTGCAGTTAGGTTAGAATGAGCCTTGGTCATGGGCTTAAACGAGAAAGAAGGGGGAGAAAATGTAACCTAGAATGTAGGATAACCTACAATGGTATTATTTGGGATTTTTATTTTTCTTGTTTTATGAGGATCTGAAAACTTGGGTGTTCTTTGTATTTTGTGTATTTAGCCTTCCCTTTTCCTAGAGAAGCCTTAGGGGTCTCTGGCCCCAGGACTGTATTGAGCCCAAAGCAGAAGTTGCTGGCAGTCAGTCTCTCCCTGATTTTGGGGAGTCTTCATTCACCAAGGAGGCTATGCATGGTACCCCATCCCCCACAGCCTGTTCCTCGGAGCCCCTCCCAGAGAGTCATGGTCATGATGATGGTCAGATGTGATGCCTGACCATGTCCCTTGTTCACCAAGGCTTCTGACAGCTGGATAAGTGAAAATCCAGGCTTCCTTATACCACAGACTGGATGTACAGATAGGGTTCTGGAATATTTTGTGACTGGGGTCATGCCAACTAGAAAGATTTGGTGCCAGCAGCCATCTGCAATAACTTTATTGCTCCCCAAGCCCCTGCCATGTCCCAGGTCAGTGACGCTTGGGGCTTTTCCCCCTCAAGGAGCATGGAGAAGCAATGGCTAGCCTAGGATGAAGCTAAGGAACTTCTTTGGAAGATGCCCATGAGCTTGATCCCCTCACTGTCCCTTTTCTTCAAAGGCTCAGGGGTCTGAGCCTTGCCTCCCGGACTTTCGTACAAGTTCACGGTCCCTTCAAGGCTTTTTCTCGCCTGGGATTTCCAGCCTGTGTCCCTGCTCACCTTTGATGCTATCTTGCACATCCTGTGTTCGTAGATTTCTTTGCCTTTGAGTTTTGGCAGCCGGATCATCCTGTCCCCTGACCCCTAATCTTACCCTTGTCCTCTGTCTGGCTTGTGCCAGCTCTTTGACTCAAGGAAGCTTCTGGACCCAGGCCTTCCTCTGTGCTCTCACGGCCCAGTTAATGCTCTTCTCGGCAGCTAGCTTTGGTCTAGCTGCACCCAGCGACCAGTACCTTCCCAGTGACCAACAGTTCCATCCCTCTTGTCACTTACAGAATTCCCAGCTTCCTTCTGGTTTCACCCTCCAGATGACCAGTCAGGGGAATGGTAATATCCTCCTCCAGTTCGTTGCGAACAGCCATTTCTTTGAGCACAGTCCTGAACACCGACTGATAGGAGGTGGCCGAAACCTGCTAAAGAGTTAATATTTACTGTATATAAATCTTCTTCATCTACCTCTATTTAACTTTGCATATCTATTCTTGCTTTCTTTTCCTCTCAAAATATTTGTTAGTTTTGTTTTCGTTGCTTTATTCCCCACTTGGCACCTTGCTTTCATTTTGTTTTCCAGTTTGTGCTTTAGTTAGTTTTGTTCTTAACTGGTAAATATAATTTTTGATTTCCTTTGTTAGCCGGGTCAATCTACTGTAGTTTATTTTTGTTGGACTGCTTTGACTTTGCTCATGGGCGCATATGTATATGTGTATATTCCATTATTTTAATTATTATTTGCCTGATTTTGTGACTGCCATTTGTCTGGGGTTCATCTTTGGTTTCTTGGTTTTGGGTACTTGTTTTAATCTCACTTAATGCCATAACAAACCACTTGTGAAATCTTCGTTCCTGACCAAAGATCAAGCCCTGAGCCTTTGGAGTGGGAGCACTGACTCCAAGACCCTAGACCACCAGAGAACTAACCCTAGGGAGTATCAAATAGTGAGAATTCACACAAAGGAAACCACTTGAATACAAGACCCAGCATCACCCAACCACCAGTAGCACCCTGTGCACCCTCATCTAAACAACAAACAAAACAAAAATACAAACCAAATCATTAGCAGGCAGGATTACTACCTCATTCAGCCTTGCCCATCAGAGGAAAAACAAACAAACAAAAAACCCAGCACAAATCTCACCCTATACGAAGCTTACAGAAACCACTGGACCAACCTTATAAGGGCAGAAACCAAAAGAAGGAAAGAATTCAACCTTGAAGTCTGGGAAAAGGAGACCTCAAACACAATAAGTTAAAAAAAAATAATGAAAAGGCAGAGAAATACTACACAAATGAAGGAACAAATTAGAAACACAGAGATCCAAATAAATGAAGAGAAAATAGGCAAACTACCTGAAAAAGAATTCAGAATATTGATAGTAAAGATGATCTAAAACCTTGAAAACAAAATGGAGAAAATGCAAAAATCAATTAACATAGACCTAGAAGAATTAAAGAATAAACATACAGAGACAAGCAACACAATTGCTGAAATTAAAAATACTTTGGAAGGAATCAATAGCAGAATATCTGAAGCAGAAGAACGAATCAGTGAGCTGGAAGATAAAATGGTGGAAATAACTTCTGAAGAGCAAAATAAAAAGAATGAAAAGAACTGAGGATAGTCTCAGAGCCCTTGGGGACATTATCAAATGCACCAACATTCGAATTATAGGGGTCCCAGAAGAAAAAGACAAAAAGAAAGGGTATGAGAAAATTTTTGAAGAGATTATAGTTGAAAATTTCCCTGACATGGAAAAGGAAATAGTCAAACAAGTCCAAGAGGCACAAAGAGGTCCCACACAGGATAAACCCAAGGAGAAACACGCCAAGACACATACTAAGTGAACTAACAAAGGCTAAACACAAAGAAAGAATATTAAAAGCAGCAAGGGAGAAGCACCAAGTAATGTACAAGGGAAACCTCATACGTTATCTTTCAGCAGAAACTGCAGGCCAGAAGGGAATGGCAGGATATATTTAAAGTACTGATAGGGAAAGGGAAACATCTACAACCAAGATTATTGTACCCAGCAAGGATCTCATTCAGAATTGATGGAGAAATAAAAAGCATTTCAGACAAGCAAATGTTAATAGAATTCAGTATCACTAAACCAGCTTTACAACAACTGTTAAAGGGACTTATATAGTCAAGACATACAAGAGAAGGAAAAAGATCTACATCAGTTCAGTTCAGTCGCTCAGTCATGTCCAACTCTTTACGACCCCATGAACTGCAGCATGCCAGGCCTCCTTGTCCATCACCAACTCCTGGAGTTTGCCCAAACCCATGTCCATTGAGTCGGTGATGCCATCCAACCATCTTATCCTCTGTTGTCCCCTTCTCCTCCTGCCCTCAATCTTTCCCAGCATCAGAGTCTTTTCAAATGAGTCAGCTCTTTGCATCAGGTGGCTAAAGTATTGGAGTTTCAGCTTATGCATCAGTCCTTCCAGTGAACACCCAGGACTGATCTCATTTAGGACGGACTGGTTGGGATCTCCTTGCAGTCCAAGGGACTCTCAAGAGTCTTCTCCAACACCACAGTTCAAAAGCATCAATTCTTCATGCTCAGCTTTCTTTATAGTCCAACTCTCACATCCATACATGACCACTGGAAAAACCATAGCCTTGACTAGACGGACCTTTGTTGACAAAGTAATATCTCTGCTTTTTAATATGCTGTCTAGGTTGGTCATAACTTTCCTTCCGAGGAATAAGCGTCTTTTAATTTCATGGCTGCAGTCACCATCTACAGTGATTTTGGAGCCCTCAAAAATCAACCCCAAACAATTAAGAAAATGGCAATAGGAACATATATATCAATAATTACTTTAAATGTAAATGGATTAAATGCTCCAACCAAAAGACACAGACTGGTTGAATGGATACAAAAACAAAGACCGATATATATGCTGTCTACAAGAAACCCACTTCAGACCTAAAGACACATATAGACTGAAAGTGAGAGGATGGAAAATATATTCCATGCAAATGGGAAACAAAAGAAAGCTGGAGTAGCAATCCTCATATCAGACAAAATAGACCTTAAAGAAGATTACAAGAGATAAGGAAGGACACTACATAATGATCAAGAGATCAATCCAAGAGGAAACCTGCAAAAGGACCGCAGAATGAAATAGCCTGAAATCTGATTCCCTGATGTGCCAGATGAGATTTCAACATGTAATTGGAAAAAGACAGTGGGAACAGTAGGATGACTAGCAAGATTTGTTCTGAAGATTGTCTCCCTAATGGTCACACCCTCTTCTCATTCCCCAGTTCCCTTAAGAATATATTTTTTTTAATAGTAGCATACCAAGAAGTCTTTTGAGAGCATAAAATTACCTCCTTCTTCCAAATGTAGAGAAGGCTCTAGAACATAATATTGCATTCATGGCTTGAGAGCATAAAGCTTTTTTAGTTCCTGGAATGACCAAGCTGTCAGTGGTTGGTTATTTATCATATCATAAATAACTGTGAAGGATAAGAGTCTTCAGGAAACCAGGGTAGTACCTAGCATGTTCTTGTAGTGGATAATTCTGTCTTTAAGGATTCTTCCAAAGTAATAACACTGCAAGCTACCTTTTAATTTTGTAGATTTGTTCATTCTATCTCAAGTCTGTGAGGTTAACCAGGACTGACCCATAGGTTGGTCTTCACAAGAGTTTCTTTTTTTGACTCCCTTTTGGTAGAAGGTGAATTATGACTTGCTGTCCAGAAGAACTGCAGGTTGTCACATCGCCCTGCTCACTACAGGTTGAGATTGTTAGGGAGGTTGTTCCACATCTGTTAGTGTACAGTCTACCATTCACTTACAAGCCTCCTAAAGTAAGCAGTGGGGGCGGAGGGGCGGCTTCCCTGGTGGCTCAGTGGTAAAGAATCCACCTGCCAATGCAGGAGACATGGGTTCAACCCCTGGGTTGGGAAGTTCCCCTGGAGAAGGAAGTGGCAACACACTCCAGCATTCTTGCCTGGAAAATTCCATGGACAGAGGACTGTGGCGGTCTGCAGTTCATGGGGTTGCAAAAGAGGCACACATGTCTTAGTAACTAAACAACTACAACAAAAAGGAAGCGGGCGACCCACATACCCAAAGTCGCATGTGACCTGGGGCAAATACAAGGATGGAGCTTGCCGTTGCTGGTTTTTCCAGGTTGGGGAAAACCTGGGGTGTCTCGGGACTGACTTGCTTGATTCCCAGCCTCTCCTCATTGCTGGTGTTCAGTTAATTAAACACAGAGGCCATCAGACTGAGGAGGCTCTGAGGCCATGGTGCCCCGAGTAAGCAAACAAAAACCTCAGCCTGTAAATGCCTCAAGCAAGAGATCAAAATCCAAGGACAACCACTCACAAGCAGCCGGCTTGGCTTTAAGCCAGTAGGCCAATAATTTCCTTGCTCTGCTTCTGCCTTTTGTGTCTCTCCTCAGCTCCTGTTGGCTGAGGGCTCTTAGCCACTTCCGGTCTGGTACTGCCTGATTCTAATCATACAGGCTCAAACTCTTCAGATGCTTAATAGGCCTCAGTTCATCTTTTCACACTGGAATGTATCAGTGCTTCGGGGCAGACTGAGGTGAAGGCTTGTCGTCCCAATATTCCTGCCTCTAAATTCTTTATTATTGACCATTCTTCCTTGAGTTGGGGCGATGGCCCAATTGCCCAGGCCGGTCTTTCACGAGTCTTTTTTTTTTTTTTTTAATTTTAGTTTTTATTTTATTTTTGGCGGTGCTGGGTCTCTGTTGCTGCCTGAGGGCTTTCTGTAGTTTCGGTGAGCAGGGGCTACTCCCTGGTTGCTGTGTGCAGGCTTGTCAGCGTGGTGGCTTTTCTTGTAGAGCGTGGGCTCTAGGCACGTGGGCTCAGTCATTGCAGCTTGGTAGCTGTGGCGCTTGGGCTGAGTTGCCCCGAGGCATGTGAGGTCTGTCAGATCCTACTGTCAGAATAACCACGGTCCAGGCTGATGGCTGCCTCCAAGTCAGAGGACCTCAGCTACGTCTCTCCCCTGGGTGCCTCAGTGGTTTCTGGTGCTCCCCCTCCCAAAGGCCTCAGAAGTCCACACAGACAAGTCTCTCAGCTGCAGGTATCATGTGGCACTGCTCCACTCCTTCTGTCCTGCTCTGGCCCTACTTGGGCACATCTGCTGCCCATGGGATTTCTTGGAGGAACGGTGCTTTTCAGGTGATATTGTGGCTGGGCCACAGGTGCTGTCACTCACTAAGTGATCTTTGGAGCCAGGTGCTATCAGCAGGGGGTCATGTCCCCCGTCTCTGTGCCATACTTTGTCACCTGAGCCAAGCCCCTGAGATGGCAAGGCAAGGTGTTTGTGACGGGCTCACGTGCACAGGCTGCGTGTCACCCAGAAGCCTCCCAGCATCCTGTCTCATCCAGAACCTCACGCGGCTCCATGGGAGGTGTCCCCTTGGCTTACGGCTGCAGCCCCACCAGACACACAGAACCTCAGTTGACAGGTGCGCTGAAGGTTTCTGAAAAATTAGTTTCTAATTAAAACAATTCCTTTCGATTTCAATTCTTGCTAAAAAAAATCTCTCTAAAATGCCTGAGTTTACTTTCCTATCTTAGTATATTCAGTGCTGTGAATCTAAGTTCAAGTAATCCCTTCACCGTTTGACATGGTAGTTCAGTATTTGAAAAAGCAGTAGGTTTTTTTCTTATTAATACGGGCTTCTCTGGTGGCTCAGATGATAAAGAATCTGCTGCAATGTAGGACACCTGGGTTCAATCCCTGGGTCGGGAAGATCCCCTGGAGGAGGGCATGGCAGCCCACTCCAGTGTTCTTGCCTGGAGAATCCCATGCACAGAGGAGCCTGGTGGTCTATAGTCCATGGGGTTGCAAAGAGTCAGGCATGGCTGAGCAAAAATACTTTTGCTTCTTATTAATATAAGTGTATAAGAGCATGTCTGGAAAGTAAGGAATTTAGGGCTAAATAAGAACTGAAATAAGAGAATTTTTTTCAATTAAAATAAGAGCAAAAACTAAATGCCTCGGTTATTTCCCACCCCCTTTTTAAGTTCAGGATAATGTATCTGCTTTATTTTGAGTTTCAGAGACACAAGCTCTCACTTTTGTGATTGTAGTTAGTACCTACAATCCTGAGACAATTTCTCAGCTATAGTGGAAAGGATATATAACCTGAGTAAACAGGTGTAGGAAGCCTTGGAGGTAAGTTGACACAGGAAATTACAGCCACCAAGCTGCATTGGCAGGCAAAACATTTGTGCAGTAAAGACAGTACAAAACTTTCTGTAGATGGAAGACTTATTCAAGGTTTTGGAACTTCCCACGGTATCTTTAGTTATTGGATACAGCTGGGAAAGGATTGCCATTAAACTCCCAGGGCTGGTTCTGTGCTGCTTTGAAAAGTGTGGGAGCAGGACTCAGATCTGTGGGGTATGCTCCAATGCTCTTTGTTGCGGTGTCGCACTGAGGACGCTGTTGTCTGAAGTTTCCGTCTTCTGGGCTGCTCCATGCCTGGTCCTTCAGTTGGAGATGCTAGGCTTTTTGGGGGGCTTTGGTCTGTGCTTGTTGGGGTTTCTGATTGTGGTCTTTTCAGGAGTTTCTGAAGCAAAAAGACAACTCAAACTCACTGCCATGTTGTTCCTTGGATCTCATGGTCCCCTGACAGTCTGCCTTCTTTCCTCTGTCTTTTAAAAGCTCCTTGTGTTTGTTTTATATATAATGTCTAGAGTTTTAAGTGGTGTGTATGTGTGTTAGTCGCTCGGTCATGTCTGACTCTTTGCAGTCTCATAAACTGTAGCCCACCAGGCTCCTCTGTCCATGGAATTCTCCAGGCAAGAATACTGGAGCAGGTTGCCATTCTCTTCTCCAGGGGATCTTCCCGACCCAGGGATCGGACCCAGGGGTCAAACCCAGGTCTCCCGCATTGTGGGCAGATTCTTTACCATCTGAGCCACTATTGCTTAGTGGGAAAATTACATCTAGTCCACATTTCCAGGATCTAACTTCATTTTTACACAAGGTTTCTACAAAGAGCGATTTGCCCTGATCTATTAATAAGTATCTGGGTAGCTTGTGTGTTTCGCTTTTAACGTTGCTGCCTTCAGAAGCAATCTTGCGGGGGTTTTATTCATGTTACAGAATGCAGGGCCTTGTGGTGTCATCCTTGGCTTTGTTCTCACCCTCTTTGGATTAATGCGTGTCATTTACACTTCAGCCTGTTTTAAGAGATGCTCTCTTGCGCTGTGATAACAGCGGAGCAACGCTGTGACTCCGAGGGCTCAAGACGCAGTGTCCAGCTGGCCCCCCGGGCGACCCTACCCAACATGCAGAGCCAGTGTTCCCAGTTTTTAACCAACTTACTTCGTCTTCGAAGACCTCATCATCTTCCAGCGTGCCAATGGGGTCTTTTAATACACGGTCCCAAAAGCTCTCTTTGTAATCAAACTCCGTGGCTTTCAATGGTGGAAGGCATGGCCAAATGAGAGGCATTTGGGAAAGGAGCCGAAACGACAAACAAAAACAAAAAGAGAGACAGATTTACGGCATTTACACTTGACCTTTTAACTACAAATGCACAGGTCATCAATAAGACTTTAAATTCATGAAATCACTTAAAATTTGACTCAGAGACATTCGTAAAATAGGAATGAAAGGGTATCTCAGTGGCAGATTTAGGAAAGTGTGTGTTTCTAGTGGTTAGGGAAGGTGCATCTGACAAAGTGACATTTGAGTGAGTCCTGCACGAAGCAAGGGAGTGAGCAGGCAGCTGGCTGGGGGCAGAGGAGGTGAAAGGCCCTGAGGTGGGAGGGAGTGGGAGCATGTTGAGGTATCTGACAAACCGCAGGAGAGGAGTGAGAGTGAGGTGAGCTGGGAAGGGCCAAGGCCAGCTCACGGAGGACCTAGTAGGCCCTGGGGAGGAATTTAGATTTTATTCCCAGAGAGATTTATTCTGAGTGTGATTTTCTCTTGGAAATCCTGAGAAATATTCCTATCTCCTGTCAGTTTTGTCAAAAATTGCCCATCTCCAGAATTGCAGATGGTTTGTAATTGCTAATTAAAGCATAAGAGATGAATCCCCAAGCCAGTGAGCTTAAAAAAAACAGAAAGACCAGTCTCTGGGAGATAGCAGATGCCTTTGTTCTCACGGTCAACCACAGCCTGGTGACTCTGGGCCAGGAGAGGGGCTGGAGACCTCCAGTGTGGACGGGGTGCGACTTGAATGGAGGAGCGGATAATTACAACTTGGGCCTGGATTCCCTGCTCCGGGAAAGGTGTGGATCCTGAGCGGAGCTGGGGGGACAGGGCTTGCACACGATGACTGGAACCCCGGGGAAATTATGGTGGCCTCTGTCTTGGCTCCAGGATGACACCAGCCCCTCCTTGCTGAGCCATCCAGGAAGCCCATCTACCAGCGGTGGTGCTGGGCTGACTGAGTCTGTCTGTGTGTCCCTGCTGGGTCTCTGGGGGTGGAGAGGGGCGTTCTTTGTGATCTCCATACACGGTATCTCTGCACTGCCTCTGGACTTTGGTTCAGTAATGGAAACGCTGACTCCTCTGGGCCCCTGCAGGGATGGTGAGCTCCACCCAGCTGGATCTGCCTGTCCTGACCCCAGGCCAGGGGCCTCTCTGCCTGCAGACCTCCCACCCCAGCCTCGGCTTGTTCCTGGTGGAAACCTGCCTCATTGCAGGGGCCCCTGTGCGGCCAGAGTGCCCCCTCGCCCCCACGCTGGTAGTTCTTTCCCGCCAGGTCCTCCTTCCAAGCACACACCCTCTCCACTGAGGGGCTCACAGCTGGCAAAGGCAGGGTGATTCCGGCTCCATTCCAGGACACTGTGTCCCCAGACTGTCCACCCGGGGTGTGGCCTGGAGGAGTTTCTTCTTGTTGAGAACACCAGACGAGAATCCACAGGGATTCAGGCAAGCCCTCAGGAGAAGTAGCGGAGGAGCTGGTAGAACACGAGTCTGGGGAGGCCGGGTGCAGAGCCCCCGAGGAAGGCTCTCTGAGGACGTGCCTGCCGGACGCGGAGGAGAGGAGCCTGCCTCTGACCCTGCTCGCTCAGCAGCTCCCTGTGATTTGTCAGTGCCATCTTTTAATAGGCTTTATTGAATAATAGACACTTAATTTGAGGGGGGAAGAAAAAGAAGTAGGTGTTTGTCAAGGGAAGAAGGGGACTTGGCAGGCCGGAATTGGGAGCAACCATGTTCAGAGGCATTTGTTTCTTGAAATCATTAACCTTATTAGCATCAACCAGCCCTGGCTACGTGTCAAGACAAGCCCAGTAAATCCTGCCTTAACTGGGGCAGGAGGAGTGGGAAGAGCTTTAGTCCTAATTAACCTTCCCTTTGGGGATTTCTGTCAACCTCTACCTTTGTTCTAGTGGGATTATCTTCCTTCCAAGCCTCTCCAGTAGGAGGACTGGGGAGGCGGGGGAGGTGTCAGGCCAGGTTCCTGCGTGGTGGCCCTGTTATCCGGGGCCTTCCCAGCGGGTCTCTCAGCCCTCCGCGCCCTGGGCCCCTCGTCCGTGTAGCGGGGGCCACAGAGCTCATCTTCAGGGCGGCTCGGGACCAGCGCCAACGCGATGGAAGCCTGGCACTCAGCACTCCCTGGAGGGGGACGTCTCTCCCGGACTGATTACCAACAAGTCTTAACTCCTCTCCACCCAGTCAGTGGCTCTCCTCCCACAGCTTTTTTTTTTTTGCTGACAGAAGGACGCCTCCTGACTTTGGGGTGGATGTTGGAGTCCTGTGTGTTTGCCGAGCAGAGCAGAGCCCCACACTCTAAGACGCGGAGGAGAGAAGCAGTAGGCCACTGCCCCCGGCCGGCTCAGAGAAGTGGCCACGGGGGTGAAACCCGGGCCGGTCCACTCCTCCACCCTTCAGGTGGGAGCTGCTGCCGGGGGCGCCTGAGAAATGCGGACCCTCAGGCCCCTGGACTGAGTCTGCGTTTCAACACAAGGCCTGGGTGAATGCGCTGCACGTGAAAGTCTGAGCAGCACTAGTCTACCCTGGCTCTCTCCTCTCTGGAAATGGAATAAGATCAAGAAGACTCTAGAGTGAGAAAGAGTTTGTTTGATGAGCCACCTGTGTAGGTAACCCTGCTCCTCCCAGCCCCCATCCCAGCAGTTCACCATCCCTCCGTTGTTTCTATTCAATAAAAGGTTGTGTGTGTGCTAAGTCACTTCCCGTCGTGTCCCCCTCTTTGTGATCGCATGGACTGTAGCCCACCAGGCTCCTCTGTCCATGGGATTCTCCAGGCCGGAATACCGGAGTGGGTTGCCTCACCTGCCTTCAAACCATAGCATAGGTCTGGTTAATTATAGGACTTTGGTGGAGCAATGTGTACAAGTTGGGATTCTGCCACCAAAACCCAACCTTTTCCTCTGTCCTTCTCCCTCAGAGGATTCAGCTATCCCCTCCTTTAATAAAAACTGACTCAGGCTCTAAGGGTACCATTTGAAGGGCTCTGATTCATTCCCTGCCAAGGTGCCATGGAACGAATCTGTCTGGAGGGACCCATGCATCCCAGCTAAGCCCTGCTGCCCAGACTTCAGAGAAGCCAGTAATTGACTGGCTGGCCCCTCTTGAAATGTGGGTGTTCCGATACAGACCTTGAATGGAGAGATGGACTTCTAGACTGTTCCCAGGTCATTCTTTCTCATTCCCAAGACTCTCTTTCTGTTTCTATCTCCCTTCTTCAGTTAAGGACAGGGAAGCACATCCGGGTTCATGGACTGTGTGCCCAGCACGTCCCTCGATTCTCTCTAGGATTCAGCACTGGCCAGACCGGAAAGGCACCCGCCCCCTCGGGGGGGCACCATTCCCAGACCCTCTGCAGGGAGCAGGAATCTTTGGTTAGGTTATGTGGGACTCACCCTTTCCTGCCATTTGTGGTTCTTCAGTGGGAACAAAGGCTAAAAACAAATAGGAAAAATGATTAATAGGAGGTGGAATGGTGAACTCTTCACCCTTAAATGTCTGGAGAAACCAGGGCAGAGACTGCATATTCTAGGATAAGAGGCTCCTGTGATTTTCAGCAGTTGGAGCGATAGCTTATGCTCAGCACACATTGATTCCCCTCCTTTGGTTCACGGTTCATCTTTTCCAATAGAGTTTAAGTTCTGAGAGGGCAGGATAGCTTTGTCCATATGAAGATGGACATACTACTGCCAAGTACACAGTAGGTATACAATAAATATAATTTCATACACAGTAGATACACAGTAGATGTCATGGAATAAATTGGGTAGGGGTAATCCATTATCTTCCTTTCTAACTCTGGTGGTAAATAGTATTTCCTCCCCTTTCAAAACTCAATTTTAACTCACAATTAAAAGCATTTTACCCTTTGGTCAAGTTTCTTCCGTGAGCCTTGACATCAAGTTCTAGAAATAAGGCTTTGGCCCACTGACCTTCATGAAGGCTGCCCTAGTCTAAAATGATCACTCGAGGACTCTCTTTGGCCTGGGGCATGTTAATTCTGTGCTTCTCACTATCTCATGGATGGACCTGAAGCGTCCATGAGTCATTTAAAATCATCGTAAAATTATAAAGTTAAAATGATACCTTGTGACTCAGACTTGAAGGTGGCTAGAGTCGTTGTTGATTCTTCCTCTCCTAGAGATCTTGATATTGAAACTACTGTTAAAAGACAGAAGATGATGGCCATTGGCAGTTTTAACCTTATACTTTTCAGTGGGTTTATATTGGACAGTTAGGGTCTGAGGTTCTTTCTTAGCACCCAAAGTTGATCCACAGAGGAGAAAGCTTGGATTGGAGGCCATTGCTGGTATATACTGGATGCCTCCTCTGCCCATATCCTCCTCTTAGCTTTGCTGACTTACTCTGGGGCTGCAGTAAACTGTGGCTGGGAAATGCAGGCCCTCTTCTTGTCTGGTCCCCAGGACAGAGAGGATGGCTGGGGAGAGCTGAGGGAGAGTCCTCCTTCTATAGGAACCACAGAGCCAAGTGGCTTCCAGGCCGTGTAGGCTTATAACCGGGTACACCTCTCGCTGTAGGAAGTGGGTGTCTCTGGTGTTCTGTGGTCAAGAGCTCCCAGAGAGGAGCAGAATGAGCGCCAGTGGGGAGGCCCGGGGGCCTGGCTAGTACAGATGAGTTACGCCACAAGAGGCAATTGTAGTTTTTGAGAACTTTCCTAAAGTTCTTGGTTGAAAAGTGAAACTGTTACTTGCTCAGTCATATCTGACTCTGCAACCCCATGAACTGTAGCCTGCTAGGCTCCTCTGTCCATGGGATTTCCCAGGCAAGAATACTGGAGTGGGTAGACATTTCCTTCTCCAGGGGATCTTCCTGACCTAGGGATTGAACCCAGGTCTTCTGCATTGCAGGTGGATTCATTACCATCTGAGCCAATGTTTTCTAGAATTTTGTGATCCCTGCTCCTTTGTGCTCCCCTGACCCTACCTGCCCTTCTTCCTACTCTGCACACACACACACACACACACACACACACACACACACTACATTCCATTCCCAATAGCAGAGAGGAGCAGGCCCATGATAGGAAAGCAGAGGCAAGCTGCACCCACCTCTGCTTCCCTGCTCACGGGAGCATTAGGATTTGAGCCATCTGTGGACATGGATCTTGTCTATGGATGCAAAGCCTCCCTGACGAGGGCAGGATCCATGCTGTCAGCCCATCAGCTAAGACTGAGCCCTCCATAGAGAGAGAGCTCTCTGATTACTGAAAAGGGAAAGTGAAGTCGCTTAGTCGTGCCTGACTCTTTGAGACCCCATGGACTGTAGCCTACCAGGCTCCTCCGTCCAGGGGATTCTCCAGGCAAGAATACTGGAGTGGGTTGCCATTCCCTTCTCCAGAGGATCTTCCCAATCCAGGGATCGACCCCGTCTCCCGCATTGTAGGCAGATGCTTTACCGTCTGAGCCACCAGGGAAATAGTTCTCTGACTACTACGAACATGCATTCTACCATGCATGGCTCTGGCTGTTGGGACCCATTTCCTTTTCTTAACCAATTTTCTCAAGCTGCCTTGTTCTAGCCCTTCTATGCAGATGGGGAGGCCAGGCCTCGTTTTCTCGTTTTGTGTGCCAGCTCATCAGGTATCTGAAGGCACTTACTAGGTCTCAGACTCACAGATCTTCTAGACTTAATGCCCTCGTTTGCTTCAGCAGTTCTCTGTGCGATGTTATCTCCAGGTGGGCCTCATACCAGCTTCTCCTCTGAGTCTCAGCTAGTCCACTTCTGGTCCCCATAGAGGGTGGAATCCTTCTAAGTGAACAGCGCCCTGGGGCTGCTCTTGTAGTACAGGCTGGAGCAGGACTCATCTCCCTCTACATAACCTTGTAGTTGTTTCTGGTTATATCAACCTTCTGGCCATCACATCAGGAATCCTGTTGACTTATGGAGCCTGTGGTTGAGTAAATCATCTAGAGCTTTCCCCCCCTGTCCTCCTCCATCCTGTATTTGTGGGCCTACAAGCAGGGTCTAATCTAAATGAGCATTCTATTTTATTTAGCCAGTCCTGATCCAGTGTTTTTGGCTGCCAAGATCTTTCAGAATCTGATCACATTATCATCATGGCTCAACCGCTTCCAGTCGTGTGCCGATATCAGTATTCCTCCTCCATCTGTGTCCGAATCTATGATAAAATATTGTGCTGGCCGGAGCCCCGTGGCTCCCAACTGGAAAACGGGTGGACTCGATCCTTGAACAGATTCTTCGGATGGTTATTCCACAGCGGTCATGCTGTCCTGATCATGATGCTCCCACCTGGTGTTTGCCCATCTGGTCTATAGGAACATCAGGAAGGCTCTGAAAATGCAGCGTGTTTTGGAACTCAGGCCTCCTGCTTTATCACAGGTCCTGATTTAATGACCTTGTCAAAAAGTGATGTAAGAGCCAGCATCACTTGATCTGTTCTTTTTTCTTCAAGTATTTGCTTATTTAGGGCTGCAGGGGGTCTTTGTTGTTGCACGGGCTTTGCTCTAGTCTCCGCTGGCGTGGGCCACATTCTGTGGCCTCGTGCCGGCTTCTCGTGGCGGTGGCTTCTCTTGTTGCAGAGCACGGGTTCTAGGCGGGCAGGCTGCAGTAGTTGTGGCTCACGGACTTCATTGCTCCTCAGCACGTGGGGTCTTCCCGGACCAGGGATAGAACCTGTGTCCCCTGCATTAGCCAGCAGATTATTAACCACTGGACCACCAAGGAAGTCCTTGATCGGTTCTGACTGATCCTGTGCTGGCTCCTCCTGGTCATTTTGCTCTCAATATTTGGCCCAGGTGGATCATATACTGTTCTCCATGTGTACGGATGTCTGCATACAGCTCCTTGCCTACCAAGACCGTCTCTTGAGGGAAGGGTGCACCCTCTCATCATCATATCTGATCTGGAGTCTGATGAGGACTCAACAGCAGTTTCACAAGAATGTAACAAATATTTATAGGCACTTATTGTGTGTGTGGGGTGCACCAAGTTTTGAGGATTTCTACCAGAGGGGATATAATATTCTGTGTTAGAATTTCTGGTATACTTTGTTTATGACCCTGCTCTGTGCTTGGCAGTATAGACATCTGGAGCCATTAATAGTTGTTCCAGTCCTCCTCCAGCCTGCTTCATCACCTAAGCCACGAGGCATTTCTGGTATCTTTAGCATTCCTTCCATGTCAGACCTGCCACTCTCTGTAGTAATAGGTTTCAAGGATTTATTTATCTGGGTGTTATACCTCCATGTTTGTTTCAAAGTGCTGTTTATAGAGTCCATGTGAAATGCTGTCTCTGGTGCCTGGGGTTGAATTTGTTGTTCAGTCACTAAGTCCTGTCTGACCCTATGACCCTGGGACTGTAGCATTGCCAGGCTCCTCTGTCCTCCACTATCTCCCAGAGGTTTCTCAGATTCATGTCCATTGAATCAGTGATGCCATCCAACTACCTCATCCTCTGCTACCCCCATCTCCTTCTTGAGTCTTTCCTAGCATCAAAGTCTTTTCCAATGAGTCAGTTCTTCTCATGAGGTGGCCAAAGGATTGGAGCTTCAGCTTTAGCATCAGTCCTTCCCATGAATATTCAGGGTTGGTTTCCTATAGGATTGACTGGTTTGATCTTCTTGCTCTCCAGGGGACTCTCAAGAATCTTCTCCAACACCACAATTTGAAAGCATCAATTCTTCAGTGGTCAGCCTTCTTTATGGTCTAAATCTCACATCCATACATGACTACTGGAAAAACCATAGCTTTGACTATACAAACCTATGTTGGAAAAATGATGTCTCTTTTTAATACACTGTCTAGGTTTGTCACAGCTTTCCTTCCAAGGGGCAAGTGTCTTTTAATTTAACCTGTAGCCATTGTCAGCAGTGATTTTGGAGCCATAGAAAATAAAGTCTGTCACTATTTCCATTGTCTCCCCATGTGAGAGTTGGACTGTGAAGAAAGCTGAGCGCCGAGGAATTGATGCTTTTGAACTGTGGTGTTGGAGAAGACTCTTGAGAGTCCCTTGGACTGCAAGGAGATCAAAACAGTCCATCCTAAAGGAGATCAGTCCTGGGTGTTCATTGGAAGGACTAATGCTGAAGCTGAAACTCCAATACTCTGGCTACCTCATGTGAAGAGTTGACTCATTGGAAAGGACCCTGATGCTGGGAGGGATTGGGGGCAGGAGGAGAAGGGGATGACAGAGGATGAGATGGCTGGATGGCATCACCGACTTGATGGACATGAGTTTGAGTAAACTCCGGGAGTTGGTGATGGACAGGAAGGCCTGGCGTGCTGCGATTCATGGGGTCGCAAAGAGTTGGACATGACTGAGCGACTGAACTGATGGGACTGGATGCCATGACCTTAGTTTTTTGAATGGTGAGTTTCAACTCCATGTACAGTATGGGGTAGAGTAGTCCCATAATAAAAAAAAGGCTTTAAAAGTAGGAATCTAGCATCCATGAAATCCATTCTACCCTAGAGGTTCGCTGGTTCTCCAGCACTCTTGTGCTGAGAATCCTCTGGGGATCTTGTTAAGGATGCAGGCAGGGATTGTGTTAAGAAAGCCTGGGAAGCTGCATCTTTACAGGCAGTGGGTGCTAGGGATGCCCAGTCCTGGACTCTGAGCACCATCACCGCCAACACCTGCACTCACCTCCGCTCACCCCTGGGGACCGTCTGCCCCCTCACAAAATCAGCACTTTGAGTTGCTTTAGCCTCAGTTGTGTTTCTCCAACTAGTGGATGGGTGGCTTTTGCCCTGGGCTAATCAGCTTCTTTTTTGCATCTGCCATGCTCAGGAACCCTTAGTGTTCTGTCCTCCCGCTGCAGGGGGACTAGCTTTTCTTCATGGCGGGGATCTTCCCTGTGTCACTTTCCTCCACCTTCTCCTAACTAGATTTGACCTCCTGTTTGGAGCTCCATACTTCTGGGGTTCCCCTTGCACCCCACTCCCCATCACTTCCTTTTCACTCTTCACTCTTTCAGAGAAGTCTCTTAATGAGTCTCTTTGCCCCTTTCCACTGGCCAGACACAATCATATAGCTATTGCCAGTAAAATCTATCCAGTTATTAACACTCTCCAAAAGATTGATTGTAAACCACGGGCAGAAGGGAAAAGAAAAAGCTTCATAAATTTTAGGAAATTGCTTACTTTTCCTTGTGTTCCAATCTCGGCTATAGCTACCACCCCTCATGTCTCTGCAGGAGCCTGGGGGTGTGACCGTGACCCTGGCTTAGAGGCTCAACACTGTCCACACCTTCAGTCCAGGCCACCAGCATCACAGGATCTGATCAGTAGGTATTGCTGTGGGTGGCCAGACTTGTGCTAAACACTAAACACATGCTAGGGACTTCCCTGGTAGTCCAGTGGTTAAGACGCCACACTTCACTGCAGGGGACACCCCAGTTCCATCCCTGGTTGAGGAAACTAAGATCCCACACGTCATGCGGTATCATCAAAAAGGAACTCAGTGGTGGAAAGAGACATGGCTAGAAAACATGCCCCTACAGTCCAAATGCACGGAGCACTTAAAACCGAAATTAGATCCAGACGTGACTGGCTCTGTAATTAAGCCTGGAGACCAAAAGGATCATGAATGAATATGGCAAATGAAACATTGATTTCCAGGGGGCCTCTCTCTGAAGGAAGGTGCCCAGTGGAGTGAACAGACTCTGGTGCCCCCCCTCCCCCACCTCAGCCTCCCACTCTCTCCTTTTCCTACCCTACCTCCTTTCAAGCTTCGCATTGGCACTTTACAGGCGATTACCCAGTAAATGACTTCCAGGATCCTGCTTATGAATATTTAGATAAGTGCTCAGATTTTTTTTCCCCCAGCCGTCACGCTTACTGACTCTGAAATGGTTCCAGTTTTCGGGGCTCCACTGGAGCACAAACCCTGACACAAACCCCACATGCACCGACTTAGCCTGTAAAATACTCCCCATCATGTGCTGGCAGCCAGCACCCGGGAACTCCTGGCTTATGTGGGCTCGCCTCTGCTGCTCCCTTCTCCCTCATAGGGTTTCTGGCTCCTAATTTCATTTAAGCCACATTTGAGCTACAAAATCGAGCAGGCATGGATGGGGGCAGGGAAGGGAGGTGCCGGTCGGGAATCTAATTCACCGCTGCCATGACTACAGATGTGAAACTAATGTGTGACTCTGTGATGGATCAATCTCACTAAGGCTGGGTTTAAATTATTAATCATGGCGAGAGAAGATGCCGTTCAGGGGTGCATTCCCAGGATCCTAGGGCAAAGGGCCTTTGGGCTTAACTGGGCTGAGAATTAAGATCCTCAGTGCAATCTTGCCAAACTGTCTCTTGAGTGTCTCCTAATTGTGGCCACACAAATTCCTGCTATGGATGGTCTTGGCTCGTTCTGAACCAGGGCTGGCTTTGACTGCACACTCAGACAGAGATTCTGGGGTGGGTCCCAGTCCTGTCACCACGTGATTATTTAGAGATGGGCTCTGTCCCCAGGGAACCGGCCTGTAATCTGGGAAGGAAATGGCCTGTGTCCCCTGGGAAATAGGGCCTGTGTTCATGTGGAACAACAGCAGGAAAACTAATGAGGGGCAGGAGGAGATGGGAAAAGGTATTTGTCTTAGCACTCTGCTGATGCTCTTTCTCTGAGGGGGGTCCAGGATGAAGGGAAGGGAGGGTCACAGGGACAGGATGACCCAGGAAGCAGTATGCATCATCAATCTGACGGGTGATGCTCCAGCCTCGATGTTCCACCTCCATGGGACACCCGCAAGGCCACGTCTCCCCAGCACCCCCGGAGCCTGGCCTTGAGGTGGGTGTGGGGGGCGGGGTCCCTTACCTGTCTTGCTTTCATAAATCCAGTCTGTCTGTGTACTCTGGTCCTGGGAGGTTGGAAACTCTCCCTTGTGCTTGACAAACGATGTAGATGGCATCGTGTCCTCGAGAAGAGGCCTGCTGCTGGCAGATTCAGGGGATGGGAGGAAGGACAGTGAAGAAGGTGGTTACCCGAGGGATGCCAGCCACAGAGGGTCCACCTCCAGGCAGGCGCCGGGTTAGAAACCCCACAGCTGCTGCCTGCAGGGAGGCTGGGGTGGTGGTGGCTGCTCCCTGGCCCCTGCAGACTTCCACCCATCCCAGGACCATCACAAGGGAGTGGAAGATAGGCCTGTGGGCCATTCTGGGTGCCAGCTGCTGCTTCATTTAGAGCGAAAGGATCTGTGGACGCCTTCAAAGGCCAGCGGGCCAGGCTTCCGTAATGGACAGTCCAGCCTTCCAGAACATTCTCTGCCTCTGCCAGCTCACCACCCTGCTCATTCCAGTCGCCCTTCCCGCCTCACGCTGCCTCAGGCAGAGCAGAGCAGCGCGTCAAGTCAAGCACTGGGGTCTGTGCCTGCCAGCCCACCCGCTGCACACACCGTCATTTTCAGGGAAGGTTTTGCAGGGCCCGAGGACAGGCCCTCGGGTGTGAGGCGCAGACCCTGCTACCTGGGAGCTCGGAATCAAAAAGGTGCCCCAGCACCCTGCCCCGCACCATGTCCTTCCTCAGGAATCTCTGCTAAGTAGGCAAGAAACCACTTCAGAGGGATGAGAGGGACTTTTGACCCTGAAGTCACGTCATGTTGACTGGCCCCGTTGGCAGAGACAGGTGTGAGGGAGATGCCCAGCTGACAAGGGGGGCAGTGACTATGGACGGCAGAAAGAACGTACTTTGGAGTCGGCTGGTCCAAGTTGGAGTCTTGGCTCTTTTGAGTAGAGTGCAATAACCTTGGGTCATGCCCTTAACTTCTCCGTGCCTTGGTTTCCACACCATTTTTTTTTAAATTGGAGGATAATTTTTTTACTATGTTGCGTTGGTTTCTGCCGTCCAACATCGTGACTCAGCCATAAGTATACATATATTACCTCCCTCTTGAACTCCCCCCACCCCACCCAACCCTTCCCGCTAGACTCAGTGCCAGGCTGGGCTCCTTGTGTTACAGAGCAGCTTCCCACTAGTTACCTGCTTTATGCATGGTAATCAAATGGTGAAAACCGTAATTCAAACAGACACCCGTACCCCAGTGTTTCACACCTTTTAGATAATCATACCTCCCCCCTGCACCAGATCTTCATAGGTGAGGACAAAATGAGAGTGGGCAGTGTTGGCTCTTAGAGGCAGTGTTGTTTTTAGAGGCAAAGTAAGAAGTTCAACGGCCCTTCATGAGACGGGCTGGTTTCCTGTGGGCTCAGGGTTCCCTGATGCAGGGAAGTCACCATGGGAACACCATTCTCCCTTCAGCATCTGCGGGCGTTACGGGTGGATTTGTGCCACCTCTCGGGGCCCGGGGGCGGGTCTGTGCTGGCCCACGGGCCCCAGCAGAGTGGCTGCGTTCTCAGGGTGCGCTACTGGGGCACCCCGGGGGCAAGCGGCAAGATGCTCAGGTTTTAGTCAAGTGACCACAGGGGTCAAGAACTAGTGGAGCAGGGCGAGCTTTTCCGGCAGGTGTCACGTCTTGCACTGCTCCGGGCCTCGAGGCCGCATCAGGGGCTTCTCTGAGCTCAATGTCTTATCCTGCTGGTGGGATGTTGCCGGGATTCAAGGAGAGAGTACAAGTTCCCGTGGTCAGACCTTGAGAAGCCAAAGCGGTCGGCCGACAAGCAGCAGGATTGTGCCTGAGGTCACAGAGGGCTGCCCTAGTCGTGATCATCCTCACGTGCACTTGCCCTCCCTGCCACGTCTGCCCAGGGCCGGGACGATGCAGGGTCCTCTGGGGCGCCTGCCAGGGCTCTGCTGTGACCTTAGCACCTGGGAGAAAGACTGCGTTTCCAAACACCAGCGCCCTTCTTTATCAGCAAAGCAGGGACGCAGGGAGGAGCCCCTGGTCCCAGATTCCACGTCTGCTTCTGCAGCTGCGTCACAGCGGGGACGGGGCCTGGTGTGTGCCCGGGCACCTCACGTCAGGCCTGCAGAGTGCGTGGGCTGGGGGCGGGTGGTTTTCTGCTTAGGAGGAACCCAGGAAACACTTGAGCTCAGTCTGTGCCCCCTCCCCGCTGACCTTAGCAAACACATATCTGTGGGACACTTCTTGCCCAAAGGGGTTTCTGGAGATTTCGATCTCAGCAGCGTTGGGTGAGGAAAATCCAGGGCCTCTCTGAGCACGCCAGGCTGAGCCTTGGCCCTGGGGAGCCAAACTGAACTGTCTGGGGGCAGGCCGTGGGGAGGCCTGGGGCTCCCCGCCGGCCGGGAACAGAAGCACAGGCCACAGCAATGCGACTGAAAGATTGGACAGGTGCTTGTGTTGGGAACATAGCTGACCAGGAATCCTGCTCCTCGCTGTACACGTGTTAAGTTTTCTGCGTGGTGACTCTTGGGGAGCAGAATGAAGGCTAACAGTGACCCCCAGCCCTTACTGCACCCCATGAGTTAGTACTTGTTTAATCCTCACCACAGCCCCGCCCCAGGTTGCACAAGAGCAAAGAATCTGCCTGCCAATGCAGGTAGACCCAAGAGACTCAGGTTTGATCTCTGGGTCGGGAAGATCCCCTGGAGAGGAAATGGAAACCCACCCCAGTATTCTTGCCTGGGAAATCCCCTGGACAGAGGATCCCTGGCATGCTGCAGTCTGTGAGGTCACAAAGATTTGGACACAACTGAGCCCCGGCGAAGCAGAAACTCTTCCTGTCCCCATTTTACAGATGGGAACACCAAGGCAGAAGATGAAGAGGCTGCCGTGCAGTGCACAGCTGGCTGGGTGGAGCAGCTGAGATTCACGCCCAGGCAGCCGGACTCTGGGGTCCCTGTTCTCTATCACAGCCTGACTGGTCACTTCACCGTCAGGCCCCTTCAGCATCACATTGCTTGCTTCTCTGTAAGTGTCAATGGCTGAAGTGGAGGGGATTCCGGAAAGCACTCCCTCTGTGGACTGGCGTAGTGGGGCGGTCCTGGCAGATGCTGAGCCTCTGAAACTGTGAAGCATGATCCAGAGGGGCTGGTGGAGGGTGGGAGTGGGGTGCTGACCTCACCAGGTGGAGGGGTGCCCCTGTACAGAGCCCCGGGTCCTCAAGTTACAGCCTATGTCTTCCCTGCACAGTAGAGCAGGTTTCATTCCTGCTTCTCAGCGTAACCCAGCCAGCCTTGCGCTTTCTTTGTATCTAGTGTCAACCCACTTCCCCACTGGAGGTCAGCGACCACCTTCCCTCAGTTATCCTTTGGGGCGGTTGTAGGGGATGAGGCCTGAACCAGAGCTCGTGTGTCCCCTGCCCCACGGGGGTGTCTACAGAGCGGCACAGACAGGCTTCTGTCCACGGCTCTCGCAGAAACCATCCAGCCTGGGTGAAGCCCTGCGGCAGGAGCTCCATGAATGCTCACCGCACGATCATTTGGGGCTTGGAATACGCCTGAGCGAGGAAGCTGGCAACTTCCTTGCGGCGTTCACTCACCTCTTCACTACGAGCCATGCCCAGGGCCCTTGGCCATCTTTTCCCACGCTAACCTCCTTTCTAGACTCAGCTGGCCGCTGCTCTTTCCATAGTTCTGGGTGCCCAGGGCTCTGGATCCTGGGGCTCGCCTCTTAGCTGTGAATGGCTTGAATGGCAAAGGGGAATAGTATTGGGAGAGCCTTTGTGTGTGACTTCTAGGAGACCGTCCCTGAATCCCTGCTTCTCGGAGGTCCTGCTCCCTGCGCCCCTACCCGCTCTCACCCCTGCTCCCAGTCTTTGGGATTTCAAGGGCTACGAAGCATCAGCCCTCAGCATGAATTTTCACCCTGATCTATTGGGGAAAAAAAAAACCACCAAAAAACTTTTACCTTGCTTTAAGACCAGGCAGGGTTTGTGAAGAATGAGCCTTTAAGTCTGTTGGAAAAAAGAACAGAAAGACGATGTTAGGGGGAAAAAAAGAAACTTTCTTTCTGCTGAAAAACCTGTCATTAATTATGTGATGCTGGGTTTGAGGTGGAGAAGCCCTGATTTACAGAATTTTTCTATGTTTGCTTTTTTTTTGGTGTTCTCTCTCTTGTTTCCTTTAGAAATTATGAGGTTAAAATTTTTATAAAATTATAACTCAAGAAGGTAATTTTCATGAAATTGTGGATTTGGGACATTCCAATTTGCTTTGTTAGTCTTTTGGGTTATCACAGAGTCCCCCCTCTGTCACAGGAGGAAGGATATCTTTTCTATACAGGAGAGAGGCTGAGGCTCAGAGGACATAAATATTTTAAAAATGATATTTAATTTTACAAACTCTATTTGTGTCATTTAATCACCTGACTATTGGGTTTGAATGATATGACATCAAGAATTTCAGGTACAATTGGGATAAAATAGAGCATCAGTTCTAGTAATAGAGGATGGCAGAGCGGAAGTGTAAAGAAATGAGAATCAGAAAATTTGAAAGTGAAACTTAAATGTTCAACACTTGTCCATAGTTTACCCATGAGATAGACTATTATTGAGGAATATTACTTGGCTATTAAAATGACGTCTACAGGGCTTCCCTGGTGGTCCAGGGGTTAAGAGCCCCCCTTCTAGTGCAGGGGATGTGGGTTCGACCCCTGGCCGGGGAGCTAAGATCCCACACCACCTGCCATAACTGGAGAAGACTGCCACAATGGGCGATCCCGCGTGATGCAGCCGCGACCTGACACTGCCAAAATAAATAACAATAATAAATGTTAAAAAATAAAGTGATGGCTACAAACATTAAGCAATATGGGCAAATGTGAAGGTCACAATACCAAGTAACAAAAATAAAATACAGGCTTGTTTATACAGCGAATTTGAAATGGTAAGAACAAGACAAAACACGGACCACCAACACCACCAAACATGCCAAAAATGAGCGCAGGAGAGACCGAATAAAAATTGCTAAAATGTGAATCAGCCTTATTTATATTCGGATGTTGGTGGGTTGGGTGATGTCTTTCTACTTTTCAAATTTTCCACTAGAAAATGAACAAAAGTAGATTTTGCTTCATTTTATGTTACTCCTCTCAAATTAAAATATGCATATAATTTATTAAAAAGCAGAAACAAAGGATGAAAGGAGGGAAGAAAGAAAAAAGAGAAGTGATTAGAAGAGAAAGAGAAGGCTTGGAAGCGTCTCTTGACCCTTTTAGTTATTTTCCGTGACCTTGGAGAAGTCACATACCCTCTCTCAGACTCCAGGTTCCTCATTTGTACTGGGAGGAGGGTGGTAAAGAGTGACTGAAGACTTGATGGAAACCAAGACTGAAATGTACACTATACACTCTATGTCACTGGACTGTATTCCTACTTCAGGACAAGACAGGCATAGAAAATGGTGCCGTTTGTACGGGAGCAGCGTGGAGGCTGGGGGTGCTAGGCACCCAGCATCTCTCCCCAGTAGTGGCCAACTCAAGGCACCCTGATTGGGAAGCTCTGGCATATTTGTGAACTTTGCTGCTTGACAAGTGTCTGCCTCCCCTGTCTCTGACTTATCAGGATATCTCAAGCCTTTCTTTTTAAATACACAGAATTGCTAGGTTCCCCATTTAGAAATGGTCCCTGGGATGCCAACTCTCACTTGGAGACAGCAACCAAATTATAGCACTTAAGTCAAACAGCATTCAGAGCCGCCAAAGAGGAGCTAGCAAGGGGCAAGAAAATCAAATCCCATGGATTGTGTGTCTCAAAAGGTCATTAAGTAGAAACATTATGAATCAGTATACTGTGACATCTCTATAGCATCATTTGCCACAGCACAGAGTTCATCTTTAGGAAGGTCTTCCCAGGTGGCGCTAGTGGTAAAGAACCCGCCCATCAGTGCAGGAGATGTGAGAGACTCGGGGTCCATCCCAGGGTTGGGAAGATCCCCTGGAAGAGGGCATGGCAACCCACTCCAGTGTTCTTGCCTGGAGAATCCCATGGACAGAGGAGCATATCATAGGAAGGTCTTAGGTTCTAAATAAACAAAAGGGACCACATTGTGAGGTGGTTTCCTGTTCTGTGAGAGCATGTCAGAAATGTAGATTGTATTTCTTCCTTCTAGAACCTTCCTGTACCTTGTGAGATCAGACATGCCTTTTTACACCTGACAAGTGTGTGGTGTGGGAGTGCTTTCAAAGCTTTTCAGAATGGAAATGAAAGAACATTGCCACAGTCACAGTGTATTTCTTCACATGGTAAAAGGGAAACCTGGAACGGGTAATCAACATGCCCCAGGTCCAAGGCCCACCCTTGTGCTGGATCTTCTAACTCTGACACCCCTGGGTTCACACCCACGCTTCACAAAAGTGATTTGGAACCTCCCGGTTAAAATCCTGGGAGATCCGTCACACGTGACTATTGATTATTCAGTGACAGTTGGTGCTGCATTGATATTCAATTTGCTCATCCAATTTTATTGGATTTTCTCACAAACCATGGAGAAAATAATCCCTTTAAAGAAGAGAGGGGATGGGGGTCATTGGTCTGATGCTACACTGATTGGTCCAGGGCAATGGGAGTCTGTGAAATTGATCTGCCTGCAGAGTAGTTGGGTGGGGGCATAGAGTCCTTCCACACCCTAGTTCATTGCGTCTTCTCTTGTCTTTCTGTTATGTCCATTTTACAAAAGAGAGCAATGTGGCCAGGGGATGTTACCTACCCTTCACAAGTCAGTGGTAAAGGGAATGATAATATATAATAATAATAGCTAGCACTTACATAGGTTATATGCTATATGCTATATGCCTGGCATAGCTCATAATGCTTTACATAATTTAACCCCTTTAATCTTCACATAAGGTAGAGCTAGTGTTATCCTGAAGGGCCTTCCTGGTAGCTCAGCTGGTAAAGAATCCTCCTGCAATGCAGGAGACCCTGGTTGAATCCCTGGGTCACAAAGATCTGCTGGAGAAGGGATAGGCTAGCCACTGCAGTGTTCTTGGGCTTTCCTGGTAGCTCAGATGGTAAAGAATCTGCCTACAATGAGGGAGACTTGGGTTTGATCCCTGGGTTGGGAATATCCCCTGGAGAAGGGATAGGTTACCTACTCCAGTATTCTTGCCTGAATTCCATGGACAGAGGAGCCTGGCAGGCTACAGTCTGTGGGTTCACAAAGAGTCAGACACGACTGAGCGACTTTCAGTGTTATCCCTAATTTACAGCTAAGAAAACTAAGAGCAGTTAAGTGACTTGTCCAAACTCATGCAAGATAAATGGGAGAGAACTGGTGTTCACACCTACGCAGTCAAGCTCTTGAGAGAGGAAGAAAAAAGTGCTCTTTGTGACAGGTTCACATCTGCCACCAAATTAATCAATGACATCAGGTTCCTTCCCTTCTCTCCTGATGCTGTGGCAGACATCACTAGTGGATCATGGCATTCTCTCCTTCTGAGGCCAGATGAGGTATCAGAATCTGTCTCATGACAGTGCTTCACCACTAACGTCTAATAATTCATCCATTAGCCAGTGATATGGAAGCCTATTTGTCATTGTGGGTTCATTTTATAGACATTGATTAATTCACAATGCTGTTTTTAAAAATAAATATGAGTGATTGGGATTGACATATACAAACTACTATATATAAAATAGTTAATAAGGATCTACTGGATAGCACATGGAACTTAATACTCTGTTATGGCCAATATGGAAAAGAATCTAAAAAAGAGTGGACATACATGTATGTATAACTGATCTACCTTGCAGTATACCTGAAACTAACACATTGTAAATCAACTATACTCCACCATAAAAATTAAAAATCAAAATGAAAACAACAAAAAAAGAAAAAATGTGTTTGTGTATGTGTGTGTCTATATATATACCTGGCTTTGTGAAATGAATGAAATTGAACTTGATCCAATTTCCATTTACTAAACATCTGTTATGAGTCAGGAAAGCACTCTTGTTTGACACTGAGTTTCAAAACAAAGGATAAACAGTTACATCTTTAAGATATTGGGAAGAAATTCTACATAAAGAAATCTTGATGTAAATCCTTTCGAAAATTAAAGATTCTCTTGTAAACCCTTTTAACTTAATCTGTTTTGTACAGTCTGGCTTGGTACCCTGAGTTTTCATAGACTAAGACATGCTTGCATGTGCCTTTAAAGGCATTTTAGTACTCTACAGTTTTTTTTTTTTTTCAGTGCCTCGCCAATATTTGCTAGCAGGGCATTTATTTTCAAAGCTTTTACTTTATATACAGTTCCATTCACTTGACAGCATTCTATTTGTCCTATTCTGGTGGGTAATGTATTTACGAAGGTCCGACACATAGCGGGGACACGTGAAGAACGCTTGATTCATACTGTGCAAAAGAAATCGCTCGAATGCTGTTTTTCAGCATTAGAATTACTCTTGGTACTTGCAGAACAGGGCTGTTAGGATTCTGAGAGGGAGCTCAGTGGTGCAGACACACGGAAAAGAGAATTTCCCAGCAAGAGGAATGACCTCTCCAGTGTGCTAACTAAACTGGTGAAGGCAGTATGAATGTATTGACAGGATGATACATCTGTCATGATTTGATGGAGAGGACGTAACGGTGAAACACCTGTGTGGCTGCCGAAACCACCCAGCTTTTAGGATGTGGGCTGTGTGCAGTCAGATTGGGATTTAAAAATTCAAGCTGCCTGAGATGCTTGCTTGTTCCAGAAAATAGTTCTATTTCTAGGTCAGCATTAAGGTGATGCAGATGACCTGGATTTTTAACTTTCTGTTTCTGGTTGGATATGGCCATGCAGTCATAACATCAAGGGAAGACACTGTGTGGCCTGTGAATAAATGCATGTTACCCACTTGGAGCAATAGCACAAGGAGACCACTGCCAAATGATAAAACCCAACTTAAGGAAAAATTGCCAACTGCAGAAACAGTATGGGGAAAATATGAGCCTTAGGATAAGAGAAACCACTCCAAAGTTAAGTACCCACCAGCAGGGTAAGATGACGCCTTCCAGGGCCTGAATGGGCACCCGGGGAAGCATCCGAGTCTCTGTTGACTTGGTAACACATTATGGAAATGTGTTCTAGAAAATAATTAGAGCTCATTAATAAAATTTAGCTATAAGGATATTTATCAACATGCTGTTTTGAAAGGTAACAGAAAACAGAAGCAATAAATGATTAATAATAGGAAGCCAATTAAAAATATTATGGTTTGGGGAAGTCCCTAGCAGTCCAGTGGTCAGGATTCAGGGCTTTCACTGCCAAGGGTGTGGGTTCAGCCCCTGGTCAGGGAGCTAAGATCCTGCAAGTTGTACAGTGGGGCCAAAAAAAATTAATACAAGGTGATGTAGCCAATAAAATGATTTGTAGAAAATCGAAAGTGTGAAATGATACTCCTATAAATATGTAATATTGATATGTAATTATGATATAGAAGGGGCTTCTCTGGTAGCTCAGCTGGTAAAGAATCCGCTTGCAGTGCAGGAGACCCCAGTTTGATTCCTGAGTCAGGAAGATCCCCTGGAGAAGGGATAGGCTTCCACTCCAGTATTCTTGGGCTTCCCTCGTGGCTCAGATGGTAAAGAATCTGCCTGCAATGCAGGAGACCTGGGTTCAATCCTGCAGCTGGGAAGATCCCCTGGAGGAGGGGATGGTAGCCCACTCCAGTATTTTTGCCTGGAGAATCCCCATGGACAGAGGAGCCTGGTGGGCTACATCCATGGGGTCACAAGAGTTGGACACAACTGAGCGATTAAGCACAGCACATGATATAGAAATAAATATGCCTTAAAGGGCAGGTTACAAGCACTATACAGTGTCTGGGGAGGACATAATCAAGGTGCAAAAGTGATTATCATCTCTGGATGGGAGTGAATTTTTCAGAAATTAAAAAAAATTTTTTTTTGGGCCACACAGCATGTGGCCTCTTAGTTCTCCAACTAGGGATTGAACCCATGGCCCCTTCAGTGGAGGTGTGGAATCTTAAGCAGTGGACCACTGGGGAAGACCCTGAATAAGACTGATTTTTGCTTTTGCTTTTTTCTTTTTACTTGTATACGGTTTCTCAAATGTTCACCATGCACATGTATTACATGTGCAACAAGAAAAGGAAAAGATACAAATTCGGGGGTGTGTTCTGTTTATCCAGTTTTGCTTTTTATGAACAGAGGCTTCCTGTTGGATCATCAGGTCTCCCTGTCTACTTGGTAGGCTCAGGGCTTGGGGGCACAGCTACTGAAGTCATGAGTAGGTTGAGCAAAAATGATTCATGAGGCTGTCAGTGTGGTGAGTAGGACTGATCATTTGCACTTTGGCTGTAACTCAAGCCTGTTCTTTTTTTTCCCGGGCCTTGTAATGAGCTAGAACCGCCATCTACGGGACGTCCTCCCCAGACACTCACCTGCTTCCAGAAACTTCTCATACAGATATATTTTCCCTTCCAGGAGCTCTTTCTTCTGCAGATTCTCATGGCCCTTCAGATAATCCTGTTCAAACTGATACTCGTTTCCTTTCAGGTAATTTGCCTCCCTCTCCAGGTACTGGTCTTTCTCTGGAGTCTCATCCTCTTCAGGAAGTGAAAGTCCTTCCGTTAAACTCTGCTCATCTCCCTTAGTACCTTCTTCCATCGAGGAGAAGGTCTGCGTGTCGTGGTGGAAAGTTGTGGAAGGGTGGGGAGGTGGTGTTCCTGATGGCTCAAGATTTTCAGCAGACATGCTGGGAGGCATTTAGCAGGTGAAAGCCTTCTGCAGCAGGCAGTCACTACTTCATCATCCTGGCAACAAGGAAGGAATAAAAACCCGTTAGTCAGTAATGACCTACTGCAGACTGTGCACTCATTTCACTCAGTGGTCTTGCGGTGGCCCTGGGAGAGTGTAGATCAGTACCTGGTGGCCCATGAAAAGTCACAGAGAGGAGACAGAGGGTTTACCCTCTGGGAGATGCCTGGAGAGAGACCACAGCTGAAGGCATCGCCTTTGAAATGACCTGAAGTCAACCAAGAGGGCCGGAAAGTGAGGGAGTGACTGGTGTTTAGTGGCGCCATCATTGGAAGACTTTTGCTTATTCATTAAGAAATACTCATTGCTACAATAATCAGAACACAGACTTGTCTCCCAGGAGTTTCAAACTGGGGAGAAAGACAGACAGTCAAACAGAGGTTTCCATACACAGTGAAAGGCACGATGGAAGAGGTGCAGGCAGGGTGGTTTAGACACCATGGGCGGGGCCTGGGCCTGTGAAGGTCCCTGTGGTTGGACGTCTCCCAGGCACGTCTTCCAACTTCTGCTGGAAGCACCACCCCCTTGGCCAAGTCAGTTTACTCAGCAAATGCTTATTTTTACTCCCCAGATTTGACATAACTGTGAGCACCTACATGCCCCAGGGGGTCTTCCATGTTCCACCCTAGGCTCCATCGATACCTTCTATATTTCCATGAAAGTAATGATTTTGCTATATTAAACAGTTTCTACATCTGTCTTTCCAACAGAATGTAAACTTCTTGAGGGTAGGAAGGATTAATTCTCCTTTTTTTTTTCATTTATTTTTATTAGTTGGAGGCTAATTACTTTACAACATTAGAGTGGTTTTTGTCATACATTGAAATGAATTAGCCATGGATTTACATGTATTCCCCATCCCGGTCCCCCCTCCCACCTCCCTCTCCACCCGATCCCTCTGGGTCTTCCCAGTGCACCAGGCCTGAGCACTTGTCTCATGCATCCAACCTGAGCTGGTGATCTGTTTCACCCTAGATAATATACATGTTTCGATGCTGTTCTCTTGAAACATCCCACCCTCGCCTTCTCCCACAGAGTCCACAAGTCTGTTCTATACATCTGAGTCTCTTTTTCTGTTTTGCATATAGGCTTATCGTTACCATCTTTCTAAATTCCATATATATGCGTTAGTATACTGTAATGGTCTTTATCTTTCTGGCTTACTTCGCTCTGTATAATGGGCTCCAGTTTCATCCATCTCATTAGAACTGATTCAAATGAATTCTTTTTAATGGCTGAGTAATATTCCATGGTGTATATGTACCACAGCTTCCTCATCCATTCGTCTGCTGATGGGCATCTAGGTTGCTTCCATGTCCTGGCTATTATAAACAGTGCTGCGATGAACATTGGGGTGCACGTGTCTCTTTCAGATCTGGTTTCCTCGGTGTGTATGCCCAGAAGTGGGATTGCTGGGTCATATGGCAGTTCTATTTCCAGCTTTTTAAGAAATCTCCACACTGCTTTCCATAGTGGCTGTACTAATTTGCATTCCCACCAACAGTGTAAGAGGGTTCCCTTTTCTCCACACCCTCTCCAGCATTTATTGCTTGTAGACTTTTGGATAGCAGCCATTCTGACTGGCATGTAATGGTACCTCATTGTGGTTTTGATTTGCATTTCTCTGATAATGAGTGATGTTGAGCATCTTTTCATGTGTTTTTTTGCCATCTGTATGTCTTCCTTGGAGAAATGTCTGTTTAGTTCTTTGGCCCATTTTTTGATTGGGTCATTTATTTTTCTGGAGTTGAGCTGGAGGAGTTGCTTGTATATTTTTGAGATTAATCCTTTGTCTGTTGCTTCGTTTGCTATTATTTTCTCCCAATCTGAGGGCTGTCTTTTCACCTTGCTTATAGTTTCCTTTGTTGTGCAAAAGCTTTTAAGTTTCATTAGGTCCCATTTGTTTATTTTTGCTTTTGTTTCTAAAATTCTGGGATGTGGGTCATAGAGGATCCTGCTGTGATTTATGTCGGAGAGTGTTTTGCCTATGTTCTCCTTTAGGAGTTTTATAGTTTCTGGTCTTACATTTAGATCTTTAATCCATCTTGAGTTTATTTTTGTGTATGGTGTTAGAAAGTGTTCTAGTTTCATTCTTTTACAGGTGGTTGACCAGTTTTCCCAGCACCACTTGTTAAAGAGGTTGTCTTTTTTCCATTGTATATCCTTGCCTCCTTTGTCAAAGATAAGGTGACCATAGGTTTGTGGATTTATCTCTGGGCTTTCTATTCTGTTCCATTGATCGATATTTCTGTCTTTGTGCCAGTACCATACTGTCTTGATGACTGTGGCTTTGTAGTATAGTCTGAAGTCAGGCAGATTGATTCCTCCAGTTCCATTCTTCTTTCTCAAGCTTACTTTGGCTATTTGAGGTTTTTTGTATTTCCATACAAATTGTGAAATTATTTGTTCTAGTTCTGTGAAAAATACCATTGGTAGTTTGATAGGGATTGCATTGAATCTATAGATTGCTTTGGGTAGTATAGCCATTTTGACAATATTGATTCTTCCAATCCATGAACGCGGTATATTTCTCCATCTGTTTGTGTCCTCTTTGATTTCTTTCATCAGTGTTTTATAGTTTTCTATATACAGGTCTTTTGTTTCTTTAGGTAGATATACTCCTAAGTATTTTATTCTTTTTGTTGCAATGGTGAATGGTATCATTTCCTTAATTTCTCTTTCTGTTTTCTCATTGTTAGTGTATAGGAATGCTAGAGATCTCTGTGTGTTAATTTTATATCCTGCAACTTTACTGTATTCGTTGATTAGCTCTAGTAATTTTCTGGTAGAGTCTTTAGGGTTTTCTATGTAGAGGATCATGTCATCTGCAAACAGAGAGAGTTTCACTTCTTCTTTTCCTATCTGGATTCCTTTTACTTCTTTTTCTGCCCTGATTGCTGTGGCCAACACTTCCAAAACTATGTTGAATAATAGTGGTGAGAGTGGGCACCCTTGTCTTGTTCCTGATTTCAGGGGAAATGCTTTCAGTTTTTCACCATTGAGGGTGATGCTTGCTGTGGGTTTGTCATATATAGCTTTTATTATGTTGAGGTATGTTCCTTCTATTCCTGCTTTCTGGAGTTTTAATCATAAATGGATGTTGAATTTTGTCAAAGGCTTTTTCTGCATCTATTGAGATAATAATATGTTTTTTATCTTTCAATTTGTTAATGTGGTGTATTACATTGATTGATTTGCAGATATTAAAGAATCCTTGCATTCCTGGGATAAAGCCCACTTGGTCATGGTGTATGATTTTTTTAATATGTTGTTGGATTCTGTTTGCTAGAATTTTGTTAAGGATTTTTGCATCTATGTTCATCAGTGATATTGGCCTGTAGTTTTCTTTTTTTGTGGCATCTTTGTCTGGTTTTGGAATTAGGGTGATGGTGGCCTCATAGAATGAGTTTGGAAGTTTACCTTCTTCTGCAATTTTCTGGAAGAGTTTGAGTAAGATAGGTGTTAGCTCTTCTCTAAATTTTTGGTAGAATTCAGCTGTGAAGCCCTCTGGTCCTGGGCTTTTGTTTGCTGGAAGATTTCTGATTACAGTTTCGATTTCCTTGCTTGTGATGGGTTTGTTAAGATCTTCTATTTCTTCCTGGTTCAGTTTTGGAAAGCTATACTTCTCTAAGAACTTGTCCATTTCTTCCAAGTTGTCCATTTTATTGGCATAGAGCTGCTGGTAGTAGTCTCTTATGATCCTTTGTATTTCAGTGTTGTCTGTTGTGATCTCTCCATTTTCGTTTCTAATTTTGTTAATTTGGTTCTTCTCCCTTTGTTTCTTAATGAGTCTTGCTAATGGTTTGTCAATTTTGTTTATTTTTTCAAAAAACCAGCTTTTAGCTTTGTTGATTTTTGCTATGGTCTCTTTAGTTTCTTTTGCATTTATCTCTGCCCTAATTTTTAAGATTTCTTTCCTTCTACTAACCCTGGGGTTCTTCATTTCTTCCTCCTCTAGTTGCTTTAGGTGTAGAGTTAGGTTATTTATTTGACTTTTTTCTTGTTTCTTGAGGTAGGCCTGTAATGCTATGAATCTTCCCCTTAGCACTGATTTACAGTGTCCCATAGGTTTTGGGTTGTTGTGTTTTCATTTTCATTCATTTCTATGCATATTTTGATTTCTTTTTTGATTTCTTCTATGATTTGTTGGTTATTCAGAAGCGTGTTGTTTAGCCTCCATATGTTTGAATTTTTAATAATTTTTTTCCTGTAATTGAGATCTAATCTTACTGCACTGTGGTCAGAGAAGATGACTGGAATGATTTCAGTTTTTTTGAATTTACCAAGACTAGATTTATGGCCCAGGATGTGATCTATTCTGGAGAAGGTTCCGTGTGCACTTGAGAAAAAGGTGAAGTTGATTGTTTTGGGGTGAAATGTCCTATAGATGTCAATTAGGTCTAGCTGGTCCATTGTGTCCTTTAAAGTTTGTGTTTCCTTGTTCATTTTCTGTTTAGTTGATCTATCCATAGTTGTGAGTGGGGTATTAAAGTCTCCTACTATTATTGTGTTACTATTAATTTCCTCTTTCATACTCGTTAGCATTTGCCTTACATATTGTGGTGCTCCTATGTTGGGTGCATATATATTTATAATTGTTATATCTTCTTCTTGGATTGATCCTTTGATCATTATGTAGTGTCCATCTTTGTCTCTTTTCACAGCCTTTATTTGAAAGTCTATTTTATCTGATACGAGTATTGCGACTCCTGCTTTCTTTTGGTCTCCGTTTGCGTGGAATATTTTTTTCCAGCCCTTCACTTTTAGTCTGTATGTGTCCCTTGTTTTGAGGTGGGTTTCTTGTAGACAGCATATGTAAGGGTCTTGCTTTTGTATCCATTCAGCCAGCCTTTGTCTTTTGGTTGGGGATTTCAACCCATTTACATTTAAGGTAATTATTGATAGGTATGGTCCCGTTGCCATTTATTTTGTTGTTTGCAGTTCACGTT